ACAAGAGATGATTGAGTTCCTGTTCATTCATACTACCTGTCTAGTAATGGTTATCTCATCACACGAGATAATTGAGTTCCTGTTTATTAATACTACCTTTCTTGTAATGGTTATCTCATCACACGAGATAATTGAGTTCCTGTTTATTAATACTACCTGTCTAGTAATGGTTATCTCATCACACGAGATAATTGAGTTCCTGTTTATTAATACTACCTGTCTAGTAATGGTTATCTCATCACACGAGATAATTGAGTTCCTGTTTATTAATACTACCTGTCTAGTAATGGTTATCTCATCACACGAGATGATTGAGTTCCTGTTTATTAATACTACCTGTCTTGTAATGGTTATCTCATCACACAAGATAATTGAGTTCCTGTTTATTAATACTACCTGTCTAGTAATGGTTATCTCATCACACGAGATAATTGAGTTCCTGTTTATTAATACTACCTGTCTAGTAATGGTTATCTCATCACAAGAGATGATTGAGTTCCTGTTCATTCATACTACCTGTCTAGTAATGGTTATCTCATCACAAGAGATGATTGAGCTCCTGTTTATTAATACTACCTGTCTACAATGGTCTAGTAATGGTTATCTCATCACAAGAGATGATTGAGTTCCTGTTTATTAATACTACCTGTCTAGAAATGGTTATCTCATCACAAGAGATCATTGAGCTCCTGTTTATTAATACTACCTGTCGAGAAATGGTTATCTCATCACAAGAGATGATTGAGTTCCTGTTTATTAATACTACCTGTCTAGAAATGGTTATCTCATTACAAGAGATGATTGAGCTCCTGTTTATTAATACTACCTGTCTAGTAATGGTTATCTCATCACAAGAGATGATTGAGCTCCTGTTTATTAATACTACCTGTCTACAATGGTCTAGTAATGGTTATCTCATCACAAGAGATGATTGAGTTCCTGTTTATTAATACTACCTGTCTAGAAATGGTTATCTCATCACAAGAGATGATTGAGCTCCTGTTTATTAATACTACCTGTCTACAATGGTCTAGAAATGGTTATCTCATCACAAGAGATGATTGAGCTCCTGTTTATTAATACTACCTGTCTAGAAATGGTTATCTCATCACAAGAGATGATTGAGCTCCTGTTTATTAATACTACCTGTCTACAATGGTCTAGTAATGGTTATCTCATCACAAGAGATGATTAAGTTCCTGTTCATTTATACTACCTGTCTAGTAATGGTCATCTCATCACACGAGATGATTGAGTTCCTGTTTATTAATACTACCTGTCTAGTAATGGTTATCTCATCACACGAGATAATTGAGTTCCTGTTTATTAATACTACCTGTCTAGTAATGGTTATCTCATCACACGAGATAATTTAATTCCTGTTTATTAATACTACCTGTCTAGTAATGGTTATCTCATCACAAGAGATGATTGAGTTCCTGTTCATTCATACTACCTGTCTAGTAATGGTTATCTCATTACAAGAGATGATTGAGCTCCTGTTTATTAATACTACCTGTCTACAATGGTCTAGTAATGGTTATCTCATCACAAGAGATGATCTAGTTCCTGTTTATTAATACTACCTATCTAGAAATGGTTATCTCATCACAAGAGATGATTGAGCTCCTGTTTATTAATACTACCTGTCTACAATGGTCTAGTAATGGTTATCTCATCACAAGAGATGATTGAGCTCCTGTTTATTAATACTACCTGTCTAGAAATGGTTATCTCATCACAAGAGATGATTGAGCTCCTGTTTATTAATACTACCTGTCTACAATGGTCTAGTAATGGTTATCTCATCACAAGAGATGATTAAGTTCCTGTTCATTAATACTACCTTTCTAGTAATGGTTATCTCATCACAAGAGATGATTAAGTTCCTGTTTATTAATACTACCTGTCTAGTAATGGTTATCTCATCACAAGAGATGATTGAGTTCCTGTTTATTAATACTACCTGTCTAGAAATGGTTATCTCATCACAAGAGATGATTGAGCTCCTGTTTATTAATACTACCTGTCTACAATGGTCTAGTAATGGTTATCTCATCACAAGAGATGATTGAGCTCCTGTTTATTAATACTACCTGTCTAGTAATGGTTATCTCATCACAAAAGATGATTAAGTTCCTGTTCATTAATACTACCTGTCTAGTAATGGTTATCTCATCACAAGAGATGATTAAGCTCCTGTTCATTAATACTACCTGTCTAGTAATGGTTATCTCATCATACGAGATGATTAAGTTCCTATTCATTAATACTACCTGTCTAGTAATGGTTATCTCATCACAAGAGATGATTAAGTTCCTGTTCATTAATACTTCCTGTCTAGTAATGGTTATCTCATCACAAGAGATGTTTGAGTTCCTGTTTATTAATACTACCTGTCTAGTAATGGTTATCTCATCACACGAGATAATTGAGTTCCTGTTTATTAATACTACCTGTCTAGTAATGGTTATCTCATCACATGAGATAATTGAGTTCCTGTTTATTAATACTACCTGTCTAGTAATGGTTATCTCATCACACGAGATGATTGAGTTCCTGTTTATTAATACTACCTGTCTAGTAATGGTTATCTCATCACACGAGATAATTGAGTTCCTGTTTATTAATACTACCTGTCTAGTAATGGTTATCTCATCACACGAGATAATTGAGTTCCTGTTTATTAATACTACCTGTCTAGTAATGGTTATCTCATCACAAGAGATGATTGAGCTCCTGTTTATTAATACTACCTGTCTACAATGGTCTAGTAATGGTTATCTCATCACAAGAGATGATTAAGTTCCTGTTCATTAATTCTACCTGTCTAGTAATGGTTATCTCATCACAAGAGATGATTGAGTTCCTGTTCATTCATACTACCTGTCTAGTAATGGTTATCTCATCACAAGAGATGACTGAGCTCCTGTTTATTAATACTACCTGTCTACAATGGTCTAGTAATGGTTATCTCATCACAAGAGATGATTGAGCTCCTGTTTATTAATACTACCTGTCTAGTAATGGTTATCTCATCACAAGAGATGATTGAGCTCCTGTTTATTAATACTACCTGTCTACAATGGTCTAGTAATGGTTATCTCATCACAAGAGATGATTGAGTTCCTGTTTATTAATACTACCTGTCTAGAAATGGTTATCTCATCACAAGAGATGATTGAGCTCCTGTTTATTAATACTACCTGTCTACAATGGTCTAGAAATGGTTATCTCATCACAAGAGATGATTGAGCTCCTGTTTATTAATACTACCTGTCTAGAAATGGTTATCTCATCACAAGAGATGATTGAGCTCCTGTTTATTAATACTACCTGTCTACAATGGTCTAGTAATGGTTATCTCATCACAAGAGATGATTAAGTTCCTGTTCATTTATACTACCTGTCTAGTAATGGTCATCTCATCACACGAGATGATTGAGTTCCTGTTTATTAATACTACCTGTCTAGTAATGGTTATCTCATCACACGAGATAATTGAGTTCCTGTTTATTAATACTACCTGTCTAGTAATGGTTATCTCATCACACGAGATAATTTAATTCCTGTTTATTAATACTACCTGTCTAGTAATGGTTATCTCATCACAAGAGATGATTGAGTTCCTGTTCATTCATACTACCTGTCTAGTAATGGTTATCTCATTACAAGAGATGATTGAGCTCCTGTTTATTAATACTACCTGTCTACAATGGTCTAGTAATGGTTATCTCATCACAAGAGATGATCTAGTTCCTGTTTATTAATACTACCTATCTAGAAATGGTTATCTCATCACAAGAGATGATTGAGCTCCTGTTTATTAATACTACCTGTCTACAATGGTCTAGTAATGGTTATCTCATCACAAGAGATGATTGAGCTCCTGTTTATTAATACTACCTGTCTAGAAATGGTTATCTCATCACAAGAGATGATTGAGCTCCTGTTTATTAATACTACCTGTCTACAATGGTCTAGTAATGGTTATCTCATCACAAGAGATGATTAAGTTCCTGTTCATTAATACTACCTGTCTAGTAATGGTTATCTCATCACAAGAGATGATTAAGTTCCTGTTTATTAATACTACCTGTCTAGTAATGGTTATCTCATCACAAGAGATGATTGAGTTCCTGTTTATTAATACTACCTGTCTAGAAATGGTTATCTCATCACAAGAGATGATTGAGCTCCTGTTTATTAATACTACCTGTCTACAATGGTCTAGTAATGGTTATCTCATCACAAGAGATGATTGAGCTCCTGTTTATTAATACTACCTGTCTAGTAATGGTTATCTCATCACAAAAGATGATTAAGTTCCTGTTCATTAATACTACCTGTCTAGTAATGGTTATCTCATCACAAGAGATGATTAAGCTCCTGTTCATTAATACTACCTGTCTAGTAATGGTTATCTCATCATACGAGATGATTAAGTTCCTATTCATTAATACTACCTGTCTAGTAATGGTTATCTCATCACAAGAGATGATTAAGTTCCTGTTCATTAATACTTCCTGTCTAGTAATGGTTATCTCATCACAAGAGATGTTTGAGTTCCTGTTTATTAATACTACCTGTCTAGTAATGGTTATCTCATCACACGAGATAATTGAGTTCCTGTTTATTAATACTACCTGTCTAGTAATGGTTATCTCATCACATGAGATAATTGAGTTCCTGTTTATTAATACTACCTGTCTAGTAATGGTTATCTCATCACACGAGATGATTGAGTTCCTGTTTATTAATACTACCTGTCTAGTAATGGTTATCTCATCACACGAGATAATTGAGTTCCTGTTTATTAATACTACCTGTCTAGTAATGGTTATCTCATCACACGAGATAATTGAGTTCCTGTTTATTAATACTACCTGTCTAGTAATGGTTATCTCATCACACGAGATGATTGAGTTCCTGTTCGTTAATACTACCTGTCTAGTAATGGTTATCTCATCACAAGAGATGATTGAGCTCCTGTTTATTACCTGTCTAGTAATGGTTATTTCATCATACTGTTCGTATCCCAATGGACTCTGCTTTTTATCCATGTTGTCAAATGTAATACTGACAGTGGCTTTAGTGACACCAGCTTGACCATTTTTGTATACAAGTTCCTGTAGGTTTGTTGCTCTAACCTGAATTAAAAAATATTTTGAATAATTGGAATACATGTTTTTGTATTGATGTTCACCTTACTTTTACCTCGATAACTATCACTTAAACCTAATAAAATATCGAACAGATCATGTAACATAAACACAATATTTTTTTACCTGTCCAGGTTTCTCATTAAGTTGTGTACATTATATATATAAATAAGAAAATGTGGTATGATTGCCAATGAGACAACTATCCACCAGAGACCAAATGAGAGCCACTAAAAGTTACCACACAGCCTTCAACCATGAGCAAAACCCATACCATATAGTAAGCTACAAAAGGACCTGACATGTCAAAATGCAAAACAATTCAGACAAGAAAACAAACAGCCTGATTTAGGGCCATGCATCCTGGACTCATCCTTTCATTTAGCCTAGAGTTTATGATATATATTAATAATGCACAGAATTTTAATAAAACCTTAATCCTTAATGTTCGAGTGTTTGAATGTTACATGTTAAATAGCAGGAATATTTGTTGTAAATTCATCCAGAAAGTAAAATATTTACAATGTTTGAATTCCAATCATTAATTGACACCTTTTTGGATGTCAGAGCTTGTTCCATATCAAAAAGTGAATATTTGCCCGTCAAAAATGGATGCACCGCTTCGTTGCTTCGGGAGCAAACTGACGGCCTTGGATCCATATAAATTGGGCTTTGTTCATTTTTATACGCCCGTTTACGGGACGTATTATGGTATACCCTTGTCCGTCCGTCCGTCGTCAACATGTCAGACAGCAACTCAAAAGCGCTTCAACCAATAGGCATGAAACTTTGGTGAATTATAAATATCTATTTATGTGAGCTCCCTTTTGATTTTTATAAATTTTAGATTATATGTTTCCGAGTTATGGGGTTTTATTCATTAAAAAAGGGGGGATTTTCCAGTTTTCGGACAATAACTCAATAACACTTTCACCAATTTGCTAGAAACTTTCGTGAATTGTTTATATTTATTGATGTGAGCTCCCTTTCAATTTTTATGAATTTTAGATTTTACATTTCCGAGTTATGAGGTTTTATTCATTGCAAAAAGGGGGATTTTCCAGTTTTCGGACAATAGCTCAAAAATGCTTTGAGCAGTTTTCATGAAACTTTGGTGAATTGTTTATATCTATTAATATTATTAATTCGTATATTTTAACTAATTTGATTCGTTCAGGGATAGTCACATGTTAAACTATATTTTCGAAGGTAGACAGAAAACGGCGGATTGCAAAAAGCATATTGCATAGCAAAAATCATATTGCACGGTTATTTTTAGAATATCTAAAAACCGATATACTTCATGTAATGAATTTCATGATATTGTTAAAAGTTTTATTAAAAAATATCTTAGATCGATTATTTGAAGAAAAAAAATCTTCAAATACATAAGATGTTAAAAAACAAATAAATGAAATAACAACTAATATGTTGTTATTGTCTAGGAGACAATATGATATCTATAAATTTCCAACAAAATCAAACGACGGTTTTCATACAAATATGGTCGGAAATTAATAATATAACAATTATAGCCTATGTATAAGGTCAATACAGGATATATCGACCCAAAGAAGTATATCGACCTCGGACTTCGTCCTCAGTCCATATACTTCTTTCAGGTCAATATATCCTTGTATCGACCTCATACCAAGGCTATAACTGTATAATGTAAGCTCCCTTTTGATTTTTATAAATTTTAGAATTGACGCTTCTGAGTTATGAGGTTTTTTTCTTAAAAAAAGGGGTGATTTTCCAGTTTTCGACAATAACTCATAAGTTCTTTGAGCAGTTTTCATTCATTTATCTCTTCATTTATGCAAGTCTCATAAACCTGCCACCCTTCATTTTCTCATATTTGGACAGTTTTCACAGTGACCCATCGATTCCGGTATTTTAACGTTCACTTTGAGATTGTCAGGTGACCAACGAGAAAAAAGTAAGGCGCAATGCATTATGGGAGCTGATTTATGCATATGACCCTGGGTCAATATGAATACATAATCTAACACCTAGTCCATTTACAACTCAAATAAGCTGAATGGCTAAGTGTGTTCCGATTGTTATCATGTTTGGCTAAGAAGGTTCAAAGCCGAAATTAGCATAAAAATTTGCATTCTTAAGTCTTGAGGCCCGCGAAGTCTCTCGTAACTTGACATCCATTTGAAAATGAAAGTTAAAATGCAGGAATCGATGGGTCACTATGAAAACTGAACAAATATGAGAAAATAAAGAGTGGCAGGTACATGAAACTTACATAAATGAAGAGATAAATGAAAAATGAACAAATTGAAAACAACAACTACACAGACCGCACACCTGGCTGTGTAACAAAAATGGTAACATCTTTAAAATGGGAAAGCCTTGAAGACCGCAGGAAACAAAATAGGCTATGCATGCTGTTCAAAATTCAACATGATCTAATAGACATAGATCAGCACCAATATCTGACGCCAAACAAAATTATACATGTAGCCGGACCAGAGGTAAAAACCGCTTCTACCAAGAAAGGGCTATAACAGACGCCTTCCGCCAATCATTTTTTCCAAGGAGGATCAGAGACTGGAACCAACTGCCAACATCAGCTGACACAGTTAAAGGATTCAGAGCTGCCCTGAAGGCATGCTCTGCAAAATTTAGACAGTAACATCCTGTACATAATTTTAATTGTATATATATATAGAGAACGTTTTAACTTGTAAATAGCCAAGAGAAAACTTTCTGTGTTGTCCGACACTGGGTATAGTTTTTGTGGGACCTCATAATTCAAATATTGAATTGGGTTCCTTACCTGGAAGAAGATTGAAGCCCGATTTATATGGATCCAAGGCGGTCAGTTGACTCCAGAAGCAATGAAGCGGCGCATCCATTTTGGAAGGGCAAATATCAACTTTATGATATGGGGCGAGCACTGACGTCCCACGGCCCCAGTTTCTCTGGCAAAACAGCCGTTGGACGTCAGAGCAATCTCGACTACAGTACATAAATTATTTACCATGTATGCGTTTTCTTGAGGTAGTGGAAGTGCAGCACAGTGATTTGGCTACACTTCAGGTCAATATCCCTTTTATGTAAACATTAATATGGGTGTGTAACTTAAAATATTTGCTCATTAGTCGAAAGAAACAAACTTACATGAGAAAGGTTTGTGATTCCTAGCAAAAAGCAAATTGAATCCAGAATATTTGATTTTCCACTGCCATTTAATCCTGTTATAGCGTTAAAAAGGGGATCAAATCCGTTGATTTCTGTTCTTTGAGCATACGACTTAAAGCCGTCTACGACCATAGATTTAATATGCATTGTCAAAAGTTGTAAATGTTGTTTTTAAATCATTGATCTGTTTTCATTTCAAACTGGCGCTCAAATATAATATTGAACGCGCATGTCAGAACGGAAGTAAGAAATTAATACTATAAATCAAAACAATAAGCGATTGTACTCATGATACTATTTCCGAATAAAATACTGTCCAACAAGAGGGGCGGAAGGACCTTTTCGGGAATTCAGGATTGAACCGTCTAATTCCCGGGAATTCGGAAATATCCAAATGAAATCGTCGGGAAGTCGGGATTTAATTATATCGTGATGCAGGAACGAACACATTATTTACAAACATGGGATCTAAATAACAGCTCATGTCAGTGCAGTGCATGCATATAGTGTTTTTATGCCTGTGCTTTTTCATTTTTTTATTTTTTGTGTGACTTTTTGATTAGTTTAGCTTTTTTAGTTGCTAGTATCTGCTATACTTATCATTTTATATTGTGCTATGTTTTAAGGTATACTTTATTTTGCATACTATGCTTTTTAACCGTTTTATATGTCATCTATGGTATCTAATTCTTACTATGCACTGTATGTTTTTTATATGTCATCTATGGTATCTTACTATGCACTGTATGTTTTTTTTTTTAAATTGTGTTGTTTTCTTTACTTATGTATGTCTGTATATATGTTGTTATTCAGTCGATTTGAAAAGCTCACTAGAGCTTGTGTTTATGTAGTTTATTGAATATCGACTTTAAACAAAACTTTGAATTGAATTGAATTGAATTGAATTATTTTCACGGGAATTCAGGATTTGACATTTATTTTCTAGGGAATTCGGGGTGAGACTCCCTCATACGACCCCCTCTAACAAGAGTAATATTATCTTAATACAGACACACAGTTAACATTAGTTACAATTAATCCATGTTATAAGCTATGGTATGCCCCTTGACGTGGTTAATTTCAGACCCTTGAATATTCTGGTTATAAATTAATTCAGATTAGATTTCAAATCAAATTACTCCACCGATATCTTTCTAATTCATTTTTTTAATTATATTAAAAGACAAACATCAAGAGGGTTCTATAGAAAAAAATAGAATAGAAAATTTTATTTTAAGTCGGGTTTACATGAACATTACAAACATAAGCTCTGTAGAGTTTTTTGTCGACATTAGTAAATTAACAACACATACACTATTAAGACATATAAAACATACACATAAGACATACAAAACAAACACTGTTATATTGCATAAGCAAAATGTTCATATATAAACGGACACAGCTCGACGATCCTCGACCTAAGCGTTTGGAACAGTGTATCATGCACCTGATATTGTGTAAGCAACTGGAATGCATGAGAGTATGTTCAATAATTTAAAAGTGGTTTGAATCCTATCAATCAGAGAGGAAACGTAAAATTAGAACTAACGACATTGTAAATGTATATTGTGGATGACACAAAGCAGCATTTTGTGTCCTCTTCTTTGTTATTCATTATGTAAATGACACTGTCAAACTAGCATATACAACGATTGCAAACTGCTACTGTACGCGGATGCTAGTGCAATACTAGTACTATATTTGCATAGAAACCATGAGGTTATTTCATTTAGACTGGGAACAGAACTTCAGCTTGGTAACGAAATTGGCTGGTTGACAAATAAAATTTTAATGATCATTCCATCTCAGTCTTTCTTTCTACAGATATGAATCGCCGTTCTGTTTCGACGCACTACTGCATAGTAGGATGGTCCAGTATACACTTTCTACTAAAATGCACCCGTACCAACTGAAATCTCCACTGTGACCTATTCATGATATAACTTTTGTGATAAAGCATATGAAAATAACGGAATAATGATTTTTGTATTGTAAAAAGACTATTTCAATGTTATAGATATATAACGTGCTTTTGATGATCCTTTTAATTCGGTTGACAATTAAGACTTTTTAACACTCTGCAATACACTTCCACACAATCTTATCAAACAGAAGTGTTTTTTTTTTCAAATTGTCGATTACAGATATATTTGCTGCAACTCATTTAAAGCCTTCTTTAATGAAAAAGGTAAATATGCTAGTTATACCGTCTGACTAACGCCAGCCCCCACTATCCACTAGCGTTTTTGGATAGTGTGAATTGGCTTTAGTGAGACTGACTAGTTATACTTACTGGAACTGTGATGAGAGGATTAAAGCTGTAAATGTTTTCCTTTACAACATCTATGTACATTTCGGAAATAAAGTTTATCGACAACTTGCAGGTAACCCTATGGTCAGAAAAAGAAATATGGGAAAGTGAGAAAAAGAAATATGAGAAAAATGAATATGAAAAGTCTTAAACACAATTCAGAGCATTCCAGGCACTAGTACGACCCAAACTAGCGTATAGTTGTAGTGTCTGGAACCCAGAGGTAAGACCAACAACTAAAACTTGAAAAGGTACAGATACGCACGACTCGCTTCGAACACAACAACTACGATTACAAAAACAGTGTCACTAACATGATAAACAAGCTTAAATGTCAACTACTAGCTGAGAGACGACTATAATTTAGATTTGTTTTATTTTATAAAGTGATAAACTGGCATGTAGCCATTCCAACGCATGATCTTGAGCAAACAGACAATAGAGCGAGATAAAACCATCCATCAAGATACAGACATACCCAAACTTCCAAGGACACATTCAAATGTTGTTTATAAAGCACGTAAATTTAAATTCGATCCATGCAAACTTATTGGTCCTTTGAATAAACTTATTCTTAAAGGATATCATTTTAACCCCATAGTAAGATATTTGAATATGGTTTTCATCGGTACTTACATTGACTTTTTTATTGATCCAAACACACAAATGTTGTTTATAAAGCACGTAAACTTAAATTCGATCCATGCAAACTTATTGGTCCTTTGAATAAACTTATTCTAAAAGGATATCATTTTAACCCCATAGTAAGATATTTGAATATGGTTTTCATCGGTACTAACATTGACTTTTTTATTGATCAAAACACACAAATGTTGTTTATAAAGCACGTAAATTTAAATTCGACCCATGCAAACTTATTGATCCTTAGAATAAACTTATTCTTAAAGGATATCATTTTAACACCATAGTAAGATATCTGAATATGGTTTTCGTCGGTACTTACATTGATTTTGTTATTGATCAACTGTCTTTTCTGAAAACTTATGGTTATACATCCTGTCGAAATAATATACTTATATTTTGGTTTTGGCATTGCATACGGTTATGCTTTTCTCAGACTGTTTATGACATCTTTACATTAAATCCTGTGTACTGATTGATCCTTTAGTCTGTGGAACATGGTTTATTTATTAGTTGTTATTGGCTTTGAAATAGCTTTCAGTAACTAAGTACTCTTAGATTTGTACTTTTGTGTCTTTTGTCTTTATGAAAATTATAGTTGCTTTTTTGTGCTGATCTGATGAGCTGATTTTGCCAGTTTGTTCAAACGTTGTACTGTTACATCATTGTCTCAGGTTAGGAGGATTGCTTAGCCTCAATGGTTGCTGTTTGTTATATTTGTTTTTCGTTTATTGTTTTGTTGTAATTTTTTTTTCGTGTGAATTGTTTCACATATTGTCATGGCTGGGCCTTTTATAGGTGACTATACAGTATGTGTTGTGCTAATGGTTGAGAGCCGTACGATGACCTATAATTGCTTAAATTCACGTTATTTGAAATCTGTTGAATAGTTGTCTGATTGGCAATCATACCACATCTCCATATAATCATTGTATACAGACACTATGATAAACAAAATAACATGCATAAGTCATAATATGCAACAGGATTTGGAATTTGGTATAGCGAAGAGAGAATTCTGAACTAATTCTACAGAAAAACGGCGAAAAATAAAAGAATAGAGAAAAATAGGCCAAAAAAATAATAAGAATAGAGAATGATGAGGTGCTATAATAAAAGGTTAGAGAATAAAAGGCAAATATACAGAATGGAGAAAAATGACCTAAAAATTTAAAGAATACTGAAATTAAGTACTACCAATCCAGACCCTCATTCACAATAAAGACAAACATATACAGTTTAAAAAAGGCATATGTCCATAGACACAGTCATGTCATTCACAAGTCTGTTCATGCATTTAAAAAGATACAATGAAGCACAAACATTATATTTGTATCAAGCTATAACACACACTAATAGTCGTGCATTAAGCTATAATATACTAAAACAGTGTCATAAGCACAGATAATTTCAAGATCACAAAGCCCTCAAACAGTATCATAAGCAAAAATAATTTCAAGTACATAAAACAATAAAACAGTAATATACTAGTACTATTCATGCATCTAGATGATAATTTGTTAACATCATGAGTTGTCATTCCATGTGTTTATTAAATTTTCAAACTGGCGCACTGTCATTCTACGTTCACAAACTGGCGCACTGTCATTCTACGTTCACAAAATAAGTTAAGACAAATGTCCAGATAACATATTCTTCTTCTTTATAGTTCAGCACTCCATCAGTTTTACTGTGTTATCAACCCAGGGTAGTTCTTTTCTTGTTTGTGGTTGTCTTCTTGTGGATGCTTGTGGAGACATTTTTGTTTATATGGTATTTAGTGAAATTTTAGTTGCTTTGTGGATTTACCATTTTAATTCTGATGGAGGTATATATTTTTGTTACAACAATAAAGGTTTCAGGAGCTAACACCTTTTATGATAAAAATTCTGGAATCTTAGAGCCTGTGATAAGGAATTTTCATTTCGAAAAACTTGGAAAATAATATTATTTACAAAGAATAATTTGTTATCATCAGTATTTTCAATCAGCTGATATAAACCTTGGAATGATATTCCGACATTTGTTTGAATCAATCTATACATCTGTTTTAAGACATCTCTTCCAAGCTGCGTGTACTATAATAATCCGTCTGTGTTCACGTAGGTTCTAAAAAGAACAAATCCTATTTGCAAGACTCCGACACAATCCTAATCTCTGTCGTTCTTTCTTCGTCCCCTTTCCTTTTTTTCAGTATACCTTAGTAATAATTATGATGTTTATATTATATAGTGCATGCTCGCATTCAATTTGTATTGTTATATATATTGTATTGTGGAGAAGATTTTATAAGTATCATGTATTACTTGTGTTTGATCCTTTTTGCTTTGAGTAAATAAAATATGTTTAAACTAAAACCAGACACAAGAGTAATGGAACATCTTTTGAAACGAAATTTTATCGAAAGGTTAGTGTGTTCCTGTGGTCACGTTGAATCTACCTTTCATTGTTTTCTTATAGGCAAACATATAATTCATTAAGAAGGGACACTATTTGGATATGTTTTTGTAAATCTGTTGGATAGTTGTCTCATTGGCAATCGTACCATATCTCCTCATTGTATGCTAAAGATTGTATTGTACGACAGCTTAAAGCCTGATAAAGACGATAAGCTGAAAATTCACACAATTTCTAAATATACCAATAACCATGCAAAACGTCTTGAAAATTGACCTTGGATATGTATTTATTAGCTTTATATCTTAATAGCAATTAATCGGGTAGTCTGCATCAGCAAAATGCCTCGGAGTGAATGTCTCTCAGAAAAAAATCACAGTAACTGTTTCGTTGATTGGTTTTTATTTAAGTATAATTTATTATATGTAATGTCATGATTTTTTCGGAGACAGATGTATACAAGTTTGTCCACCCATGGATATAATAGCCATAGTGGCTATTTATGTATCTATGGTCCACCAAAACATGACTTTTTATATAGCTGTACTATTCCAGTGTTATATCTCTTTTTCGATAAGAAATGGTGTTAAAATTCATCTTGGGTGTTGTTTATGCAATATGCCACAATTTGTCAAAGCCTAAAGACATATCATTTAATACCTGCCAATTAAAAAGTAAAATAACAAAAATACCGAACTCCAAGGAAAATTCAAAATGGAAAGAATCCTATCGGAATATTTGTCGTGTTTTCTCCGGATATTTTTGGGACTTTAAAATTATTGTACTTCCCTGATAACTGCAAGGTGCTTCGTAACTACACAATCAAAACAACTTATTAAACGGTAGATTACTTAAATATGAATTTCAGAATTGGATAATATGCGACATTGGTCCATCTGAATCAAAATTCAACATCAGATATACTTTGGATTGCTAGAAATCAACGACTATTCGGTTGCTAACCACGCGATTTCATCGACTGCTTCTCAACAACGGAAGTGCATAAAATTAATTGCTTTGGTTCTAATCAGGTTAGTAGTATAATCCTTAACGCATTAAAAGATTAAAACGCAAATATTTACTTATAATACCGAAGCAAAATTTAGAGAATAGATATTAATACAAAATTAATGTTAATTCCAGTAGTAGAATAATAATGAAATAAAAATGATGAATCAAATATTGTCCCTTTTCCTGCGCTAGAGACATACATGTATATGACCCTTGTCTGCAGACCGCTCTAGTGACATATGTATCACTTGTCAGCAGACTGCGCTAAGGACATATATGTCACTTTTAGAATGCCGCAAAAAAGTTTTGCAAACAAATTAAAGAATGATTACTACTTTTTTAACTTTTACTACATGTACTTCAAAACTAAATATAACATATATTCTAGGATTTTCAACATTCAAACAAATACAAGTATAATTTCATTATGACCAGAAAATACAGTTTAAAGAAGTTTTCTGAAATCATTGCACATTTAGATACATGACGTAAAAGATAAATTCAGTGAAGGACACAACTGTCAAACTTTCAGTCTAGTTTAGCAAGGAGATACATGTATTAATCATAAATGGCAACTTCCTTCTTATCCAATCTCAACAATATATATACAGACATTTTTATCCTTGTCACCTATTTTTTTCACTACTTAATTCTTTTCAGTCAACATACATTGCAATGGCATAAACAGTTTTGTATTTCTGGAATATAGATAGAATTTACTTGTTTTTTCTGTTACCTGACTGTTATGCAATATAAATATAACTCACAAAAAAGTTAGAACGATGACACAAACTGCCTTAAAGGTTTCATTAAAGCATAAAACAGTCCTATGAAACACATTAAAAGGAAAAATTTAAGTAAATTCCCATGTTTTCCCAATTTTTTTTCTGAACATTTAAGCTATGTTATGTTTGGGCAATATTTTTTTTAATTTTTTTTTATTCTATTTTTTTAAATACTGAACACAATTGTAAAAGTTTACTTCATACATGTACAAATATTGTATAACAGTACTTACATACTTTTACTCTACTAATATTTGTTTAAATACAAAAACTTGTACAGCATTTAATAAAATTCTATGAGGAGTAAACAATAAATTATAAAAATTCCATGTCACACAATGTTCAACTGTAAGTGAAGAGTGAGTTCATTGGTAAACCTAAGCTTAATCATGTTAATGAAGGAATTATTACAGTACAGTAGTTGAAGAGTTGCTGCTGTCAATTGACGATTTGACGGTCACAATCACAGTTTTAATGGTGACGTATAGGGGAGCCAATGAAACAGATATTTGTGGCCATCAAATCTCAATTGACGGTGGCAACTCTTTACCTACAGTACTGTTATTCCTATTCTAATGCATTACAGAAAGAAAGAGTACATGTACATGAGAGCTTTTAAAAATGATGTCATTTAAACTTTTAAACCGAAGGTTATTTTTGTTTATTAAACTTGTACGATTCAGATTTGGATATATAAGATCTCATTAAACATGTTAAAACATCTTTTTTGAGGTAGGTGTTGTTTTATTTTCGATTATGTTGTATTAATCGAATATTTGTGGATTCCAGCGATTATATATGGCGGCTCAAGACGTGTCAATTGTGCATTTGCTGGTAAATTTTAGCCAATGAAAAAATGTTAACATAAGAATTGCATTAGAATAAGATTTATGTTCAATTTCAGTTTGCAAATACATATAAGACTTTTCTCAAAAGTCTGCACCAGTAGTCCTGTGGTATATTTAGTTAGTGTTCACCTAGAAAGAAAAGAGGGGGTCATAAGTTTAATCATAAGAATTGTAGAATTTGAATTTGATGTTTATCTGCTAAGCAAGCTGCATTTATGAGAAAAGCAAAGACTTGTCAGCTTAGAATCAGAATAATTAGTCCCAGTAGAATGATACTGGTACAAACAGGGTTAATTCTGATTTGCTATAATAATTGACTATGATGCATGTATGTTTATAGTTATTTTCATCAACTGTTAAGTGCTCTTTCTTTCTTTACTTTGGTTTGTACTTTAAGACTGTTGACACTTTACCTAATCATCACTATTTTTTTAAAGGAGGTCTTTTTTAATTTATTCCAGAACATAGCACTAAAATGAGTACCATGGTAGATAATAGATGGGATCCTATTCTTCAGAACCAACAAGGACCAGTAAGTATGATTTTATGATGTAATCAGGGGATATCTATTTCAAAATCCTGCAAGGATCAGTCAGACATGTATGATTTTATGAGGTAATCAGGAGATATCCATGTCAAAGTCCTGCAAGGATCAATCAGACATGTATGATTTTATGAGGTAATCAGGAGATATCCATGACAAAATCCTGCAAGGATCAGTCAGACATGTATGATTTTATGAGGTAATTAGGGGATATCTATAGCTATTTCAAAGTCCTGCAAGGATCAGTCAGACATGTATGATTTTATGAGGTTGTCAGGAGATATCCATGTCAAAATCCTGCAAGGATCAGTCAGACATGTATGATTTTATGAGGTAATTAGGGGATATCTATAGCTATTTCAAAGTCCTGCAAGGATCAGTCAGACATGTATGATTTTATGAGGTTGTCAGGAGATATTCATTTCAAAATCCTGCAAGGATCAGTCAGACATGTATGATTTTATGAGGTTGTCAGGAGATATCCATGTCAAAATCCTGCAAGGATCAGTCAGACATGTATGATTTTATGAGGTAATCAGGAGATATCCATGTCAAAGTCCTGCAAGGATCAATCAGACATGTATGATTTTATGAGGTAATCAGGAGATATCCATGACAAAATCCTGCAAGGATCAGTCAGACATGTATGATTTTATGAGGTAATTAGGGGATATCTATAGCTATTTCAAAGTCCTGCAAGGATCAGTCAGACATGTATGATTATATGAGGTTGTCAGGAGATATCCATGTCAAAATCCTGCAAGGATCAGTCAGACATGTATGATTTTATGAGGTAATTAGGGGATATCTATAGCTATTTCAAAGTCCTGCAAGGATCAGTCAGACATGTATGATTTTATGAGGTTGTCAGGAGATATTCATTTCAAAATCCTGCAAGGATCAGTCAGACATGTATGATTTTATGAGGTTGTCAGGAGATATCCATGTCAAAATCCTGCAAGGATCAGTCAGACATGTATGATTTTATGAGGTTATCAGGATATATCAATGTCAAAATCCTGCAAGGATCAGTCAGGAGTAAAGTATGATTTAATGAGGAAATATCCATTTTAAAGTTCTGCAAGGATTAGTCATACTAATATATGATTTTCTGAGGTAATAAGGGGATATTCATGTCAAAATCCTGCAAGTATCAGTCAGTCAGGTTAATGTATGATTTTATGAAGTAATAAGGGATTCTAGAACCAATTTGAGGACAAACAAGAACTAGAATGTGTGAGCTAGGAGGTAGAAAGTCCCCTGTTGCAGTGCAGTACATTTATGTATAATTTTTAAATGTGGTCCTTTATACTACTTGATTTTATGTACAAACAGTAAGATCTGTTACAGTAATTGATAAACTGTGAGTGATATCTCTTTAGAGTCTTTAGACTAAAGGTTCTCTTTAAAGTTTGTATTTTAACAGCTTTAGTCTGAAATAGGGAGATGAGTTAGCACCATTTTATAAAATCATTTAATGGCACTGTAATAAATATCCTAAACATACCTGTTTGTCATCAAATCAGAACATAAAACTCACAACTGTTCAGAGTTGATCTGTTTTTAAAATTGGTAACAATATAACTTGAAAAGAATTTCATAATGATTTAAACCTAAATATTTTTTTTGTCAGTAAACGTTTTTTGTTACATAACCTACAAAATGTATATATGAATAGTGAAAAAAGGAATAACGTATTAAATCATCAGAAGATATTTATTGGAATGCATAGCAGTATAACAATGTCATAAGGAACCATAGAAAATTCTTAGTCTTTATATACTGGATAACATGATTGATTGATACTGGATAATATGATTGATTGATACTGGATAATATGATTGATTGATAATGGATAACATGATTGATTGATACTAGATAATATGATTGATTGATAATGGATAACATGATTGATTGATACTAGATAATATGATTGATTGATACTGGATAATATGATTGATTGATTGTTGGTGTTAAATGCCACTTTCAGCACTCTTGGCTATATTATAATGACCAGCTTTTATTGGTGGAGGAAAAAACCATAGACCTTTGTCAGGAAAACTAGTAATCTTAGTTAAATGAGATTGGAGTCAAACACACCTTTCATTTACGATGCTTTGAACTCACGGCCTCAGTGTTAATACTGTAAGTGAACTATTAAGGCTACTCAGCCACCAAGGTTCTACAGTATAAATAAGAAGATGTGGTATGAGTGCCAATGAAACAACTCTCCATCCAAGTGTCATAAATAACCTATAAAAAGAAACAGATGTGTATATGTCAATGATACAGAACCCTTATAAAAGTATTAAAACAAGAAAAGACATAATAGACAAGAATCTACATGTACACCATATGCCTATATTTTAATTGTCCAAAGTTAAGAAAAGTTGTTAATAAATTAAACAGGGACTTACAAAGACCTGCCTTTAATACCAAAATCTTGAAAAGGACAAGCAAAAATTTTGGAAACCAGCACTGAAAACTATAAAAGGATTGAAACCATTAACCTTTACAAGAATATGTACCTGTGGTTATGTACATGTACCTAACAAAACTTGAGGTGATGTTGAGCCATACTACATGGACACCTGATGTTGTTGGGTTGCTATTTCATAGTCATATTACACAACATATCTTTTTATGTGTGTAAAGAAGATAACGATAAAGACATAAAAAGTATTTTTTTCACAAGTTATTTAGATATTCTAACTAATGTAGGCATGTCCATTTTTCTTGACATAATATATTTTACAGAAATATTACCGGTGTGATAATAAAAAAATGTAAAAAATATCATCATGCTAAAATTTGTTGAAATTCTTGTAATTCATCATTTAAATTTAAAGCAATAATATATGGTTTCTATAATAACTGTGTGTCGTAGTGACAGTCATTTCATAATCATCAGTGCATTCATTGCTTATTTCATTATATAATGTTGTAAAAAATTGTACTAAGTAGTGTGTAGAAATTAGCAAACACATTAATATTGCTTGTGTAAAAGTATTATTCAGACTGAACATTTGATTTGAAATCCATTTCAATTTCATTACAAATATTTTTCTTCTGTATTGAGGAAAGAATTGTATTATGACATTCACCATGGATGGGTGTTTACTGTTATAATCATTTCTATACATTAAATGGAAAAATGTAATGAAAGCTTCCTTGACTGATGAAATATTTACTACTACTTTTAAAAAATAATTTGTATAGTTGTTAGAAAACTATGAATATGATACATAGCACTGACTATTAAAGCATCAGATTTAAATGACCTCAATTACAAAGTGTACTGTTGTACAGTAAAAAGGTAGTTAGCAACTATTGATATAACATTCTGTTTACAACTAATAAAACAGATTCAGTGGAATTCTTTTTCATGCAAAAATGTCACACCCACCAAGGGTATGCCACATGACTGAATACTCAGTAATATTGTAGTTTTTAATAAAAAACTGCTTGTTTTAGTGGTAATAATGCCTTACTTTGATAGAGTTACACATATAACAACCTGTAGTGTAATGGAACAGTGGCACATGGCAGAGTCTGTGTAGTAGTGGTACTGATGCCACACATGTCACATAGTGGCATATGACAGTCTGTCTGGAAGTGGTACTAATGTACACATGTTACATAATGGCTCATGACATTGATACTGATGCCACACATTAAGTGGTACCTGAAAGAGTATTGTATTGAAAATATTGTTGTGATACTGATGTCATACATGTCACATTGTGGCACATGAAAGAATCTGAGATACAGTGGCACTGCAGGTGAATTTCAGTCTTACTAAAGCCAGCCCCCGCAAACCCCCCCCCCCTTTCCATACCAACATAGGGGAATGTGTATGTGTCTCAGAAAAGTGACAGTTTCAGCAAATCTGAATACTATTGCTGTATATATATATATGGAAGCTGAACAAATGTTCAAAGAAAGGCCATTGTTGAAAACTCTTAAACTCAGCCCTCAATTTTAGTGTGTTCCAGCAGTCAATGTTTTGTCCCCTTATAATGATTTCCTTGCTGTTTGAAGTTGATAAGGAGTGCCCTCAAATAATTACAACTTCCCATAGTGTCTGGAGACACAGTTTCATTTCATTGCTTAGGATATGAAAAATATAAATCCTTTAGAGGAACAGCAGTATGGTCTTATAAAAGGTTGAACAAAATAAACCCTTGAGAGATAAACAGCAATGATTGCATACTTGATTGTATAATTATAAATTTTTCTAGTTAAAATTTATTGTAATTGAATGAAACATATCAACAATATATGCTATTTTTAGCTTTCTGTTGTTTTTTGAGCTTGCTCTTTTTTTTCCAGATAACTTCTGGCTATGTTAGTAATAGTGATATTAGACAAAGAGAAAGAAAAGATCAAATTAAATGGGAAAGACAAAGAGAGTATGAAGACCTGATGAATAAGGTAAAATATTTACATAATCATCATATAATTTCCTGTTTTCATATGTAAATACTGATGGGTACAGTTTGTGGCACTTGGAAATTATGACCTCCAGTTATGTATTTAAAAAAGTTTTGAAATAAGCAATGACTTTTTTAGATTATTAAATTAAGAGACTTTAGAGACAAGTTGAGTAACAGCCTCATGATTTTTCATAGAAAATTAAAATGGTTTATAAACAATGTTAAACTAAAATGTATTTATTCATGATATATATTCAGAAACAAAGGAATAACATAGAGTTATATAGATTTGTGGTCCTTGTGTTTTGATAGGTGTTCATGTTCCGTCTATACTAAATGATAATACAAAATAATGTTTGTACCAACAGGATGTTAAATAAATATTTAATCTCTTCTTCATCTTTTATTACAAAATTAGTACTTTTTTTCTGAGATCAATTTCGCAAAAAAACTTACGAGAAAAAATTCTTTTATGGATGTTCTCTCCTCTGTTTCAAAATAAACAAGCTTAATAAAAGACTGTTATAAATAGACAAGCTTAATAAAAGACTGTTATAAATAAACAAGCTTAATAAAAGATTGTTATAAATAGACAAGCTTAATAAAAGACTGTTATAAATAGACAAGCTTAATAAAAGACTGTTATAAATAGATAAGCTTAATAAAAGACTGTTATAAATAGACAAGCTTAATAAAAGACTGTTATAAATAGATAGTATAAAAATAACAGAACTTAGAAAATAGAAAAAAAATGACATGTCCTTTGCTTTTGAGATTATAATAATTAATTGAAAATTTGGCGGGAAATGATTATCTCTAGATTTTTCATACATTTAACATTGGCACCTCTGTTCTTTCAAAAACTATGAAAAAATAACAAGGATTTTATAAGATTTTCAAAAATGGCTTTTTCAACTATATGTCATAAAATTATGAAAAGAAAAGTAGGAGTTAGCAAGCAAAATTTTTATTGGCACTACATGGATAAAACTAGAGGATTCATAATATCTAACAAAATGTCAAAACCAAGAGTAGCGAACATCCTTAAGTCATGAACAGTTCAGTATAATTTCGATCTATTTTTCTCTTTAAGTTTTTTGGTTAAAAGAGCTCCTGTAAGATGTTTTTATTCTTCTGTTTTTGTTTAGTGATGTTGTAAGCTTCCATGTTAACATACTGAATTAGTAGCCACTTGCTGTTGGCAATTCTCATTAAATGAATGAAATACCATTTGCTCTTTTGCACTTATCTTAGAATAAAATTACATAAAGATCAAGGGGTACCCATGAGAAAAAATCAAATAAACCAAAGGCTGTAATATATTATTTCTTGAATGTCAAATTTTATGATACAATTGTAAAAGATCAAGATATAAATAAACCTGACATAACGTCACATTTTTCAGTAATTCTTATAAAATTAATATTAGTCTTAATAAATACTTTTTTTGTTAATGACTTTTCTATGAAATCAAATCTAATTTTCATTTAGCCAGGGGAACCAGAGCAAGGCCAACAACAACAGGTATACAGTCACACTACATCTGTTTGTTTCTGTCTCTCAAGTGGTTTATTTTCAACTTACTTTATAGCAAATCTAATCTTTAAAAGTTGATGATTTTTTTGATTATTTTTAGTTATTATTTTACTAGAAAACTCAAACTTTCTTTACTCTACGGTACTTTGACAGCCCTTTGCACTTGAGAGTTCTAATTAATAATTTATAAATAATAATTTAAGTTTTGGTTATACATATAATGCATGAATTTCTAATCATTTAACAATTTTTCACGTTTTGTTTGAATTCTTATACATGTACATGTATATATTGTAATATTGTTAACTTGTACATGTACATTGTAACATTATTTAACTTGTACATGTACATTGTAACATTATTTAACTTGTACATGTACATTGTAACATTATTTAACTTATACATGTACATTGTAACATTATTTAACTTATACATGTACATTGTAACATTATTTAACTTGTACATGTATATTTCAATACTAATTAAACATTATACTTTTAAGATATATATTGTATTGTCATGTACATGTAGACGTTTAATCTAATTGTTTTTTGGGTGGCTGGTTTCATCATTTTTACTGATACTAGTCAAGTTCCAGCTGCCTTCAGAAATGAAGTCTTTCTTTAATATTGGTTAACAGAAACAGAAACAATATATGAAGGGTTCAGTCTATCCTCCTATTAATCAAGAAGGTGACTAGTGGGATAATATTGATGTGATATTTTATGTGCATGAGAACCAGTTAACAGCTTTTCTCTTATTCTTACCTAATTTACATTTTTTCCATCAGATTGATTATTTTTTTACAATCAATGTGTTGTTCGTTTAATCTCAGTTTTTCATTGGTCAAAATTCAATTATGACATCAAATTGTCTTGCTTTCTTCTGAATTTCCTGTTTCCTATGCCTGATGAAGTCTTGTTTAAAGAACACATATAGAGAACACATCTTTTTTTTAGATCAGTGAAAAAGTTTGCCTACAAACATGTATCATCCAGAAATCATTAGAGAAACAAATTTCACCACTGAATCTCGTGCAATACTATCTCCACTCTCGACAGCAAAAATATCAATATTTAAAAAGCTTGACAAACCTTTTATTTAAAATTTGAAAATTTAACTGTCTGGAGTGCAGAAATATTGTATCACACTTGATGCAGTGATAGAATCTTTCCACTTCATGATGCAAATATCCACTCCATGGTTTGCTTTTGTTAGGCTAAAAAAGAGGAAAATGTCTATTGTCACTTAGTAAACCAAACACAAATGTCATTTCACATGTAACTAATGGTAACGGATTCTGGACTAGTATAATAACAAGTCACTAAAATGCTATGATTAATTATTCATAAAAGCACAAAATCAAAATTTCCAACATATGTAATTAAATCACTTGTTTAATTGAATTACCTCCATGATAGTACTATTGACAGGGACCTCCATGATAGTACTATTGACAGGGAGATAACTGTGTTGTAGTAAAAAAGGGAATTACTTCATCTACATGTATTCATTTTATTTATACCTTTTCGATTGAATATATTTGACCAGTTTTTTATTTGTTTTAAATCTGTTAGAATATTACATTTGATTTCATTGCCTAGGTATCATTGATAGATTGTTCCACTCTTCTATCTCTCAATAGATGGTAAAATCCTATCATAAGATTTTCTAATTAAGACAATTGATACTGTGTCAAAAGTATAAAAGTACAAAAACAAATATTTTTCTTTTCATACCTCTCAGACTTAGCTTCTTGAAGCATACAATTAAAAAAAGTATCAGTGTTTTCATCAGATACAAAGTTGAAGTCTTAAGTATTATGAAGAATCTTCCTCGAAGCAAGATAGAATCTTAAGTAGTATTGAAGAATCTTCCTCGAAGCAAGATAGAATCTTAAGTAGTATTGAAGAATCTTCCTTGAAGCAAGATAGAATCTTAAGTAGTATTGAAGAATCTTCCTCGAAGCAAGATAGAATCTTAAGTAGTATTGAAGAATCTTCCTTGAAGCAATATAGAATCTTAAGCAGATCAGGATGAATAGATTTTACATTTAATTGTTTTTAGCGAACCCCACCAGTATATTATAAAACAGGAGCAGCAGGAAATAGTTTACCATTAGGGAGTTACGAGGAATCCCGTAGGACTTTAGATGATCAGCGCCAACAAGAGTACAATCAATTTGTAGCCCAGGTATCACTGCTAGATGGCGCCATTCGTCAACCTTTTAGTAGATGCTAACATCTTATATTTATTTGCAGCATTTTATTTTAATGAACACTTTACGTATTAAATTTTGACACACCTATTTATATTTTATAATATTTGCACCATGATATTTCTCTTTTTTCAGTGAGTTCCTGCACAATACCTGTTTAATTAAAACCCATGTCATTGTAGCATGAGTGTTTTCCCTATTCATTATTAACATGTCTTTGGTTCTTTACTACAGCGAGTTCTCAGCTTAATTTTCAACTGCATATTTTGATGAGAAGACTGATGGCTTCGGTTTCTTGTTATACTGCTGCTTAAAAAAGTCAGAGATACATTGATTGTTGTGTCCCTTTGTTTTCCTTGACCATCCACACTTAATTGTCTGCAATGTTGCTTAAACTGTTGACTATATTTCAATGAAACTTTCAGAAAGTCTCAAAAAGCTAATGCCGAACTGGAATTTTACACTTCACAATTTAATTTATAATTTTTGAAATTATATCTTTGAATTCTCATAGCAAAACATGGTTGGACTTTGCCGCATCTACAAAGGGTGAATTATTTACACACAACTCTTAAACAAATGAATGGATTTGAATGAAACTTTCACATCTTTCTTTAATATAATGCCGTTGTCCAACTACTATCTTATTTCATTAAAGTAGATGCTGTGAGACTACTAATCATCTAACTGACAAATAATGGCTGCTTCTTTATGGATATCTTGTTTCTGAATGAGATGTGGGGTATACAGGGTATACATCTATAAGACATTTTACAGGTGAAGAGAATTGGTACCAACATCATTTGTATGTGTGTTTGTCAGATGCCCAAATATTACACATTAAGATGGCACATGTATATTCAATCTTAACTGTTACCCACACAGTTTGTACATGTTTGTCAAAAAGACACACAGTTTGTACGTGTTTGTCAAGAGGACACACAGTTTGTTTGTGTGTTTATCAAGAGGACACAAAGTTTGTACGTGTGATTGTCAAGAGGACTGATTGTTGAATTAAAGCATTGATGCCCAAATATTACCCATTAAGATGGCACATATATATTAAATCCTATCAAAAGTGAAGTTGTTATTTGAATATTATTGAATTCCGTTTCTGTCTGTTTTTGTTCTGAGGTAATTCAATGAAGTCAAAAAGCTTGCTTTTGATAATACTTATTCATTGCAGCCATTCATATATTTTTATTACTTAATTCATATTAGATTATCTTGGTATACTTCATTTAACCTCATTACTAATATTGATTAACAGGTATACAGGTATTTTTAAAACTTATATTTTCTATTTTAAATAATATGTTGGAGACCAATGAATGTGAATGGGTTCAGATAGGTTTTCAATGTTGACAGATTTAATTACTTAAATACAAGAAGGAATTTTTGTTCAACCGCATGGGTTCAGTTTTGTCAGGTTTTTCAGTGTAATCAAGGTACATTTGAGAAAAGGTTTGACTGTAATTTCATTCATGAGTTCTAATGATAAGTATAATTTTCACCTGATAAGGTTTATATTCCTTCTATTTATTTTTGATAAGATTTTTCAGTAAACAATGTCTTTTGTTATCGGCTTAAGGTTTATTTAGTGTAAAAAATAGCAATTAAAAGGCATAAAATAAATCAGTGAACCAGAGCAATCAATATGTTGACAAACTATATAAATGTATTGAGTTCAGTCCTTTTGTCTCATTTAAAATAAAAACAATACACCAGTATTTGTTGACGATTAAGGTTTGTTTGTTATTTATTGATAGCTACACATTGTGTTTATTGTTTTACATGTTTAGAAGTTTAAAGGATAATCTCAAAGGGCTATTATCATAATGAATTAGTATACACAATAGCGTGCTTTATTTGGCTTGTTTAATGCTTTTAAAGCTTATTCAAAATAACAAATAACTTTTTGTGGGTATAATTTGTACTTTGATTAAAAAAAAATCTAGTTCATTTTTTTTTTTCATTATACTTGAATAACTTTGAGATGTTCCTTAATTTGACATTGCAGTAAGGTCCTGTGATAACTTTGAAAGAAATTATTTGTAGCTAGAGTTTTTTTTTTGCAGTTTATATGATTTTGCTGTATGTTTTTGTGGAATGTGTTGGTACAGCGTAGTTTGAAACCAAATTATCTCATCTTGTCTGACAGAAAAGTTGACAGAATAAGTGTCCTTGATTTATAGGTTATATATTACTTGTCAGTTTAATAAGGACTGGCTGAAATTAGGTCTTATTTGGTTGCTTAGTATTTTTTTTTTTTTTTTTTATTCAGATAGGAACGCATTCCTTAGAGAGTTCACAGTTGTTATTTTTAAGTGTCTCTCTCTCAACAATAAAACTGGCACAAGAAAGCATGTAAATTCATTCTTTTGAAAGTATTAGACCATTCTTAACTAGTTTTTTTTTGTTATTTTTGAGAATTTGGTTTTGATGTCATAAACTTGGATAGTTTCTGATTAATTAATTCACAATATTTATATACCTGGGAGGATTTAGAATTCTTGACATATTATATAGACACCTATCTATTGCTGTAGGTTGCCCTATAGTTGACTATTGGTTATTTTTGTTGTTTGGTTACTGTCTCATTGACATATATTCTCAATGTCTTCTTTTATTCAAAAGTACAAAAGTAACCAGATTTAGGGAACAAATATAATATTGGAAGACTAGTTTATTCATTGTGCCAAGAAGGATAACTCTTGTAAAACTACCAAGGAAAGTAACTCTTCTGAATATAACATTGGAATGCTAGTTAATGCATTGTACTTATAGTATTCATTAAATGTTTTTATAGAAAAAAGATACAGAAAACAAAAGGAGAGAAGAATTGTACAGAAACTCTCAACAAAATTATAGACCTCCACCTGAGCCAGAAATGTATGATCACGGTCAGATAGCAAAAGACCTCAGAGAAGAACGGCAAAAGGAATATAATGATTATCTTGTAAGTTTTCTTACTTATCCACAATTTACAATGCCACTAAGATAAAGTAGAATGATTAGTTGGGATTAGGAAAATATAACCAGAATTGTTTCTGAGGAGCCATTAGCTCACCTGGCCCAAAGGTCCAAGTGAGCTTTTCTCATCACCTGGCATCCGTCGTCCGTAGTCGTCGTTTACTTTTACAAAAATCTTCTCCTCTGAAACTACCGGGCCAAATTTAACCAAACTTGGCCGCAATCATCATTGGGGTATTTAGTTTAAAAAATTTGTCCAATGACCCTGCCTGCCAACCAAGATGGACGACATGGCTAAAAATAGAACATAGGGGTAAAATGCAAGTTTTGTCTATTATTTTGAAAACCATTATAAATAGAATAAATCTGACTTAAGCAAAAATGTTCAGAATGTTAAACTCTACCAATTGTCTTTTATACGTCAAAACCGTTAGACAACTTCTTATAGGAGTTATTGCCCTTAAATGACAAATTTTACCATTTTTTTTCTTTTTTGCCTATTATCTTAAAAAATATAATAGATGGATAGAAACTTAAATAAGCAAAAATGATCATCAAGAGAAGATCTACAATTAAGATAATTTGGAGGAAATCGTATGACGACTCCTTATTGGAATTATTGCCCTTTAATGACGATTTTACTATTTTTTTGTATTTAGTCTTATATGATAAAAATTATAATAGATAAATAGACACTTTAAATCACAAAAATGATCAGATAGACAAACTAATGGTTTACTTTTACAAATTGTGACTTGGATGTAGAGTTGTCTCATTGGAACTCATACCACATCTTCTTATATCTAAGATCTACTAACAAGTCTAATTTTGCTGAAATAGTTAGTAGACTGTCACTATTTATAGGAGTGATTGCCCTTAAATGAGGATTTTTTTTACCCTCTTTTGTGTTTTGAGCAAAAACTAAAGAAGATAGAGAGAAACTAAACAGACTAAAAGATCAGTTATACAAGATCAACAAAACAGAGATTTTTGTCATGAATTCTATTCTCGTCTACAATGTTGGAGAGTGTCCTTTGTTAAATATGCACATAGACCAAGGTGAGCGACACAGGCTCTTTAGAGCCTCTAGTTATTTCTTGTGATTTTTTAGTTTGATTAGACATCTATCTTTCCCTATTTTATTTATAACAGTTAAATTACATTTTTTTTAAATGTTTCAAATGTGGTTGATATAAGTAAAGTTTTAATATTTATTTAGATATAGAATACGGTTGTACCTGACCTAAAATGAAGATATCAAAAAAAGAAGATTTGGTTTATTATTTTGTACCTGTTATTTTTAGTACAGATATTTTATGAGAAAGGTCTTTCCAGCAATCCTGGGAAACATAGTAGGCAGCATTTCTAAACTGTTCTTCATAATTTGTTTACCTTTAAATGCAAAATGCTTGAAATTTTAGAATAACATGATTATATACATGTATTATGTTATTAAAAAGACATTAATAATTTAAAAGTTACATTAATAATTGACTTTCACTCTTACATGCAAGTTATAGAACAAAATTCTGAAAAGTTCTGAACAAATTTAATTAAGTACCATGACAATTGACTGGAAAATTATATACAAACATTCTGGAACACTATGGAAACCATGGGAAAAGGTAAAGGGATAAAAATAAAATCAGAATAAGGTACAATCAGAAATCAACTGTTGGGATGACAATCAGAGTAAAGAGGATATATATATTACTTTGTGTATGCAGTAGAACAGCACATAAAGCTAAACAGCTGCTTCAGGCTTATGTGCTTATTTAGTGCAAACATTTTTTTACATTTAAACTTTTTCATTTAAAACATTTAGTATTGTTAATGTATTTTCTTTCATTCAACAAATTTAATTTTCATGTTGTTTTTAGTCACAGCATGTTTACTGGTATTTTCTTAATGGTTCTATGATATCAAGACTTGTGTTTTTTAAGTAATTGGGGGGGGGGGGGGGGGGGGGATATGAAAAAAGGAGATTTGGGGGTTTTACTGCACTGAGACAGCAACCAAACAACATAAATTACTAACATATTAAAGTACACCACAGAAATAAAATAAAAAATACAGTAATTTGCTGTGTATTAGATGTTCACCTGGAAAATAATAGCGAGTTCAGTTTTATGACATAATCTGATAAGGGAGATAACCTTAAACTTTTTACAGAAATAATAAACAAAGGTAACTTGCATGTGTCAGTTATGTTCTGTATGAAGCTGCATGGATTTTGTCTGTTATCAAAGATGTGTTCAAGTAATAACAATAGTTGACAAATTATCACAATGTCATAAATATACACATTATCACAATGTCATCATAAATATACACATTATCACAATGTCATCATAAATATACATATTATCACATGAATGTTGCATGGTCACTAAATGCAATAATTGAAATAGAAATTGAGTTTTTGTCGAGCCTATGACTTCTGTCGCAGAAAGCTCGACTTAGGGATAGTGATCCGGCAGCGGCTGCGACGGTTGCATTCACTAACTACTTAAAAGCTTAATATTTCAGAAGGTAGAATAGATGCCTTATGATATGAAGTTTCCATCTGTCATATGTCCATTGTCCTTGACCTCATTTTCATGGTTCAGTGACTACTTGAAAAAAAAGTAATCATTTTTTGTAATCTCAATTTCTCTCTTATTATGAGTAATAGGATAACTATATTTGGTTAAATTGGTATGTGCTTACCTTGCAGGCCCTCATACCTGTCAGACAGTTTTCACTTGACCTCGACCTCATTTCATGGATCAGTGAATAAGATTAAGTTTTTGTGGTCAAGTTCATATCTCAGATACTATAAGCAATAGGTCTACTATATTTGGTATATGGAATGATTGTAAGGTGTACATGTCCATCTGGCAGGTGTCATCTGACCTTGACCTCATTTTCATGGTTCAGTGGTCAATGTTAAGTTTTCCTGGTTAGGTTTGTTTCTTAGATACTATGTGCAATAGGTCATTTATATTTAAATCATGGAATGATTGTAAGATGTACATGTCTATCTGGCAGCCCGTGGTTCATCTGACATTAACCTCTTTTTCTTTGATCATGTTAAGTTTATGTGATACTTGTAGTAAAACTTTATATTTAGGACTATCAACATAAAATCAATGGTCAGTCAAGCAGGCAAGACATTCCAGCATGTGCACTCTTGCTAATAGATTTTAGGATAAACTATGCCGTTCGTAATGGAAAAAAATATGAAGAAATGTTTTTTTAACTTTTTGATACTTTCATATTGTCTAAATTCATGTTTTCATACATTATTTAAAAGGATCCTCCCAGCAAGGGATTTGCACACCATCAAGATAGAAAGAAAATTCTTTCTCAAGAGCGTAATAATGAATATAATGAATTTCTTGAAAAAAAGGTATAGACAAATGGTGTATTATAGACAAATGGTGTATTTTGACTAGGAGATGGATTATTTGTTTCACTTTTTGGTAGAGCACATTGTAGCATCAGTATTTTTATGTGAGAGTTGTTCAAAGTTTTTTTGATTAGCTATTGTAGCATATGCAATTCACAGGTGGTAAACTGGTAGATAAACTTATAACTTATTAACAAAAAAATATTGAAGGACAATTAAAAGGTGTGAGGTTCTTTTTCATTTGACAGTTTGAAAGCTTTAATAACTTACAAAGAAAAAAGAAAAAAATGAACCGAGAAAATAAAGGCAAATTGTAGGTTTTTTTAATGTGTATTTTTTAGATGTTTTAGACAGCATTTTTTGTCAACAGGCAACCTATGATTTGCATATAATTTCTGTTACACTTGTGGGATACCGGTTGTGTAATATATAGCACACATAATGATACCTATTTCAACAAACATGAAATGATATGAATTTAAGAAAAAAACATTGAACATAAGATGTATCTTGATGCCCACTGTTGTTTTTCACATCCAGATATTTAGTTTTGAAATGTTACTACACATATAAATAATAAACACAGTCCTTTCATTTAAGCTGCACCTTGTTATACACATATACATTATGCTTTCAGTTTTAGTTGCAACTTTAGATTGTGTTAGAAAAATTTGCCTTGAGTTTTAGTTGCAGATTGAGATTGTGTTAAACAAGTTTTGCTTTCAGTTGTAGTTGTAGCTTGAGACTCAGCCAAACACATGTTGCATTGATCTCTAGATGCAGCCTGATATTGTATTGTAATCCTAGATCATTACATTTTGTGTTTAGACTGTTGCTACAAATCATTTTTCAGTCTTGGCATTATTTTAAGTTACAACTGTTGCATGAAGTTATGTTTTAGCTTCAGCTTGTTGTCATGTTTTGACTGTAAAATGTCATCATGTTTTAGCCACAGCTTTTCATGTTTTAGCTGCAGTTTGTTGCCATGTTTTTGAGTAGTATGGTGTCATGTTTTAGATTCAGCTTGGTGTCATATGTCTGTCCTAGTTTGTCATATTATTGATTCAGTTTGTCCTCATATTTAAGCTACATTTTGTTTTCATGTTTTAAGCTACATTTTGTTCTCATGTTTTTAGCTTCATTTTGTTCTCATGTTTCATCTGCAGCTTGTTGTTATGTTTTTAGCTCCAGGTTGTTGTTATGTTTAAGCTGCAGCTTGTTATGTTTTAAGGCAGCTTGTTGTCATGTTTTTACTGCATGTTGTCATGTTTTGAACATCATCTTGTTGTCATTTTAAGCTAAAGCTTGTCATATTGTAGAAGCAGCTTGTTGTCATGCTTTAGCTTTAACTTCTTCTCATGTTTTAGCAGCTTGTTTTCATGTTGTAAGTCATTATCATGATGCAGCTTGTCATATTTTAGCAGCAACTTGTTGTAATTTTTTAGCTGCAGCTTGTTAGCATGGGTTTAGCTTCAGGTTGTTGACAAGTTTTAACTATAGTTTGTTGTCATTTTAAGCTGCAGCTTGTAGTCATGTTTTTAGCTTCATGTTGTTGTCATGTTTTAGCTGCAGGTTGTTGTTATTTTTAGCTGCAGGGTGTTGTCAAGTTTTAGCTGCAACTTATAGTGATATTTTAGCTGCAGCTTGTTGCCATGTTTTAGCTGAAGCATATTGTCATGTTTAAGTCAGAGCTTGTTATGTTTTAGCTACAGGATTTTGTCATGTTTTATCTGCAGCTTGATGTTCTGTTTAAGTTGTGGCTTGTAGTCATGTTTTATCTGCAGCTTGTTGTTCTGTTTAAGTTGTGGCTTGTAGTAATGTTTTATCTGCAGCTTGTTGCCATGTGTTAGCTGAAGTTTATTGCCATGTTTAAGCTACAGGTTATTTTCACGTTTCAACAACAGGATGTCATGTTTTAGTCACATCTTGTCATAATTCAATCTAAGCTTGTCATATTTGAGCTACATAGTTTGTCATATCTTAGCTGTTGATATCATGTTTAAGATTCAGCTTGTCATGTTTCAGGTTCATATAAAAATAAGAAGATGTGGTATGATAGCCAATGAGATAACTCTCCAACAAGAGACCAAAGGACATAGAAGTTTACAACTATAGGTCACCATACGGCCTTCAACAATGAGCTTGTTTCATGTTCCAGTTGCAGCTTGTCACATTTCAGCTGTAACTTTTTGTCAGTTTTAAGATTCAGCTTGTCCCTTTTTAAGCAGCAGCTTGTCATGTTTTAGCTGCAACTTGTTGTCATGTTTTTATACATTATGTTTTAGTCCATGTCATTTATAAACTGCAGCCTTTCTGATGTATTTTCAGCCTTTTTTCTGATGTAACTGCAGCCTTTCTGATGTATTTTCAGCCATTTTTTCTGATGTAACTGCAGCCTTTCTGATGTATTTTCAGCCATTTTTTCTGATGTAACTGCAGCCTTTCTGATGTATTTTCAGCCATTTTTTCTGATGTAACTGCAGCCTTTCTGATGTATTTTCAGCCATTTTTTCTGATGTAACTGCAGCCTTTCTGATGTATTTTCAGCCTTTTTTCTGATGTAACTGCAGCCTTTCTGATGTATTTTCAGCCTTTTTTTCTGATGTAACTTCAGCTTGTTGCCATGTTATACATGCATTTAGTAGTGTTGTCATAGTAAATCATTTAACAATTGAATTAAACGTGTACATTAATGTATTACAACTTGTTATTAGATGATACAAGTCATTTTGTTTTAGTATTTAAAGACTTTTGGTTAAGGATGAGGTCGTCTCATTTATATTTTTGCCCTTTTATTATTATTTTTCTTTCTTTCATATTTGTTCATAAGCAGATAAATAGCATTTTGGCTGATTTGTAAATACATCCATCATAATGTAGGGTCATTAGAACATGATAATAAGTTATTCTGCTGAACAGTGCTTAGTACATTTTCAAACAAATTATTTCAATTCAAATTTTTTTCATTTTTGTCATTATTTTTTGCGATTGAATTAGGCTAGTTGAATTGTTGCCTCTTTTGGTTTTATTTGTTTGATGCTAGATGACTATAAATAAAATGGTTTCTTGTTGAACTCAAACACTCACTATTGTGTCAGATCCACTTAGGCATTTACAATTTAACAATTTATTTTAAGCCATTAATCAGATCTTGACAATACTGAGATGCCCAATGTTATCTTGGGAATTAGTAAACCATATTATTTTTTAGACTGTAAGTCAAAGTTTAAAAAAATATATTAACAAAAAATACCAAACTCGAAGGTAAATTCAAAAAGGGGAGAAGTCAATAATAACTGACAAACACTGTAAAAGTCACAACAGTGACCAAATCTACTAATATATACTTTGATTCATGTATTCTATTTATGGGAAGGTTGGATGAAGTGCAAATCCTGCTCATTGTTTAATGGGGAAGAAGGTTACCTTTTGTGTAATGAATTCCTTTAGTTTTCAACAAGGGTCTTTCAAACTTTAACAGATTATTTGTATATACATTGAAGATGTACTGCTCATATTATGAACACATTTGGGATCTGTCATAGATTTTCAATATGGTAAAACCAGTCAATTTTCATCACTTTCCTTTATGTGAGTAGTCCCATTTTGTGCAACAATTTATTTTTGGAACATGTATCAAAAGGTAGTTTTACCAGTATACATTTTTGGGTCAAAAACAGTAGCAAAATGATATATTTTTGTCTGTTTTCATAATATCTACACGAGTGAATAGATAGTGAGAAAGGAGTTCCCCGTCCTCACTTTAAACAAACTTCAAAGAGGATTTAAAATTTTCATATTAATATGCAAATATTTGAAAACTCATTACTCATACCACAAACCAAGGTACCAGTCTTGTATTACAGCTCCAGTTTCCAGTGCATGTCAAAACATGGAGTTAAATAAAATAGTCCATTTTTTCTTGACTGAATTTTTTCTGTTTGATTAAAAGTTTATGCTGAATTGAAACATCTATTTAGATGTAAAAAAATGTTGCATCGCTTGGGGATATCAAACCAGGAAAGTGGAAGGATATCATGTTTACTGAAAGTGGTGCAGACTAGTAAAAACAGCAAACAGAAAGTAGAAAAAAGTAGTTTTGACTTCAGGGTTTCATTACATTTTTTATTCTTTGTGGCATGAGGAAGTTTTTATTCCATTAAATCACAATTTAACATTACTGCATACATGATATGTACATGAACATTTTTTTATATGTAGCATTTTATTTTAAAAAAAATCAAAGATCAGCTGTTTTGCTTGTAAGCCTATGGAGCATGTAATTACAAGACAGTAACCTAACAATTTGCTAACTCTGATGGCAAGTCAGATTATTCAGCTATGTTGAAGCTGGAATTTTGTCCTGATCAGATGTGGATCCAGGATTTTGAAAAGGGGAGGGGCTGGGCCTGGGCCTCCTAATTAGGCAATGTTTGGAGTTAAACAAGTAAAAATTCTGCATTTACTATAAATGTAGCTCCATAAGGGGGGGCCTGGCCTCCTATGCCCCCTAAATCTGACTCTGCTGATTGTTAATCCATTTTTAAATTGTGACTATTTTTTGGAAAAAAATTAAAAATATTATTCATAAAGTTAAGAAAATAAAGTGAATTATGATTGGAGAAATGGTAGGAATGTTCATAAATTTTTGAAAATATGTAAAAATTATTATTGTTTGAATCAGTCCTTTTTAAATCAAATAAGTTATACTTATGTTGTACCATGAAAAGATGGAAATTTAGTGTTGTTTCTTTTTTAAAATATGGTCCTGTAGTATTCTTTTTAAAATATGGTCCTGTAGTATTCTTTTTAAAATATGGTCCTGTAGTATTCTTTTTACTTTTAATACAAATGCAATAGACTGATGTAAGCTTAACAAATGCTTTAGGTAGTCAACCTATAAATAGACTGATGTAAGCTTAACAAATGCTGTAGGTAGTCAACCTATAAATAGACTGATGTAAGCTTAACAAATGCTGTAGGTAGTCGACCTATAAATAGTGTAGAACAATAGCCCTACAATACAAACATATAATCTTAAATAGACGACTAATTTGTTAGAACTTTCCTAACAGAAACAGAAAATATCAGAGGAACACTCTCGTATCAAACACCGACATAGATACACACCAGCTGGTGGGCTACCTATAGGGCAGTACGACCTCCAAAGGAAAAGACTTAGAGATGAACTCAGTCGTGATTACAAACAGTCTTTACTCAAGGTAAATGCTGAATCCATATGAATCATATATAAAAAAGCTAATTGATTTTAATTGTTTACCTGGTTGTATTCTAAAATAAAAAATGTTCACGACTTATTTTTTTTGTATTTTTCTAATTCTAACCAACTTGACTCTTATGTAGGAATTTTTTGCTCATTATTTATATTTTGATCACATTAAAGTCTATTAACACAGTAGACCTTGTTTTACAGTTATATATTTTAACTCCTTGTTTGACAGCTAGTAATGTTAACCCCTTGTTTTACATTTAGATATTTTAACCCCATTTTTTCACTTTTTGTTCTCACACTTTTAGCAAAGACAAGATCAGTTGGTATTTAGGGCAAAGGAATTTCAACTGGATTCAGCCCCTGAATATCTGGGCAACTTAAACGAGGAGAGACCTCTTGTAGGCTCTCCACGAAATTCTTATGAGATTCCAAGATATCAGGTATTCATTGCATGAGTCTTTGTGATTCTTAGTCATTCTGCTATGGTCCTAGTTATATGGTAGTAAATAGACCTCCAGACTGGTCCCGTAGTGACATAATAGTGGTCTAGTTGGGATATATCATATAAAAATCCTAGGCAAACTGGTTTCCAGAAAGTCTCAGTGGGGAGCTAAGTCTGATCTCATAGTCGGACTATATATTCGTAGAGGTATTGGGCTTTAGTATTTATATAGGTATTTATAAACATTAAAAAGCTAGGTAATTTTTTCATACAACAAAATTCACGAACAGTTTTTTGTTTTACAACACAATGAGGTCTGATACCTACAAATTGTGAATTTTTGCTGTTTTTTCGTTCATTGAAAGAGTAAATTATTATATATTGTCTTTAATTTCCTCAATATAAAAATTTTATAACTAAGATGTATATGCTTAAACTATGTTGTTGAACTCAGGTTTACTTGAAGCTGTGCATTTTTTACTCCTAGGAAGTGAATTTAACTAAGTAACTAAAAGAGTAATGACTTGATCTGCTATATTCTAATGTAGTAAAATCCATTATAACAGGGACCATCTGGAGTCTGGAGTTGTTGTAATTTTCTAATAGCATCAACAAGTTTAACCTTTATATAGAACCAGTTTATATTGTAGTAGTAGGTTTAACTGTTGTCTGGTTTAAATTAGCTGTAGTTTTTTGTTTAACAAGATATTAATAGAAAAACAAAGGAAGCCTTCAATAAATATTGAATATAATGTTATTCATATTTTCAGAGTAACTGCTAATAATAGCTTTAGATATGTTATTGTTAAGTGTATTTTGTAAGACAGTTTGATCTTATTTGAGATGTTAGCTGTAAATGGTTATAACTGAATGCATGTATAACATATCTATCTGCTGTATAGTTAATTCTAAACGTTTTTGATATGTGTAAAAGTGTGATACTATAATATTATGAGATGCTTAGAAGCTTATAACACTTTTATATTTACACGCATGAAGTTTTGCACACTATAGCACATTTAATGGACTGATTTGTTTGCATTAAGGTTCACTAACCTAAATTATTCAGGTAGATTAGGAAAACACAATATGGCTCGATCTCCAGATATATTTGGAGGCAGCCATCTTGGATATGTTGCTTATTTTTATTCTGTATCATATGATTTTAAAATTGAAATAAGCATGATTAATTTTGAAAATACTTCTTATCTTAATATTCTTTAAGATATATTAAGAAGTACATTGCAATTATAGAAATTTGTGATGTAACAGGGGAGATAATTACCATTGATTGTATTGATTAGTACATTTTGCTCTCCATTGAGTTTTGTAATTGAAGGGGGCATTACTTACCTCATGTAGCAATATTGTAAAAGACAAAGGCCATTGTTGGTTTCAACAATCATTGGATAACGAAGGGAGATGATAAGTGACAGCTCTGTAATACCATGAATAGATAAGGACCAGAATTGTTACCAAACAATAATGAATAAAATTAGTTTTAGGTTTTCTTCAGATGTTTTGATAAATAAATGTTGTCTTGATTAACAATGATTAATATCCAATTTGCATGTTGAATTAACAGAAGTTAATTTTTTTTCTCAATCTTTTTGAGTTTGCTATTTATTGTTTTTCTCAGCATCCAGAGAGAAAGATTGAATAATAAATGTTTGTTTGTTGTTTATCACTTATATCATTTTAACTTTACTAAATGTTGTGTTTAAACTGTTTGAAATTTAACATCTAATTTTGCATTAGAGAGAGCAGGAAATTCACACTAGACGACAAATACCACCGACTCCACCTGGTGGTCTGAATATTGCCACAGAACAAGAAAGAAAAAGGGTAGAAGATTTAAAGAAAACAATGTACAGAGATGAACTCTTAAAGGTTAATTTCTCATAAAATTCTGCTCACTCATGTGATCATGTTCATAATGAATATGACCTTTAGTAATCAAAGTTTATTATGTGCATGACCTTAAGTAGTTTAAGTTCAAAATGAATATGAGCTTGAACCATGACCTTAAGTAATTTAATTTCAAAATGAATATGACCCTGAACCATGACCTTAAGTAATTTAAGTTCAAAATGAACATGACCTTGAACCTGGTATAGTATGGATATGAGAAATTGTGGTATTGGTTTTATAATTGAATTACTTTCACACTGGTTGTAGTTTAAACTGTTTTACAGTACCTGTTGCATGTGTAGCAAGTTTCTAATGGTCTTTGATATCAACTAATGTTGTGTATGAACTAAATAATGTTGTATAGTGTGTCTTTGTGGATTTTTATTCAACAATAATTGATAACTTTTGTTTACATGTTTGTGTTTTTGCAGTGACTAGTAACAACTTAATTTTTATTCACAATTTAATTATGATTTTAGATAAATAATTCATCCATTTTAAATCATCATATTTGTAGCAACAAAAAGAACAGTTATATAACAGAGCAACACAGCAAGGGGAAGTTTCTGTAATAAACAGATCGTCACCCACTCAGGCTCCACCAAACCAAATATCTCCTAGAGGTAGACCACCTCCACATCCAGACTCAGGTAGAAGGAGAGGACCACCACCTCCACAGAACGACAGAATGGTAAGTTTTATCTCCTAGAGGTAGACCACCTCCACATCCAGACTCGGGTAAAAGGAGAGGACCACCACCTCCACAGAACGACAGAATGGTAAGTTTTATCTCCTAGAGGTAGACCACCTCCACATCAAGACTCAGGTAGAAGGAGAGGACCACCACCTCCACAGAACAGAATGGTGGGTTTTAACTTGTAACAAATCATAATTATTGTGACAAAGTTGTTAATGCCATAGTCTAGTTTAAATAGATATTTACTAAAAGAGCTAGGGAAAATTGAGAAAAGGAACAGTTTTATATTTAAGAAAGTGTAGCTCTTTAAAAATTTTTCAGTTGGTGTGCAATAATATAGTAAGTTTGAAATAATACTAGAGAGGAGATATGAATTATAATATATTTCTTATCAGTAAGATTAGCAGCTAGAAATTGAAACATCAAGGGCATGTTGCTCATAGAAATAGTTTACAAAGCAGTGCATGTAGATGTTCATCTGATTTCGGGTTTGGAACGTGTTTCATTCTAGTTGGCAAATTTTTAACAGAGTTATGTCCCTTGTCTGTATCTAACTTGATGATCAGAGGTATTTGTGTTTTACATATGATATGAACTTTGATACAAATAAATATTTAGACTGATAAAATGATTGGTGAATTTGAACATTTGATTTGTTTTAAGCTTAATAGAACTGTACATCCACATTAAAATGAATATAGATAGGTTACAAAATATTTTAAAGTTCAGATATAAGTTATACATTGTTGTGTGTAACAGGATAAATCCAGAGAGACTCCGAACTACTGGAATGAAGGTCGACAAGCTCCGTCTCCTAAATCTGTAGAATCAGATAGCAAAAATGTTCAACCTAAAAATGGTGAATCTGAAACAAAAAACAAACAGGTATTAAGTGCATGTATAGAATGCAGAGAGTTAGTTCTAAAGTATTCAGATAGTCAGCTTATCTTAATAGGCATGTCTGCTAGTGCATGTTTAATAGATATTTTTTTTCCTTTAACTTTGATGTTTTCTACCATCTGTCATCCATTGTCTATTCAACATTCATCATGTTTAAAATCTTGTCTAAAACCATTGGGTCATATATCATTAACCATGACACCAATAACTTTATAAACTTTTTATGAAGATGCCCCTGACAAACCAACATGGCCATCATAACTATAAATGGCTCATTTGGGGTAAAAGATGTAAAATGGGTATGAGGAACACTAATCCCTTCGTTTTTTGTGAATGACATTCTATATTAAATGAGTTTATTGCATTATTGGAGCTCAAATATAAATTCCAAGTCACTTTTTGTGAAGTTTTTATGGAGAACCTTCTGCACACCAGTTAGATAGGAAACTCTTGTCTAACTTTGTAGTTTTGTGGTTCTCCATATACCCTATTGATTTCTGGGAGAAACAATATTATGCATAGATGTGAGGTGCGTTTAGGTGTTAGGTGCGTTTAGATGATAGGTGTGTTAGCTTACTACAGGTTGTACAGAGGATCTTGATGTAAAGTAAGGCTTGCACATGACAACAAAGTTATCTGCCCATCAGTTAGTTTCAGAACAAAGACAAAATTATATGCTTTAAATATTTTTAAATAGAATGCAGCAGTTGAACATATTATACAGAATTTATATAAAACATTTTTTATTCTATATTATATATTCAGAAACTTTTTGACCACTTTAAAAGTGTTGATATGATTGACTGCTGTATGTTTATACTGCTTTATCATATTCAGCTTTAGTGTATGTCTTATTCTTTGCAATACTAATATTTACATTTTTATACCCCCGCCGTAGCGGAGGGGGCATTAAGTTTTACCCTTGTCCGTCTGTACGTACTTACATTCATATGTCCGTACGTACATCTGTACGTCCCAAAATTGGTTTCCGTTCTCTAACTTGAGTTTGCCTAAATCAAATGTTATGAAACTTATACACAATGCTTATTACCACAAAATACAGATCAAGTTTGAATTTTGGTGGCGTCACTTTAACCTTTCTAGAGTTCTGCCCCTTTATTAATGGAAAAATTCCAAAATGTTTAGTTTCCGTTCTCTTACTTAAGTTTGCCTCTATTAAATGTTATGAAACTTATACACAATGCTTATTACGACAAAACACAGATCAAGTTGAATTTTGGTGGAGTCACTTTAACCATTATGGAGTTATGCACCTTTATAAATTGAAAAATTGCAAAATTTTTTGTTTCCGTTCTGTAACTTAAGTTTGCCCCAACCAAACATTATGAAACCTATACACAATACTTATTACCACAAAACTCAGATCTAGTACAAATTTGGGTAGCGTCACTTGTATTGTTTTTGAGTTATGTCCCTTTATAATGTTGTATGCAAGCGGGGACATCATCGATGTCCATGGGGACACATTTTCCATTTATTTTAATGCATGTCAGTGAATAGTTAATCACTTTTATGATTGTATCCAATATGATTGACATACTGTATGTATAAGGAGTTATCTGCCCTAATTCAGGAAGACTTATCGAGAAATTATGTCAATTGATTGCTATAACCTCAATCTACAAAACAAGGTCATATATTTGAATATATGGAGAGCAAAAAGCAAAGTTTTATAACAATGCAAAAAACCACAAAAGGCATGTACAGGCTATTTCTTTTCTGAAAGTGAGAATGTAATTAATTTTAAATAGTATTCAACAGTCAAATATCAGAATGATACTAAAGAAAATTTTGGATGACCATTGTTACTTAGTCCTTTTTCCCAGATGGTATTGTATAATATATAGATTATCAAGTTAACATGCCTTATCTAATAAATCAAGAAGATACAAGTTTTATAATTTGCTTTGATGAGTATTTTATTTTTACCAAAATTTGTTTCATCAAAAGTTAAATGGTAAAAGCTAATTTCAGGATAAATCAAAACTAATAATTTTTGCTCCATGAATTTGACATCAATATTTTTCCTCGGAAACTGCCTTTAATCATACGATCAATGATAAAATTCTTCTTATTAAATTATTTGAGCTACTGCGAAGGAGGATAAAAGAGAGGTGAAAGATATCAAAGGGATATTCAAACTCATAAGTCGAAAACAAACTGACAATGTCATGGCAAAAAATAAAAACGGTAAAGGTACCTTACCATATGGTCTGAATGATAAACTGGTGTATTTTGATTTATACAGCCTATGGAAAGTCACAGACCCCAGGAAGGAGAGCTGAGGACTGGCTTCTTTGATGACAGAAGACAGAGTCCCTTAAACAGAGATGAAAGGCACCAAGATTATCAACAGTTTTTAGCAAATGTATGTATATTATTGGGATATTGTGTTTATATTGTAATTGTTGGTGTAGAAATAGAAGTATTATACTTAGCATAGTGGGGACAACACATCTTTTTCAAATAACCATCACCATTTAAGCTTGAGAAGGAAAATCACTAGATGTAAGTGAAGATTTGAATCAGACCTTGCTGTGTCCATTGTATCAAATGAATAATTGTAAAAGATTTGCAGATTGGCAATTTAACTACTTTTTACTTATTACTCAACTTACATCAGTCTTCTGTCTAAACCAGACAAGACTTAAAGGGCATACGATACAGAAATGATCCCTCGTTGATTTTTCCTCAAGATTTTGACTCTAAGTCAATTTTGATATGCACTTTTGAAATATACAATGACAAATATATCATCATGACTTACTTTTCCAGATATTTCAGTTTTTTATGCCCCCTTAAAAGATTTCCTGTAAATATACTACAAGTTCATTTTTCCATTGCAAATACTTTTGAATTCAAGTAATCTATTTGATGATGTTAGTGATTTTCCACAAATTTTCTATTATTTTCATTAGCTACGATTAAAAATCAACATGTTACATTTGGATATATTATTATCTGCCCTTGCTACTGTATTGTATGCCCTTAAGATGTGACTTTTTGTCAGTAATTTCACTGTTCTTTTGGTTAAACCTGGATAGAAATGACCTTGGCTGATATTTTAAGATTAGAAATGTCAGCATTTAAAAAATTATGACATGAATTATTTTCCTGCAAAAACATTGGATTTTGTTAAGAAACAGCAGTATATATTTATAGAAACAGAGAGAGGATGATATGAGACATCAGAGATTAGAGGACCAACGACACGCACCACATCTGGATTTATCAAAGGGAGATTACTATGATGCTGAAACATATGAACGAAAGCGACAGTCTTTAAATTCAGAGAGAAAGAATGATTACCAGAATTTCCTTTCAAAGGTAAGTTTCATTCTTCATACCCACAATGTGAAAATGGGACCGTATTAAATAATAAGATTTATTAATTGTCATTCAAAACTGGAATATTTTGAAACATGCATTTTTAGAATTTAAACTTTTTGAAAAGATGACTACATATTTTGGGATGGTTTTGTTTTTTAATTTGAAAGTTTATTTAATAAAACATTTGGTTCTTTCACAGTGTCATAGATAGAGACACATATATTGATTAACTTAACTTCTTTTACCATGGATTCAGTTGGATGAAATGAAATCAAAGAAATTTTATAAAGAAAATTATAAAAAATTTAACACCTGCAGTGACTGGAAAAACAGATTTTTCTAAAAAATAAAATTGTATGTCCTTTGTTATAAATCTGTTAGAATTTTACAATTTCCTTATTGTTTATTTTTTAATGACTTGAAATTGTTCTTAGAGAGTTAGAATAGAAATTATTAACATATTTGGAACCTATGCATGTTAATTTTCAAAATATTTATAAAAGCAGTCATATTTTGGTTAAGTCATTTTATTTTAATATTTGTTTAAAGAAAGATTTGAAAAAAAAAATATTTATGTTAAGATAATAATGAGAAAAAGACTAAATTTTTTTAAAATAACACCATTATGTCACAAAGTATTACGAAAACTTCTGATCTATTAATGTAGATAAAAAAAATCTAAACACTGATTAATAAACTAGCATGCAGACATTTTATATTTAATGCTATCTTTCTGAATCTAATGTTTTTCATTTTCTTTTTCTATGTTTTGTTTGTCTCTTTTATTTATACAACCTTTGTTAATTCTGCAACAACTGAGTGTTTTATCATGTATATAAGCAGACAAGCTGAAAATGTCACTTTTTCCAAGAAAATCTAATTGTCACTCTTTCTGCTATATGAAAAAGAAGAATTTTTAACTTTTCAAGAAAGAAAGTTTTTACAAGTTTTAGAAGACTTTTATTTGTATTATAACAGCCATACCGTTACCAAACACCTAAGTATGGTCTTCCTATAGGACAGTATAGGTATATACCATTAAGGAAAAGTCTTGAAAAACAGCGCAATCAACAATATAATGATTTTTTGGAAAAGGTATTACTGTTCTGACGGTACTTTAATACATTCTTTTTTTCTTGTGCACTCCTGTATGTTTTGACCTCTGTATATTCATCTGATATCTGGACAATTTACATTGACTGATTTCAATCAACCATGCCATTTTTTTTTACATTTTTTTTTACTAAATACAATGAATATTAAAAGAGAATAAAAGTAAAACTTTGCAGAAATTTTAAGTGACTTATTTTAAATACCAGTTTGTGATTAAAGAGACAAAAACATTATTTGAGTCGAAGTCATTGTGATAAGTTTAACTGGACTGGCTCAAATGAAAATAAATACTGACTAGGTATTATTTAGACCTCTTTGTAGGATTTTTTTATTATATTCGTTTAAAAATTTCATAATGACAAAAAGAAATATCAGTGTTTGATGAAAAACAGTCAGTGTAAATTCTCAGATCATTTCATTATTTTTCATTTTTTATTTGTATTTTTGGTTATTGTGAATTGTTATAAACTGTTGCAGTTGTTTGATTTTTCTCATGTAAGTTTGATATGTGACAGGAGAATGTTTTTATTGTTACAAGTTTCACAATCAGATTGTTAATTGTATCATATGTTTGTTCCGTCAGGTGTGCAACCAGGTTATCTGCAAATTTCTATTCCAATAAGGTTTTTAATAATAGCTGTTCTTTTCTACCCATTTTTGTTTATTTTTAGAAATGTTCAAAATATATAATTAATTTTTAATGCAATGGTTTTGTTTTGTCCAGTTAAAATTGAGTTTTGCTTTGTATCCAAATCCATCTTTATATTTTTGAAATTGAATATTTTTTTTTTAAATTTAAGAAAAATACTTCCTATCGGAACTTCTATAAAGTAACCATACTGTCATATCACAAAAAATCATTGCGTTTCATAGAGGCCTTAAACCATACTGTCATGTCACAAATAATCATTGAGTTTCATAGAGGCCTTAAACCATACTGTCATGTCACAAATAATCATTGTGTTTCATAGAGGCCTTAAACCATACTGTCATGTCACAAATAATCATTGTGTTTCATAGAGGCCTTAAACCATACTGTCAGGTCACAAATAATCATTGTGTTTCATAGAAGCCTTAAACCATACTGTCATGTCACAAATAATCATTGTGTTTCATAGAGGCCTTAAACCATACTGTCAGGTCACAAATAATCAGTGAATTTCATAGAGACCTTAAACTATACTGTCATGTCACAATTAGTCCTATAGTGTTTTTAGTATAACATCTGTTTCCCATAGTAATTCATTTACATAGAAATCATATAGCCACAGTCGTATAATAACATTGGTTACTAATCATACAGTTATATACCTATAGTCAAACATTTGAAACTCGTACAGTGGTTACATTATATAGTCTTATCATTTTGTTTTCAATATTTTTACATCACTTCAAACAAAACTTAATGCAAGTTCATTTGGTGGTGGGAATCAGTAAGATTACCAAGCTGTAGTATGATAAAATTAGTTATCTATCTCAAATTTTTGGGTGATTCAGCAAAAGGAGAACAAACCTCCAATGTCTCAAGTTAAAGAAACTGAAGATTTTCAAACAGAAAGACGCCATGTTTTAGCTGAAGAAAGAAACCGAGAATACAATGAGTTTTTAGAACAGGTTTGTTTGGTTGTGTAAAGGTTGTGGGTACACTGGCACAGTGTAAAATATGACAAGTAATTAGTTGGAGATTTTTGTAATCTTTAAAGTAAGGTGTATGGAATAAAAAGTGGTGTGGACTTTTGAAATTTAAATTTCGTAGAGTATTGTGGAATAGTTTAGTTTGTACATCTTATCTTAACATTTGGACTTGGGTTGTGGAATAATATTGTTGTAAAATGATTAATTAGGTCAGGTTCTGATTTCTATATATAAAAAGGTCAACTCTATTTGGTCTATACATTTGTTGTATACAATGGTAGATTGAGTGTAAATAAAGCATTAAATAGATGTGGTAATAGAGTAAAACAATGAATAATACTTTTTAGATGATTTTCAAAAAAATTGACAAAATCAATATTCAGTAACAGCAACATATAACATACTGTTGATTGTAACTAGATATTTATGGCCATCTGGCATCCCTGAGAATTTTTGACTAGCAATGTAAAATAAAATTTCTGAAGATGAATTTGAAAAAAAAAAAGTTTAGAGAAATTAAAACTTCTGTTTTTCTCCTGAATAGAAACGAAAAATGAGACCTATAACAAGTGACATGGGCGGGATAACTTACGCATCTAATTACAAGAAAGATACCCGGCCTCATTCTGACAGGATCTTGTCCCTTTATAAAGCTTTACCACCTGATCAGAGGTCAGATATGAGATTAAGACCAGTGACCCCTGATCATTGGTCAGCTAGTTTAAGTATCAATGAAGATGCCAAGACGGCCAGAAAAATGTCAATGAATATGGAACGGAAAAGAGAATATAACAATTACTTAAAAACCCAAAGCAGTAAAAAGGTATTTGATTAAAATCTAATCCTGTCAAGTTTGAAGATATTTTTTTTTTCGATTTGAAAAAAGTTTTATTTATATTCTTTTTCATATGAGCAAAAAAATTAAATTCTTTAACTTCAATTTGTGTTTTATTTATGTCAACGATATCTCATTTGACATTTTGTCATGTAATTTACTGGAATAAGTTTTCAAGTTTTCATTTTTGAAAGCTTAAGATAATAAACAAACACAGATAGATATGAAATATATAAATTATATGTTTGTAAAATAGCCACAGGGATTGACAAAGGAGAACACTCCACAAGGCTATGGCAGTCTTCATTTCAATGAAGAATATAGCGAAAGACGTGAAATAGCACAGAAGCAGGCTCTCAATGAGGAATATAACCAATACCTTACAAAGGTATATATTTCATGTACCAGTCTTCCCTTCTCACACATTTATAACATTAAATGGATTCAAATATCTTGTCAGTAGTGAGACTAAATTGTTTTACACTTTCAAAAGCTTTTATTTAAAAAATAAACAGAAAAAATGAATGTTTTTTTCGTAAATAGGAAAAAATTCTGTCAAACCAAATGAAGTCAGAATTGATCGACCACATAAGAGAACTTATGATTAAATGCTATAATGGGCTAAACATGTATTAGACAAGTTAAGATCAAGGAAAACTGATCTAAAATCTCATTTTTGACATTATGATGAATTAGTGGTTAAAAGATTTAAAATTTGATGACATATCTTATTGCGATTGGCTTATAGGAAGGTTTGAAAGATGAAAAAGTTGAACCTCTGCAATTGGAGGAAGATTTTCAGACTAGACGACAAAAAGAACTTGCCATGGAAAGGCATCAGGATTTTGTAGATTTTTTGGAGAAGGTATTATGACAACATGATGTGTTGAAGCTATGGTGGTTTTAGTCATTGTGTGTTATAGAAACATAGTTCATCTCATTCATACCTAACATGGCTATGGTTTACAAATTTTAATTTTATAGTTGACAATCTGTTGAAGTCAGATATTTATTGAATTAGTGTAAATGGCTGATAATTTTTTTCTAGAACTTCGGTTTTTGTTGCCATTTGGCATTCATCATTAATTATCATTACCAGTCAAAAACAGGATTGTAGCCATCTGAAAAGTTTTGTTATGGAATAATAATGATAAATTAATAATAATAATAATAAATTCTTTATTTAAAGAGGGTAAACACAGTTAGTTACAATAAACTAATCTTCCCTGAGGCCCTCACATACAAATTACAATACAATCAAAAAGGAATAGATTCATTCCAGTTGTCCTCAATACATTTAGCCATTCCAGTTGTCCTCAATACATTTAGCCATTCCAGTTGTCCTCAATACATTTAGCCATTCCAGTTGTCCTCAATACATTTAGCCATTCCAGTTGTCCTCAATACATTTAGCATTATGTTTTCTGTGTTTCCCTTTCTTGTTTGTTTATATTACTTTGTTGGATTTGCCATGTTGATTCTGTCATCCATTTTAAAAATTGTTTCATTTGGTATTCTTTGCTTTCTGTATATAAATAACTAGAATGAGAGTGATAGTCTGAATGTAATTATACTGTTCATTATAACAGCATATTACCTTGTATGCTTCACAACTTGCTTGTCATAGATTTACACTGTGCTGCCAAATTCACTTTACAATTTTGGTGTAACTAAAAAGGAGGGAATTTTCACCAAATGTTTTGAAATTATCACATAAATGGACAATTGTTTCACAAAAGTATTTTTTGTTTCTTTCTGAAGCTGAAAGCATTAAGAATTAAGAATGAAAAGAAAATATGTATTAACAAATTTATTTAATTTACTATATATGCATTTTTTTTCATTATCATAGTTAACCATTCATAGACAGTATATTATCACATAGAGTCATAGTCATAATGAGTGTCATATTATTATTGTTTTAATTTATGGATTTTTTCTTTCTTCCTAAAGCAAATTATTGATTGCAGCATCTCTATTTTTAGTTTCAAATTTATCTGTGGCTAGACTTGAAGGAGACTCTTTAGCTATCCTTTAATTATTGTTTTTTTTTAAATTATTGATTTTATATCCTGACAAAGTTTTGTTAAAAGTTATTTGTGAAATTGATGAAAAATGGAAGAGATGTCTCTTTTGTTTAATCATAATATTTAAAAAAAAAAATTAAGAACAAGATTTTTGCTCTGTAAAATAAGATTAGTTTTAGCTGTGAGGAGCTAGAACACACACATCATTTCATATATATATATATGATAATTACTGCCCCTGATTTTTTAGCAAAATAGTGGAGTTTCCTCCCAGAGAAATGGTCCTATTGTTAATGTTGGCCTTCCATTATATCAAGAAAAATATGATGATCATTATAACCAACTGAAACTGAAACGAAACAACGAATATAATGAGCTCCTAGAGCAGGTAAAAGTTGTCCTTGACTAAAGTGATTATTTCCCACCTTTTGCTGAATAAATAGTACCTCACCTACCAATCTAACTAATCATAATTAACTGATATCTAAAATCACTTTTGTTAGCAACACAGTCCTTCAGTTTTATGTTCACTAAAGACAAAATGATTTTCACTTCTTTCACATGTATATTTTTACTTATTCCTCACTGCAAGTTCACAGCCTTTATATTTTAGTTTTTGCCATTACTCAGTAGTATTTTTATATGCCCGTCAATGTAATACAGTATACCATTGTCCATGTGTACTTTTTTCCAGTTAACATGTGTCAAGAGACAGCATCCTTTGCAAAATTTACATTTTTTTTCTATTTTACAGATTATTCACATGTGTTTTTGGCGGTCAAAATTAAACTTTTACACTAAAAGAACCAGTGGCACATGAAACACAGAATCCTGTGAACCCTGTACATTTTTTATATATATCATACTTCCACTCCACATTAATTAACCATCAATCAATCATAAAACTTGCTGTGTCAGATACATGATGTATGTCATTTTTGCATGAAAGTCAATTATTATCAAATTTTAAGAAACATTCAGATATTTTCCCTGATTCCATTTCTGGTTTTTTTTTCATTTCCTTGTGATAAATTTTAATCAGTTTATACATCTTCCCTAAAAATTAGAGCTTTCAGTTAAAAAACCTCTTTCTTTCATATATATTTTTTCAACATTTACAATTTTTCTTCCTTCACTTTTTAACAAGGGTAAGCTATTTATTTAATGTGTACTTATTCTGATTTTTAAATATTTTAATGTATTGAGTATTAAACTTTTTTTTTCTTCAGATGAGTAACAGACAGAACATGATAGCAGATAAATTATTTGTATGTTCTTATCCCAACATTGACATTCTCATGTATATCCTTCCCAAACATTTACGTTTGTACTTTCAATGGTCATTAAATTATAGAAAAAATGTCTCAGCAATTGTACTTTTTTATCAAAAATAAACAATGTCCATGGTTCTATATAAGATATTTGAAGTACAGGTCAAAATAGCCAGTGAGGCATTTGTAATACATTTACCTAAAAAAGTTTTTAAAAGCAGACAAGCCAATTATGCTCAGTTATCCAAAACAAGGCTTTGTTTTCTTTTTTATTGTAGTCAAAGTAGTTTAAGAGTTATTCAAATACATATGTGTTTGGTCAGATGAAATTTTGAAGCCTATTTAAGAGAAAAGTACATTTGAGAGGAAATTCTACTAAGGTTTCAGGAAATATTGTATAACAGTAATCTGATATGTTCTTTAATAAAAGATACCAGATGTGTATGGTTATATTGTTAAATATTTAAAAAGGAACTACAAAACAGAAATATTTAAAGTGAAGTAATATTTCAGAATCTGAAATTTAATGACCATGCTGTAGAATAGGAATGACATGTTTAGATATTTAACATTGTGTTCTAATGTCACATGGTTTTATAACTTCATCTGATTTTAATTCTTACAAACTGTACTGTGTTCTGGGTTTGACTTGTTTCAGAGGTGATATTTTCAGAAACTTGACTTTTTTTATTCTTTAGATTTTTTTCTGTTCAATGTAACATTAACTGTTTTCTCTTCAGCCTATATTTACTATTAACAAATAAACATATATTTAAAAGTATAATTGCTTACAAATACTATATACATGTAGTCTGATTATATATAGCTTATATAATATATCTTTACATACATAGTATTTTGAATATTGCTTGCTTTATTTTATTATTATTATTTGCTTTATTATTATGATAAAGATTCAATAAACAATGTTTAAGAAATAATAAATATGGGGAAAGAGAGGGGGTTGGAAGGCATCTTTATCTTATTGGGAAAGAGAGGAGGTTGGTAGGCATCTTTATCTTATTGGGAAAGAGAGGAGGTTGGAAGGCATCTTTATCTTATTGGGAAAGAGAGGAGGTTGGAAGGCATCTTTATCTTATTGGGGAAGAGAGGAGGTTGGAAGGCATCTTTATCTTATCTAATTAAGTGTCAACAATTAGTTATATAGTGTTTTTTTTTTAAAGACAAATCTTCAGGAACAATATCTTCAGAAATTTAACAAATTAAATTCTAAATGCCTTCCAATCCATTGTTCCAATACTTGCTGGAAAATTCCTGATGGGTTCAATGTAATAATAATTTACTCTAATTATCTTTGTAAGAGAGAATTGCTTTCACCTTATCATATGAGAAAAATAAAACTTGATCTCTACATTACTGCATGAAAATGACCTTCACAATGCATTATAAACCTATTTCCCTTGGGTATTGAAAGATCAATGACTCTATCCATATTATATTAACAGTAACAACCATATAAACAGTTTTGAGAATAAGGAGATACATTGTTTATCTCCATCAGTGACAATCAGGAAATCAAGGAACTCTTTCAAATGTTTTTTTGTAACTACCAATTAGAGGTAAACAATTTGCTGGCTGCTCAAAAAATAGTTTATTGGTTTAGAGCATGTGTTTAAATATCTAATCTATTTTTTATTAATGTGAAGCTCATTCCGTCATATTTTTGGACATTAAAAACAAAATTAGAAAAGTTTACAAATTTTGAATGGTAATTTATATTAGGTAATCTATGAAGTACACATGTGATTAAAATCACTCTTAATACAAATATGCTGAGAAAGTTTATGTTTAATAACACAAAGCTTATATTGAATGAAATGTGGAATTGTATTTTAGACAAATCGTCCTTCATATAGGCAGTATACACCAGAAAGTCTTCAGGGGTTACCGATAGGTCAGACACGATACGATCATCAGAAACGACAACAAGAAGTACAACGAAACAGAGAATATAACGAACATTTAGCTAAGGTAGACACCAAGTGTGCTGGGATATTGGCTGTGTTAACATTAATACACTATTTTCTGCCTTTTCCTATGCACATGTATCTTTTTTTTCTTCCAGTTTGCACTAGAGTTATCTGATCTTGATGGGCACAGGGTTAACTTTCCATTGTTTACATTTTTGCATTATTTCATTTCATCTTTCTTCTATTTTGCATTTATTTACAATTGTACTTTTTTGCTTCATCTCTCATTTTTTTTTTTTTTTTTAATATTTATTTATTTGTATCGTAATTAAAAAAAGAAAAGAATTTTGAAAGAATGTGCACTATAGTAAAGGTCATTAATTGGCCAAATTTCTCACATAGCATTGTAATTTTGATTTAATATTTGTAAATTCATAGCACTATTTGTTCTGTGGTGGTTTATTGACCATTTGGTAATCTCTGAGAATCTTTATGGACTGTTTGGTCATCTACCTAAAAGTTTATGGATCAAAGTGAATCTGATGTTCTTACACTTTATGACAGATGCTAAAACGGTCCACATAATTTCCATTTGATTAAACGGTCCATAATCTACTATTTGGCCTGAAATGACTAGAAATATGTTTTTGATAATGTTTAACTTATCATATATTGACTGAATTCAAAATAAATTTTCTCATACACTATTTAGTGCTTCTTGCACATGCTTGAAATTTCTCAATCACTTATTTATGTCATATCAAACCAACTATTAAATTTTAAGAACAAAGATTAAATTTGCACTTTCTTTCAATCTTTAATTCATAATCAAATTTCGCAATATTTCAAAAACCTTTTAGTTAAAGCTTTGATCCTATTTGAATGGTCAATTTGCTTGTTTTGCTCAGCTTAAAGAAATGGACATGGCATTTTGTTTTGCCATTATGAATTGCTAAACAGTTTCAATTTTTTTTTCAAATAACTAAATATATATTTTATGTCCTGTGGATCCCTGAAAATTAAGTATGTAATGGCATGTTTTGTCACAATTTATTTGTGGACTTTATAGAAAGGAGAGAAGATTGGAATGGAAGATGAATTACTGACGAGACGTGATATGACCTTGAAGAAATACATGGAAGATCAAGTTAAGAGTGAAATGCATGACAAGGTAAACAAGGGAGACTACTGAAGAAAACAACAAATAATTCAAGAAAGAATAAAGTTGACAGGTTTTGTCAACAGCTTTTTTTCAATTTGCTATTCACCTAAGAACATCTCAGAGATCTTGTTTTCAATGAAAATTTAATATAAAGATTCATACACACTAAAAATGCCTTTTTTTAGGTTTTAAATAAAAATGTCGGATAAAAGACTGAAATGGTATAGTCATGGTATTTAATGTGGATATTCTATACATTTTTTTGGGAGAAGGAAACCTGTAAGATTATTTCTAATTTTCATTTTTATAAAAATTAAATTTATCATTTAAACTTTAACTCAAAATTCATTTGAAAATACAGTTTCGGGATTTCACAAAACCGGAGAAAGATGTTGGCCCAGATAAATTTGGATTACCAATAGGTCAGTTTAGGTATGATGATTGGAAAAAACATCAACAAGTGGAACGTTCTAAAGAATACCAAGAAATGCAGGCTCAGGTATCTGACTTGTCTGACCATGCTATGGTAGCACTACAGATGGGATTTTTGGTACGGGAATCGCACCATTTATAATATTTTTGGTACGGGAATAGCACCATTTATAATATTTTGGTTACTGGTGCTTACTTTGTTAAATTATAGGGATATTTTTTTCTTTTTATGTCTTATGGTGAAGGTTTTATATGCTATATAAGTCATTTTTATATAAACATTTATGGTATGTAAATCTCATTTTATGGCATTATTCAGTATGTAAATATTTTAACTTCATCCTTAAGTCCTCTCTATTTAATTTTTCATGTCAGTATCTGTAGTTGCTGGGTTTTAAGTTATGAAAATGTCCATATCCATCAAACTATTCTTAGGAAAATTTAACATGAACACTTGATTATACTGCTAAATGTTTAGTTTGCAAGAAACATTAATGTTTTAAATGTAAATATTCATTCTACAAAATTATTTGTTTAGTAAATATTATTTAAAAGACAAACAAATTTTGAATGACAGATAAATCGTTGAAAAATGTTTTATTAGGGGTGGCCTTTGAAAAAAAAAAGAATTACAAAGAAAATACATGTACTATAAAGAAAGATTGTCTTTCTTTAGTAGGCTGCTTTCATGTTGATTTTTCAAGTCAGAAATAAGGCAGTTGTTTTTTGCTTGTTTCTTTGATTGACAGTGTTTGATTTTGTCAGTTTTTATGGACATCCCCTTTTTGAATCTGCCTTGGAGTTTGGTATTATTGTTATACTTTTTTAAACTCGGCACAGATGTTATCTAGAGTATCTCTAATTTTTTTTTCAACTTATACTTTGAATTCAGTCATGTGGTAGTTGATTGTTGCTAAATGTAGCATGCTTGTAACAATATTTGTCTTTAATTTCCGGCTTATAGAAATGCCTTATATTTTACTTTATATAGGGGTATATACTTTATCATATACACAAACACTATTTAAGGTAGATGGGGTGTCTAAATTAAAATCCATAGAATTTTTGAATAATTTGTCAAAATGTAGTTTATATCATGCTTTTTTCAAAAATATGATAAAAAGAATGGGTCACGTGGCTTTTTTTCTCACTACAGGTTGTGCAAAATTGTCAAATTTTGTATAGATTATGCATGGAAAACCCAATTTTGTGTGATAAAAAGAAAACTACTCCATAGAATTTTAAGATTAAATATGAGAAGATAGCTCTAATAATATGCATTCAGATAAGAAAAAGAAAAAATGGGGTCACCGGACTCGTTTTCTTGCTACATAATAAAATAGGTAAATTCACAACACATTCTATTATAAAAGTTACTTTATCTGAGTTTTCTCCCCTTATGTGGCAAAGTTGAAAAAAATGAATCAAGCAAAAATATTTTGTTTTTTGTAAAATACAGCTGTAAATATATTAAAACACATAATTTTCTATATTAACATGAAAAGTCTTACACATGAATTACATACAACTCTAGAAATTTGCACATTTTATTAAAGATCTAGACGATTGTTATCTGCTATTTCAAAATCCAAGATGGAGGAAGACACCCTAGCCACCTTAATAGCACAATATTATTTGAAATTTTTTAGATGTTTTTTTTATATTTTCAAGTCTGTATTGAGAATTTTTATTTAACCTAAATTTTGACTTGAGGAAGAACCATTTCTTACTACAAATATGTAAAGGTCCATTGGAGTAAGGTCCATTCTTCACAGAATTTAACAGTACATTTCAATATGGGACTTTATATTGTTATTTTGCAATCAAAGACCCTAAAATAAAAAATTTGAAAAGGTGTATAAAGAGTTGACTGAAATGATATAGAATGCTTGTACGGTATTTGTGCCAATGAAAGTAATTAAGTTCATTTTATATTTGTCACATTATTGTAAAGATTGTACTTTGGCAAACATTTCTAATACAAACATCAAGGTACATATTATCACTTGATATTTCCAATTATAGTTTTTTTTATGTGCATGTAATTTATTTCATGTATACTGTAATAACTCTAATTATTTTGGGAGTAAAGAAGGCCTACTTTTTCAATTTTTTTAAAAAGGTGTTATACATGTAATCATAGTACGTCATATCCGGTGTCATATGGTATTTTGAACCCCATGGAAAATTGACCCCGGGATCAAAATACCACTATGGTAAAATGAACCCCCCCCCCCCCCCATGGTAAATTGAACCCCCCCCTGTATGGAAAATTGACCCTCCATGGTAAATTGAACCCCCCTGTTTTTTTTCATTCTAGATAATTATTAGAACATTATACATTATTTTAAACCTTATTATAGATTGAAAATCAGACATACCAAAAGGGGAGGTGAATTTTCCATGGTAGGAAAAAAAAAAATACCATGGCTTGGTATAAGTACTCTGAACATGCTAAAGTCTTTACCAACAAAATTTCATTCAAAATACTTATTGAAGCATTATGACTAGACCATGTACCTTGAATGCTTTGGTTATTTGAAATCCTAACATATAAAGGGAGTTAAATTTCCCATGGTAAAAAAGGGGGAGGGGGGTCAAAATACCATGGCTAAGAAAAATTTTCAAAACATCTTTTCCAGCATGTTTTATACATACATACTACTTATTGGACTATTACTGGTTCATATGAAAAAAGGTCGAAAATGATTATTCCCTTGAATTTGAAAGTTGTAGGAAATTAACCCTGCATTTCATTGCAGAAAAAAAATTGAGAGCCATAAATATATATCTTGGGTATTTCAAAGCACCATTCTTTTTTATTTAGTGTTTTCTATTAAATATTTTTGAAACTTGATAACATGGTTACTACAGCTTGTAAACAGGAAAAAAAAAGGTGTGAAAATTTGATTGGTTAACTTCTAGTGATGGTTATTATCTTATCTGCAATGAAATGTATGTGAACTTTTCATTGTAGTACTAGACAGGATAAAACTTTACTCAAGTATTTCTTTATTTGAAACCAAAGATAAATTCTGCACATTTTTTTGAAAAGTCCCAATTTAGCAAAGACTAATAGGGGAAAAACAATGGTGGTATTACTCCAAAAGTGACAAAAAAGTATTGCTGCTAAAAAAAATAATAGTAATTGTGGTAATAACTAGTTTACTTTTGTATAAGATCCTCTTTTTTTTTATTTTGTCCTTTAGGATGTATTTAGTTTTAAATTTATAATAAAAGTGACATTATTTTGACATTTGAACAGCAGTCTTCAGGTCACCATGAATGGGTTGATACTTCAAGCCCTGTTGGAGCTTTAGGCGGGAAAGATACTTATAGTGATAATAATAAGAAAAAGTTCAACAATCAACGTCGTAAAGATTATAATGAAATTTTAGCGAAGGTATTTATCTACTCCGTTCCTTTGCTTATTAATGCCAAATGCTTAAGTTAATGTTAAAAAACTTGATACATTTGTACCAAGCTCTAGTAACATGAATACAATGTATTTGTATTTTTTTTAACAAAATTTGAAAAATAAAAGTTCACTTTGAATATCCATCATTTTGCCATTTTACATATGACACATTTAAAATCTTTAAGGGATTAGTGCATGAGCCAAAAGTAACATTAACCTTATATCTTTAATGGTAACTTCCTGTATTAGAGTTCCTTTGAAATATACTTTGTCAGATTTTATTGACTATAATCTCCATAGAGATGAAAATTTTACTGAATATGCAAGAAATATTTGTCTTTAGATGTTAAGGAATTAACAATTATCTTTAAGATGTAATACATCATACACATGAAGTAAATAAGATGATACACACATCTCAAGGGAGGTAATTAACCAGATATTATTTGACGTATTTCTATGTCTCGGGTCCTAAAGGTGTCCTAGCAGCAAAAGATTTATATTATGAAAATATACGTAAAAAGGTCAATGCAGATAGAAACCAAGACTACAATAGAATATTGTCAGAGGTCGGTTTGGCAAATATTGTGATTTTTTTCTGCTTAAATTTCAATATTTTATAACATTTTGTAATTTCTATCTGCTTACATTGTAATGTCTATATAACATTGTATATATTTAATAACTTTGCTGTTAACAGCATGACTATTTGTATATTTATTTATTTTGTTGTATCTGCTTACATTGTAATATTTATGTAACATTGTAAGTTTATTTACACAAATGATGCATGATTATATACTGGTATACTTTTTCTATTTTTATGAAATAATTTCCTAACAGCATGAATGCACAAACTGCTGTTATGAACAGTGTAAACATATATATATATATATATATGCATGTTTTAATACAATTTATTTTTTGTTATTTTAGTTAAGATTTTATTCTTAACTTTATACATTTATACTGTTAGCGATATTATTTTATTCTTCAGTGTATAAATTAATTTGGTGCGATAAGATTTTATTCTTCAGTTTATACATTTATACCTTGTGCAATTTGAGTTTGATCTGTTATATAAATGTGTAATTAATATGTCCTTTCCATTCTAACTACTATGATCTATTCTCAAATACACTTTTTAACAATATAATTTATAAGAGCAAATTAAAAATCCATGTAACAACTGATGCTGTGGTATAAGGATTTGATAAAGTTTATTTTTACTTAGGTACTAAGAAAAAAGAATTTATTTTGAAATTTCAATTTTGGTCTTTTTGTCGAGCCTGCGACTTTTGTCGCAGAAAGCTCGACATAGGGATAGCGATCCGGCGGCGGCGGCTACGGCGGCGGCGGCGGCGGCGGCGTTAGCTAACTTCTTAAAAGCTTTATATTTTAGAAGATGGAAGACCTGGATGCTTCATACTTTGTATATGGATGCCTCATGTTACGAAGTTTCCGTCAGTCACATGTCCAATGTCCTTGACCTCATTTTCATGGTTCAGTGACTACTTGAAAAAAAAGTTCAGATTTTTTGTAATGTTAAATTCTCTCTTATTATAAGTAATAGGATAACTATATTTGGTATGTGCATACCTTGCAAGGTCCTCATGCCCGTCAGACAGTTTTCACTTGACCTCGACCTCATTTCATGGATCAGTGAACAAGGTTAAGTTTTCGTGGTCAAGTCCATATCTCAGATACTATAAGCAATAGGTCTAGTATATTCGGTGTATGGAAGGACTGTAAGGTGTACATGTCCAACTGGCAGGTGTCATCTGACCTTGACCTCATTTTCATGGTTCAGTGGTTATAGTTAAGTTTTTGTGTTTTGGTCTGTTTTTCTTATACTGTATGCAATAGGTCTACTATATTTGGTGTATGGAATGATTGTAAGGTGTACATGTCTAGCTGGCAGGTGTCATCTGACCTTGACCTCATTTTCATGGTTCAGTGGTCAAAGTTAAGTTTTTGAGTTTTGGTCTTTTTTTCTAATACTATATGCAATAGTTCAACTATATTTGGTGTATGGAAATATTTTATGATCTATATGTCAGTCACGCAGGTTTTATTTGACCTTGACCTCATTTTCAAGGTTCATTGCTCAGTGTTAAGTTTTTGTGTTTTCGTCTGTTTTTCTTAAACTATAAGCAATAGGTCAACTATATTTGTTGTATGGAAGAATTGTTAGCTGTACATGCCTGCCTAGCATGGTTCATCTGACCTTGACCTCATTTTCATGGTTCATTGGTCAATGTTTAGTTTACTTGGTTAATGTTAAGTTTATGTGACAGTTGTAATAAAGCTTTATATTTAGGACTATCAACATAATATCAATGATTAGTAAAGAAGGCGAGACATTTCAGCGTGTGCACTCTTGTTTATAATGTTTGCTGACTAATAATTTTCTTTTTTTCGTAACAAAGGTGAAAAAATTCTTTTTTAAACTTTTGCATGATAAATTATGTGTTTTGTAAAGGCAGATCATGAAAATAATAAGATAGAAAAACTGACCAAGTAGCATTATTTTCATTTAAAGATGCCACGATTCCAGGGTTTGCTGACTCTGCCTTTATCTGAATATAAACATTTTCTGGCATCAAAGCCAGGTTAGAATATTATTTGATACTAATGTATGATTGCTATTTATAACCACAGAAGTCACCAGAACAGGGAAGAAGGGAGTGGATAGATACTTCCGGTCCTAAAGGAATTATTGCAGGGGTCGATTCATATAACTATGATAAACGTAAAACATTTGCTGAGGAACGTAAAAAAGAATATAAAGATATCATGGAAAAGGTACCAGTGTTCTATGTGTGCTTGGCTCTACTTTGTTTTTCTGGTTCCCTGTAGATTATATAACATGTCTGTTGTGTCATAAATTATATGTTGTTTTGAATATACATGGCTTCATTACTAAAACAAAGTTCATTGAAGTTGCCTACTATTTCAATGCAATGTATGAAAAACTTATATCTTTCTAATAAGAATTGTAGTAATTAGGAAAAGGAATTTAAAAGCAAATTATGAAATTTCCTAGAAAAACCTTTCAGCATGTTACATTAAAATTTTAGCTTAGCTAGTTTATGTAGATAATTATGATAGATATTAAGCTAATTGAATATAAAGCCATGTATATTTATTGTTGTCATATAATATTTCCTCTTATCTAATGATTAATTAATTACCATGTATGGTATAGCTACATTTAATAAAGAAATTCTTAAACTGGATACCAAGTTTTATGTGGGAAATGGATTTATGTTGAAGTAACTGTGAAAGTACTGTTATTTGTGGGTATCAGTTTTCCTGGTTTGAGCAAAAGTTACATGTTCGTGGGTTCTTAAATTTGTGGGGTTTAGTTTTTTGAAAAAAATCGAGTGAAGAATTTGAAGCCGTCAGAAACAAAGATTCTTGAAAATAATCATATGTTGTTTAATAATGATTTGTGACACATTGCAAAATACGGTGTTCATTTTCACTTACTTGTTTGTCTTTCATTACTGACAACATTCATCAAAGTTTTAATAAAATAATTGTCTACGGAAAAATTAAGCAGATTCATCTATGCCTACAGAATGTGTCTCGATTGAAGGAAATAGCAAAAAAAAAACATTTGAATTGTTGGACATGTATAATCAGAAATGATGACACCCATTTACCCGAGATCAAATGATCAACAGATTAACCATCATCAAAGGTGTTCATTGGGCCATAAGCATGTCACTTAAGAAAAATGGTTACATACAAAAATGCTACACATGTACTTAGAATTGTAGAATTAATTCTTATGAATTAGAAAATCAAAGCCCTAATATGAAATTATTAATTTTTTTGTCATATGTGAATTACATGGGGATTAATAAACACTTCAGTATCGCATTTCCTCACCGGTGTATTTTCTAGATGATATGCCCGTATCCATGTATTCAAACCTACATGGGGATATTTCCATCTCTTGATTTGGACAACAGTTCTTACATTTCGTTGGACACTTCAATTTGTGGATAAAGCCATCCATGGAAAGCACGAAGATTGGTACCCCACGAATAAAAGTACTTTCACAGTATATAAAATGTACTGCAGATTTTTGGTAGACAATTCTATCTTGTCTCAAAATTGAAGGGATTTTTCAGAAATATTCTATAGGGGGTAGTAAAGCACTACAATCATATCAAATTTGAGTGGTGTTGCTTGGTTTTGAAAATAAATGTAAAAACCTTCATTTTCTCAAACATTTAATTTTTTTCAATTCTTGAACAGTCCTGGCACATGCAAAAAAATTGTTTGCAAACAGCCAAGATAAAGAAAGTATTATTTCTTGAACAGTCTACATGAAAACTTGGTATTGGTGAAATAGTAACAAACTCTATCTTGCATGAAAAGTGATAGCATTAGTTATTAATAATGTATTATATGGAAAAGGAAGCTGTCCAGAATAATATTAATGTTAAAAAGGGTACATGTGTACTGATTTTTTTTTTAGACAGAGGCCAAGGGTTTAACAGTGTCTGGTGTTGGTAAATTTTTAAATTGTTATCTTGTTTTTACCCTAATTCTGGGTTGGAGTATTTTCTATCCTCTTCTTCAGTGAGTCTTTTATTTTAAATTCAAATTAATTAAATGATTTAAACTCAAGCCTTTTTGGTATTTGTCTTTTTAATTTTTAGAAATAAGCATGCTGCAGTTTTTAACTGTTGGTCATTTTGGGTAATTTTAGGAGTTTTTGCCAAAGTTGGAATATATTATGAAAAATTCTATTGTAAATGACTTTATTGTTTGGTTCCTTTTCTGATTTGCATATTGTAGCTGATTAACATTTTTAATTAATTTAATTAATTATAAAAAGAAAGCAGGTGCTTCTTCCACAAAAGTAGAGGTCGAGGAACCAGTTCAAGAACAGGAGGTTTGTTATTTTGATATTGTCAGTTTGTGGAGGTTATTTAAGAATTTTTTGAAAAACGTACATTATACCCATCCATAGAAGATATTTTCAATACTTAGTTTTGCATTTTCATTTTCAAATGTTGATAATGTACCCACACAGAGAAGTTGGTTATGAGTAAAGTTCCTGGGTGTACATGTTTGTTTAAATTGGACTGTCCATTTAATTAAATTAAAAATATAAGATTGTGACTTCAATCTACAAGTTTGTACAATACAGGTAATCAAAGTAAAGATTGCATTCATGCAGTTTAAACCCTTATGGAACTGCCTTGACTGCTATAGGATTTTTCTGAAACAATCAATACTTTCGAGAACACAAAAGCATAGTGCATTGAGATGAACATTCTTTACATCTTAAGCATTTTTCATCGAAATATATACTCAGATATTCAAGTAACAAAATGATGTGTATGTGTAGAACCAACTTCTGTATGTTTTAAAAATAGCTTTTGAATGTAATATTAAAATTGGGTAATTCTTTTTTGTCCATAATTGTAGTTGAACCAACTACACTTATAGACAAGAGAAGATATCTCCAAATTAAAATATTGTGTTCCATCAATAAAAAGTGCAATGTTTAATTTTAAGTTCCCATTGCAAAATGAATGCAATCTTTACCCTTCAGTGCTCTCAAGCACTTTGATTTTATCATAATGTTTGTATATTGCAAGTAATGGGATAAATGCATGTTAAAAATTATTATTCAGATTTTGTATTAACATTTTTCATTTACTATAAGTATCAGTTTTTAAAGTAAAAGAAAATAAATCAATTGTAGAAAAACATGCCAAGGGAGATAAATCGCAGGAATTATGAATATGGTTGAATTTATTAAAAACAAAATTCTTCCAAAATATTCTTTTACATTTAAAATTGATACTTGAATACTAATTGTTGCATGTAGCCAGCTTTAGAACGGAAACCTACCACACCTATTAACCTTAATGCTGTGAAGATTTTCCCTGTGGGATCAGGTTATACCAGAAGACAACGTGAATTACAAGCAGAAAGAAAGAAAAATTTCAAAGACTTTGCTGAAAAGGTTTGTCTGAAAACCAGAAAGAAGATAGATTTGGTGTGTGATGTTGACATTGTTATGTTCCTGTAATGTTAACATTGTATTGTTTGTGTAGTGTTATTTTATGTTATTGTAATACTTTGTATTTTATGAGAATTTTGTTATCCTATGTAATTGAGGTACATTGAGAAATAAGTAATCATTCTTTCTTATATAACAATACAACCATCTTTATCTGCTAGTTTGACTACTGGATTAGGTACACCCTATTTATCACACCAGGTATCCTGACTGGAAGTCTGTGGAGGGACAGGAATCCCCAGGAGCAATTAATGGAAAGTTTGTAACAGTGAGTAGGTAAATTTGGATCCGATTCTCACGGAGCATGATTCCTTCTTGGGAATCAGAACCAGATTTTACTTACCCACTATCCAGTTTCAGAACCCGATATCTGTTGTGTTTCTACAAACCAAATATATGCAAATTGTTTGGAAATTAGCTAAGGGATAATTTTCCAGGAAGCAAAAATAATTCATATTCATTTTGTAACTTTTGATTTGATTTAGGATCTTTTAGCCTTGTTATTTTTGATGAGAGCTAAACAAAATATATAAATATGTTTTAACTATTATAAAGATATAGTTATGTTTTTTATAAAATTCTTTCTTTCTTTAGAAAAATGAAATCTATAAAAAGCAGCAAGAAAACCGTGAGAGTTTTCGTGAAATGTTAGATCGTGAACTCATGGAGTCGCCACCTATAATACCTATTGGTGAATATGACACAAAGAAACGTCAGTTCAAACAAGAAGCCCACCAAGAAATGGTCAATTTCCTTGAACGGGTATAAACAATGTGCTGGTTTTTTTAAAAGCTTCTTAAAGTCATATCAATTAATCAGTAGATTTTCATACTTAATAATGTAACAAACTTTTGAATAACCTGTAAAATTACTATAAAAAATACCAGTAATGCCATGATAACTATCTGCATAAAGAATGGAAAACTTTACAACATCTGATTTGAATCATATTTGTTAAGATTTAATCATTTTAATCATCTGACATCATTGAAAATCTGCTGGTGACATGACCTTAACTTTGATTCAATGTAACTAGCTGTGAACTTATAACTGTATTAATGGACTGCTTGTATGTTGTTCTGTGTTTTTTATTTAATATTTTACCTGAATCAATTTATTACACCTATCAGGTAATTAAAACACAAAAAGTTACTTTAAATGTGCCTGTCCCAAGTCAGGAGCCTGTGACCTATAGTTGTAAACTTCTATGTCATTTTGTCTCTTGTGGAGAGTTGTCTCATTGGCAATTATACCACATCTTCTTATTTTTGATTAGGAGATTATCATTTGATCTCATCCCTTTAAAGATAGCCACCATATTTGAAAATAAATTCTTATGTATTTATAAGTCTTTGGCTTTCAAAAATTTGGTTTTGAGCATTTCTTGTGCAAGTTAATCAAGAAAAGTGCTTCTGAAGCACAAATTAACATAGTGTTACGTTCATTATGATAATTGCATGAGTTTTGGTTCTTTTGAGAAGTATTGGTTATATAGAGTTCAAAACAGTTTTCTGAAATAAAAGTGTGAAATATTGCTTTGTTACCAAGTATGTTGTGTAATACTAATGCTACCATGATTATATATATCATTATTCAGTTGTATCTTTTTGTATAATACTTTTTTGTATGGATATTTTCTCTTATAATCAAGGATCAATCTATCACGGTAGGTATAGTGTCCAGCGGAGATCATGTTTTTTAAGCATCTATTTCACATCTTACGAAAAAAGAAGTCTGTTTGTTTACATTTTTTATCATATTCCCTCAAAAAAACACTGTTCCAGCCAGACACTATACCTACTGTGTCTATGATAATCAGTAGGGTTTGTTAAACAGATTTATTATTTTTGATTTACTGCAAGTTATTTTTTCAAGATAACTTTAGTATTAGCTGAAATCATGTAAATGGTGGAGAGAAATAATTTTTTAATGTCTCTAATAATTTAAAAGTTCTTATGGTGGTTCATACAATTTTAACATTCAATACATTTTTATCTGTTATATACATTGAGTATTATTATGTTTGCTTAGCAACCCCATGGCAACAGAGATAAAGAGTTTTGGAATAAAGTTACAAAGCCGAGAATACTTCCTCAGTCTGGTGAATATAAAAACCGTAAACAAAAGCTGAATGATGAGCTACGTAAAGACTGGCGTGATTTTGTTCTTAAGGTTTGATTATAATCCTCCGTCAACTAACAACTATATGGAATGTTTTCAGGAGTTTTGATAATTAAAACCTATGATATTTAGATGGCTTCTCACAGAATTGCATGTGTGTGTTGTTATAAATATATATGATTGTAATACATTTTAAAACTAACATGGTATGATAAACAAGGATTAATTTAGATGTTTATATATCTTATGTTTGTTGGTCTAGATTGTCCTAATGGTTAAACAGATTTTTTTTATATTATGTGGAGTTTATATTATTTCATATTTAGCAAGAACTAGTGTTAGGATCAGAAAATATGTTGGAAGTTATCTCCCCTAAGTTGAATCTTTTTTAGACAGGAGAAACTATTTTTCTGATTTTTTTTGGTGTTTGTTTAAGATTTGTAAATATCTTATAAAGCTGAAGAAAACCCTATGTCTTTCTTAACTTATTTATACTACTTTAAACCAGATGTTCCTAATTTACAAAGGAGCCTAACAAATATTTTTTGAAGGTTCTGATTTTGATATATAACCCAGGGTTGGTGTATAACTTTATTACTTTGTATGATTTGAAGTTTAATGTAACAGAAGCATTTAACATGTTGCTTATTTAATTATGTGAACAAGTTTTTGAATTTCAAACCAAAACACTTTTAACTTAAACTGTTTCTTTATTGGTTAGTGCTCTATAGAATTCATTTACACATACTTCAATATAGAAAATAGTAGGAATTTGTGAAATTATTCATTGTAAGGGTTTATGTACTAAAGTCATGGGAACATATAACAACTCAAAAATGTCTATGCTATGAGATTCTAAACTTGTTTGATATTACAAATTGCTATTTTAGATTTACTGAGCTTATAAAGTCTTGAGAAGGACAAGTTAATTTATGTTAGAAATGTTTTGGGAATTATAATGAAAATTATAAAAGTGTTAACTAATTTTCACTTCTTTTTCAATTTTATGAAAGTTGTTTCAAAAATATGCAACATAGAAACTGTAATCTCGGGTAAATCTACGGTAAAATCACCTGAAGCAAGCTGCTACACTTGAACAATATTGATTTCAATTCTTAATACAATGTAATAGTCTTTTTTCAAATTGTTGATTTGATTGTGTTACTACAAGCTTATTTTTGGCTCACCTGACCCAAAGAGTCAAGTAAGCTTTTCTCATCGTCGTCGTCCGTTAACTTTTACAAAAATCTTCTCCTCTGAAACTACTGGGCCAAATTGAACCAAACTTGGCCTAAATCATTCTTAGGGTATCTAGTTTACAAAATGTATCCGAAGACTCTGCCCCCAACCAAGATGGCCACCATGGCTAAAAATAGAACATTGGATAAAATGTAGATTTTGGCTTATATCTCTGAAACCAAAGCATTTAGAGCAAATCTGACATGGATTAAAATTGTTCATCAGGTCAAGATCTATCTGCTCTGAAATTGTCTGACAAATCAGACAACCCATTGTTGGGTTGCTGCCCCTGAATTGGTAATTTTAAGAAAATTTTGCAGTTTTTGGTTATTTTCTTCATTATTATTATAGATAGAGATAAACTGTAAATAACAAAAATATCAAGCAAAGAAAGATCTACCAATAAGTCAACATGACCAAAATTGGCAATTGACATCTTATTGGAGTTATTGTCCTTTAAAGTCATTTTCTGCAATTTATTGGTAATTTTTGTAAATTTTTTCAAAAATCTTCTGCTTTTAATTTAACTACTGGGCCAAATTAAACCAAACTTGGCCTCAATCATTATTAGAGTATCTATTATGATTTTAACCGTATTTTACATGATTTCCAAAACCACAGTAGATACAGGTGAGCCACACAGCTTCTTGAGAGCCTCTAGTTTCCTGTTGCCAAAGCATAAGTTCAAAGTGATTTAAAGGTGTTTTAACCTATTCTTATTGAAAAAATAACTATTGATATCAAACATTTGTAGCTTAAAGAAAGATTAAATGTTATTAAAAGATTTGAAAAAGTTACAGAATACAAACATTATGCAAAGATAAATACTTCCTTTCCACATGCTCTTCATTGGCAATCAAAATTTATGTTTCGCCTAATGGAAACAATTTATACAAATTGATCGGTAAATTACAGAATAGGCTTATTTTTATAATAGACTGTTGTTTGAATAGATCTAAGTAAAACTCAATTTGCAGTTCTCAGTTGTAAGAAAATTGGTTGACACTTCTATGAGTTTGCATGTAATGATGTTAAGATTTATAGATGTTATGAATATTGCATGTGTGTGCTATATGTTATAGAAAGATTGTTCAAAAAAAGATAATTTGTGTAATTTAGGCTAAGATAGTTGATTAATGTAAAATATGATGTTAGTTTTGCATGATTAGATTAATGTTTAGTGGTCTAGAAATCTAGCTTGTTGAAAATGTCAGTCTATTTACCTCAGAAATATTACTTACATTTATATGGTGATGAATGGAAATTATTTAATTAATATCAGTCATATTATATTTGTTAATTGGAAGAATAGAGTTGTCTCACCTTGGATGATGTTAAACTCTTTGGTAAAACCATCATTTTAGGATAAAAATTGTCTTTTATTATAAGAATGTTTGTGGTAGTGTCATTTGGGGTTCTGAACTTGTTCCTTGTTCGAACTGAGCCACATTCTTAGCTCCCAAAATTGAAACCAATTTTGATATCAGTGTCAATTGTAATAACAACTTATACATTGATATTGACGATAAGACCTAGAACTATTTCAGTAACACATTTCTTCAAGGTATGATAATTAAAGTAATCTTTTTCCAAAGGTGATTGATAAAATTTACATTATTTAATCAAGCAAAATGATTAATAAATTATTTTTCGTGAATAACAGCAAGAACCTCCTAGAGAAAGAATTAAAGAGTTTGGTACCCCTGGTGCAGTATTGTTCACAGGGGAGTATGAAAAAACACGTCAGAAAGTGAGAGACGAGAGGACAAAAGATTATCATGAGTTTATACAGGTACCACATGATACTGTGTGCTAGACGCCTTGGCAGATAGATACAGACTATGTCACGAAAATATTCAAATTAATTCAAAATCAAAATAGGTCAAACACAAAGCATGATTGTTTATTGGCAAATAAAAATTTAACTTCATCCATAAAAATTGTGCAAGGTGAAAAATGATTAATACCATGTAATGCTCTCAGAATGTTTAGAATGTCTTATTATTTTACTTCTATGTTGGTTTAGAAAGAGAGTTTTTCTAGGCCCCAAAAAGGAATGATTTCTTTGCGAGACCACAATGTAAATTGTCTAATGTAAACACTGATTACTAAAAGCATGATCTGAAGTCTGTATCTCTATTTGCTTTGCTGCTTCAGTAGTAACAGCTGCTTGTTGTAAAATATATTTTGGTTTGTTAATAGTTTTAACCAAATGTTTGTTTTGTTTTAATACTTTATTTTGTTTAATTAAAATGTTTGAGTTTGTATTTGAATGCTGTATTTTGTTTTGCTTTCTCTTTTATTTGTTTTATTTTAATACCCTTTTTGTTTGTTTGTTTTTTAGCTACAGTTATTGCGAAGGCTTATTTCATATGAAATATACCATTACATAATGATAAGATTATTGCCATGGTTTCAGTTCAAAACAAATAATTTGATCATTGCTAGATTTAGTGCAGTTATTCCCAAAGGGAATGATATCTTGTGTAAGAAAGCTTTATCTACAAATGATAATTTGTCTAAAAGTTTATAAAATGTTGATTTCAAGAAACCAATGAGAAACATTAAATGCCTAATAGTAACTTTTGAGTAACAGCAAATGTTTTAGGTTTCACAACCTAAATATAATTTTCTTAGTTGAAGACGAAGTGAGCCTTTTACATGAGTATGGATGTTTATGTATAAATCTCTATTTTATTTGATCTTTTATTTTAGTTTGAAATAAATTTTTTTTTCAATTATGTACACATTGCACTAGAGATTTTTCAACTTTTTATTATTTCAGATTTATATACATTTATATTTGTATACACTGGCTTTTCTGTATATACATATACATTCTATGTATTATGTTTCTGACATCATAGTACATTTGACGCAAAATATATATTCACAGCTATCTGCAAATTTTGTAAATCTATTCTAAATGTTTGTTTATTCATTGAAGATTTCAAGCACCACTTTCTGAAGAGAGAAGTTAAATAAAGGGGGGATGTTAAAATGTGTGAATACATGTGTTATAAGAATTTCAAAATATTTACTCGTAGTAAATTTTAGGTGTAATTTAAAGAACTGAAAAACAGAAGAGTTACTGGGTGAAATTTTTTAAAGGATAAGCCAAAGGGAGTACAAATTGTTATTATGTGTTTTGTTTTGTGGTTCAAAGAATATGTTTAGATCATTTGGTTTATTTAAAAAAGTGTATTGAGGTGATTTTAGAAACAACCATTTCATTCATGACTATAATTTTTTTGAATGTTTCTATTTCTATAGAAACATGGCGGCCATGCTCCTCGACGAATGCCAGACCAAGCACCAGCTAACAGTATTGGTTTTATGGCTAACCTTGGATTTCATGATAGGGAGAGAGAAAAATTAAATAAAGAAAGACAGGGAGAATACAGGAAGTTCTTAGATGAGGTATGAAACAAGAATCAGTAGATAGGGTGTAGGATTAGGAGATAACACAAGTTTGATTGCATGTCTTCATTAATATTGTATTTTATTCTAAAGCAATTCTGAATGTAACACCAATTATGATTGGATGATGTCTGCCATCAATTCCATGGTTGACGGTCTGAGTCTTTGGCAACAATGTTGCGTAATTGCAGTCATTGCTAACAGGATATTCAAAATGTTTGTTTTTGAACATTTCAAGAATATTACATTAGAATAGGAATAACAATACTGTATATGAATAGTTGCCATTGTCATTTTTAGATTTGATGGGAGTAAATACCTGTTTAACTGACTACGCTCCGTGTCACCAGAAAAACTGCATTTGTGACCATCAAATCCTCATTTAACAGTGGCACCTCTTCAAATACAGTACTGTTATTTTTTAATTTTAATTAATGGTTACTGGTTTAATTTCCATATTGCAGGAAGATTTAAAAATATAAATTTCTTCTTTATTTCTAATAGATAAAGTTTCTTATTATTAAAGGTATAAAATAACAATTTATTACAGAGATTAATTGAAATACTTTTCAGCCAAATGTGAAAACATGAGTGCAAATCACTATTATTATTTTTTAAAATGATCATTTTATTCATATGTTTTTCAAATATAAACATAGAAAAATGTTTGAATTGATCTGTTTGCCATTACTTATCAGCTGTATATTTTTGTAAATTCAATATTGATTATTCACTAATCATAAGCTTTGAAACAATTTGCAGAAAACAAAAATTGAGAATGAAAATATGTTGAAAAAATTGGCAGAATCAGAGGAGGTAACTCTGCATAGAGCTTAACTTTTGTTTTGGTTTGTTTATGGATTCCCTTCCTTAGCTATCTTTTGTTTATATTTGTACTGTGAGTTCTTCTTCATGGTACAGGTTGTTAAATATATTTTTCTATGCTTGCAGTATGTTTATTTCATCTGACTAAAATAAGATGATTTAAGGATGTACACCGCTGAGGAGCTAAAAATTTCTAGATTTAAACTATTTTTCTCAACCTGATTTTTGGGTTTATATGATTGTAAGAAAGTAACTGATGAAGAAAAAATCATATGGTGGTGCACTTCTATTTTTTGCTATGGCCATTTGAAAGTACCCATTTTTTATGATTTTCTCATTTTTCATCAATGTTTATCCATTTTTGGGCTATTATAATGAAAAAAATCACAATTTCACAAACTTTTTTTCATACTTTCACTAAAGATGAAGTGGACCAATCTGATTAAATTTAACTGAAAAAAAACTATAGATTGGTGTTAATATTAGAAAGTTTTAAAAAATTTTGTAGCTTTTTAATGTCAAATTGACCATGCTGTCAATTTTGTAAATTTGGGATTTTTCTATATCTAAGAATTTTGAAAAGAAAAAATTGATATGGGATGTACATATCTTTGGTAAAATCATTTCTTTGTTACCTCACCTATTTTCTCAACATTTTGGCTAGTGACACTTAATACCAGATTGGTTATAAAATTTGAAAATTTTATTACTCAAAAACTACTTATTGCAAGTACACAATTTTTTCACAGAGTTTAGTTGGATTATGATATTTTTATATTCATTGATATTTTCCACTTGTATCACATGTTTTGGAAATAATTCCTGAACTAGATGTCAACAAGACTGAAACGCCAGAAGAATACATCCTTAATATGATGATCATCACAAATGAATGAATGTATTGAGAACTAGTTTATTAATTTAACAGTGCCAGTTGATTTTCTACAATTTCAAATCAGAAGTTGGATACATGGTACACACACAGAAAGTAGAAACTATTGATTGGTTTGATGTGATAAGATTTCTAAATTATTGAATAGAAATTTGAAAAGTAAATCAGATGAAACTATCAGTTTATTTATAATGAAAAGGGTGGTGTTAGGAGGAAGATCAGAATTTGTTCATCTTTACTTTATTCTCCTTTATATTCAACGGATTAAAAAAAAAATCACCTTAGAAAAGTGTCAAAATTATGAATGGTATTTCTTTATTTTTATATTGAAACATTTTGTAAAGAGATAATATATTTGATATAAGATTAAACAAGCTTAAATTAGTTACTTATTGATAAAAATCAAATTGAATAAGATTTATTTCAGCATTTCATATATATGTTTTATAGAAATCAAGCTTATTCATGTTCCCAGTTACACTGGCAAATTTATGACATGTGGATTGTGTTTCTCGTTTCTTGTTTTTTATATAGATTAGACTGTTGGTTTTCCCGTTTGAATGGTTTTACACTAGTAATTTTTGGGGCCCTTTATAGCTTGCTGTGCGGTGTGAGCCAAGGCTCCAAGTTGAAGACCGTACTTTGACCCATAATGGTTTACTTTTATAAATTTTGACTTGGATGGAGAGTTGTCTCATTGGCACCCATACCACAACTTCTTATATCTATTTGATTATGTTGTTATGATCATCTCTTTAAGACTGATTATTAATGGGATTATATTACATTCACCTTGTATCTGCATCCTTCCATCTGTTCATCTGTCTTTCCATTCATCTACCTATTTGTCCTTCTGTTGGTCCAACAAGTACTTCCGTCACAGTTTTCCCAGGAACAGATGAAAAGAATGACTTCATATTTATTAATCAATTTGACACTGATGAGGTAAAACATGTAAGCACTTTTCAGGTCTTTCCAACACCTACTTCCTGTTTGTCCATACTTTGAACACCTGAGATCACCCTTGGTTTTTAGTGAGGTTTATGTTGCTTTGTCTTTAGTTTGCTATGTATTGTTTTGTAGACATCCATTTGTTTTTTTGATGTTTATTTTTCCTGTTTTGCCATGGCTTTTTCAGTTTATCTTTGATTTATGAATTTTTAATGCTCTTTGGTTTTTCTACCTCTTGTCTATGAACTTTTCAATATGTTGAATGCACTAGAAAAAAGTTGATATTTAGTCAGAAACATGGGTGTGATGATTTGTAAGTGTATTTAAGTTCTGCCAGACACCTAAGTAATGAATGTCATTCTTTGCTTTTTTATCACTTAATACTTACAAAAAAAATCATTTTTTTTTAATAAAATAAAGGTAAAAATAATGAGCAGTATTAATTTAACTATGACAGATTAATCTGTGGTTCTATACAAAGTGAATCCAAAGTGTAGAGATGTCAACTACTACTATAATAAGGGGAGATAATACCTGTTTGTAAATCATTACTTCAGTCTAATTTGCTTTGGGTTGCATAACAGAGCTTCATAGTAGTGCGAACATGTCAATGCTCAGAATGGTTTCTGGTTTTCATACAATAAGAAAGTTTGTAACAGCAAATAATAGAAGATAGATTTTATAGAAAGAAGGCATACTGTAAATGTATCAAATTATAAAACTTCACAAAAGTCATTCCAGGTTAAATTAAACATCAGTATATTTTCTTAGACTGTGACATTTCTGCATGGTAGACAATTAGTTTTGGGTACACAATAATAGGAAAATAACCAAAAAAGGAAACTCTATAATAATAAATAATAACCTATCGTGACATCAACTATTTATAAAGAAACAGAATGTATTCAGCAAGTTGACCTTCTGTCTGAACAGAAGTTGGCCATACTAACCCCCCAGCTTAACTAATATCTAACCTATTTTTACAGAAAGCTTTTGGTAAAGAAGGCATGCCGCGGGGTCGACCTAACTGGGTAGATGGAAAGGTACCTCCTGTATGTGTGGTTTGCTAACGTCTTAAATCTATTTATAGCACAAACTCAGAACAATTCCAATACTGGTAAAATGTTGGTATCTGATTTTGTCCTAACTCACTGGAAATTTCTTTAATGAATGACAAGTTCTTATTTTTTTATGTGAAAAATGAACTGTACAGTGAAACATCAATATATTTACTGGAAAGGTTTAAGGGTACCTTTTTTTATAACTGGGTTAAGGAATTAAAAGGATTTGTTAAATAATTTATTTTGTCTTTCTCTGAAGATAAATGAAAAATTTATATCCCCTAAAAGACAAGGAACCTATTGTAAAGTGTTGATTTATTTGTGAAAAATTAATTTTCTCTGTCTATTTACTATCCATAGGCAAATCCAGGATGATAAAAAAGGGGTAAATCTTGTCTAAACGGTGGAAAGGGGGAGTCTGAAATCAAATAAAATTAAATATAGTTAAGAATAAAAAAAAAATTGGTTTTTGAAAGGTCAGTTGGGCTTGGGTATGGGGAAATGAAACAGGACTTAAAAACATGTACAGTAAATTAGAAATTTTGTCCCTTAAAGAAATTTCCAGTTAACTTAGAGTCAAATTTTTACAGTGTTGAATTTGTAGTTATCGATGATAACTTTAATCTGATCAGCGAATTGTTTTGCAAAATATAGAAAATGTGAAAATTTGACTGTTTAACATCTTGTGTGAATCTTATATCTATCTTTGGTTGGTAGGGAAAATGTGTATTAATGAAATTGTTCATTTGAAATTATTTAAACATCCAAACTTGCTTGTTCTTGTGAGGACGACATTAAAGGCACACATTTTTCCTGAGTTTGCTTCTACTCTTACTAATAATCAATTGTTTTAATAAAGAGTAAATTCATTTCAATTTTCATTAAACTCTATTCTTTAATAATCTGAACTGCTGTTTCTTAAATGAATGGCTTTGAATGGAGCACTTTTATTTTCTGCTTATTTTGTGTGTGAAGCAAATATGTTTTCTTTCTTTGAAATTTGATCAGCACATTATAACTTGTATAGAAAAATCTCTGAGAAACCCTCATGTAAGTGCATTAGTGCACATTGGATTCTTCTACTGACAAAACTAAGATCTTGTAAATGCTTCTGTTTCATGAAAAAAACTAATTAATGAAAGGTGAATAGAAAATAGGTACGAAATGTGTACTTTATGCTGAAAAATGATTAACAGCAGCCCAACAGCACAATGGAACAAAAAGAACATGTAGAAGTCACTATGTAGCCTTCAATAACAAAGAATGCATACCTACATTAAGAAAGCGACTCAAAATTTACAAACTTACACACACAATTGACAAGCCAAGGAACATTCACATATACTGTAAACCAACCTATTTACACAGATACTTTATTTAGAGTTAAGTCCTTTATAGTCCACTTTGCAGCGATTAAATTTTGAGTTTTTCTAATTTATTTGATTTAGCTAAATAAGGAAAGATCCAAGTTTTACATATTCGCAACGATTTATATTCACATGTTTTTCTACTCACGAATTTCGCGAAAAATAAATTGCTCATGAAAATAAGTTGGTTTAAAGTAAATATGTCTTAATTTTTTACACTCTTAAGGGTAGATGAAAGCAAAAATAATTTTATTTAAATAATTTGTTTGGAATTTAAAATAAATATTTCACCTGGGAATTTTTAAAAGAATCCTTAGAGTTAATATTTCAAATGTTATAACTTTTATGTTACAGGATAGTTGGTTCCAGCAGGATCCTCCACCATTTCACAAAAGTCCTGTAAGGGACCAGGAACCTCCAAGGTATACTACTGTTAACCTCATTAGATACATTTATCTTAGTTGTAAAATAATGAGATGTACAGAGTATTTAATAAGAGATAAAATATAGGAGAAAAAATCATGGTAATAAATGGTGCTATTTCCCGAAGTAAACCACATTATTTTATCTATCATTCCATCATCTTAATTCTCTTTATTTGTCCCCTTCAAGTTGTAATTGAACCTTTGCATATTTTTGTCAGTTCAACAATTATATATATAATTAATATTAGCAAAATTACAAATATCACTGATAATTGGCACTTCAGTACAGTAATACAAGTATATGTAATACCTTGAACCATCTGTATCTTGTTTACATATAAAAATAAGAAGATGTGAAATGGTTGCCAATGAGAGAACTCAGTTTATATCTGAAACAAAAACATCTAGGTCAACATTAAATTAAAAAGATTATTTAATTTCAAAACCATCACTTATATAGAAATTATTATACCCCCGCTTTAAAAAAAGGGGGGGGGGGTATACTGTTTTACCTTTGTCTGTCCGTTCATCCATCCGTCCGTCCGTCCCATGATTATTTTTCGTCGCATTTTTCTCAGGAACTACATCATAAGAATGATAAGGATTTCTGAAATTTGGTTTCAGGGTTTATATAAGTCAGCTATACCGTGTGATGGGTTTTCAGATTCATCACTCAACAACTTCCTGTTTACTGTAAAGTATTTGGGCGGGGGTATCGTCAGTGAACAGTAGCTCGCAGTTTCACTTGTTAAATTAAGAATTTCTATCTTTTACAGTTAACTTGCAGTATTTAATCTTTATTTTAAACTAAACAACAGTAAATGTCTGATGCATCTCTCTGACTTGGTCAGCATCATGACAACCTATAAAATTTATAACATATATAAATCTGTTTTATGGTGTCACAAGTATAAAGTCCTGCACAGTGGGAGTAGTTATGTAGTTGTTGTAGACATTTTTTATCTGAATAAAATTTAGTGCATTTTATCAGAATTATAAGTAAAAAAAGTTGCATTGTTAGTTGACATGTTAAGTTGCCTTTTTTCACTCACAAATTAAATTTCAAGATCCTTCGAGTGAATTGTTCCAAGTTAACAAATTAATAAACACCATAACATAATCTTTATTCCTCTATAATATATTTTCAGAGATCGTCCAGCAAGTTATGGCAGAAGGCAAACTCCATCATATGAGGAAATTTTAGACTCAAAGCGAAGAGAGGAAGCTTCATACAGGTAAAACTTTAGATACTGAGAAGGAGATATGGTTTGATTGCCAATGAGACAGCTATCCCCATAGAATCTACATCACATAGATGTAAGCATGGTTTTGTATGAGCCATAAAGATGTATATGTGACGGTCTGTGTTGGTAATGATTTGATTTGATTTGGTTTGTGTTTATGTCCATATCTAAGAAACCAATGAGACAACTATCCCCATAGAGTCTTAGTGACAAAGATGTAAGCATGATTTTATAAGAGCCATATTGATGTTCACTTGACAGTGTGTCTTGTCTGTAATGATTTGATTTAGTTTTGTGGTACGTCCATATATCAGAAATCCATGAGGATATGTCAACATTACAATTCTCATACAGTTTGATATTGACAAAACATTTTTCTAAGGAATCAGTGATGATTTATCAACTCCATTTCAACAACTCCTGTTAACAGTTATACATTTTTTTATAAGTTGGTTACCTTGACCTACATTTTGTTCATGGTTTGATTTTTTTTTATGCAGTTCATATCTAGTCTTGTTAATACTTTAGTTATGTTTCACAATGAGAAAAACTGTCACAATTTGTAATAGTAACAAGTAGTAGATAGTAATTCAGGATGATCCAAAAAACTAACTGTAATTTAATATCATTTCTACAGATTTGTTTCATTGTAAAATTACAGTTTTATTATTTCATTAAAATGTTGCCTTCTTAAGGATGATAATGTCTTCTAAACAATACTGGAAGGTAAAAGTTTGCTAACTTTTCACATATTTTAAAATTGACATGCATGTGATACTTTGCTTTTATTTCAGACGATTTGAAGATCCAGAATACTCGAGGGCTGGTGGATTAGGTGGACCAAATGACAGGTATGAACATAGAAATAGACCCTTGTCCAGAGGTAGACTAGGTGATAGGCCAAGATCTAGGGAGAGGTCTGCAGGTAGGCCAGGTGAATATCGACCAAGATCTAGGGATAGGCCTAATGATATGATGTATGATAGACCGAGGGATTGGCCAACAACAAGACAAGGAGACAAGCCATCAGAAAGGCCTGTTGACACCCCATATTATGGCACAGAAAATAAGCCCATGGAGAGACCTGGAGCAGCAAGGCCCATGGACCGACATATTGACCAACCGGGATATAGGCCAATGGACCAACCTGGGGAGAGACCATATGACAGGCCCATTTAGATTAATCTATACCTAGGTATTAAGGTATTGAGTTGTGTGTAGCTGCAGTGGTTTCTATGGTCATGAGTCTTTACGGTCTCTTGTCACTGGTCCACACGGTTGCAAGCTAACTCAAACTTTAGTAAAGTGGTATCTTTTGTATACTGTGGATTTATGGAATTACATTTGAGGGAGTAAATTGAGAGAGTAAATTGAGTTTTATGATAATCCTTTATCATAATTTCATCATTGTCTTTTATCAAGATAATAGAAAATCTGTATTTCATTGTTGTTTGAATTGCTTTGCCTATAATCAAAATCTATAAAAACTGAAGTCCTAAAAATGAAATAAATCCACAGTGGTCCTTCAACTACTTGAATGTGGTAACTGGAATGTTTGTCTATGTGCACTTTGGTGGTATGGTATTGATAAATTATATATGGAAAGCACAGCATGGAAATATTACAAGCATTTCATATGAAGGGAGGTACTGTAAAATATTCTCTCGTAACTTCAATTTTCCTTGTAAATGTAAGTTAATATATTATTTCAATCAATTGTTTCAAACATAACTAAACAAAAGTAAAAAAAACAACTAACTAAAACATTTACCGGACATGGCAGCCTAGGGTATTTATACATCCCCACAACAAAAAAGACATTTAAGTACAGATTTGAGAGTACTCACAGTTACTGACAGCTAGTTCAAAGCCAATAACAAATAATAAAAAAATTGTGTATCTATTACTTAAATATCAATCAGTACACATCCAACATCCAATGGTTTAGTGTAAAAACGTCATTATCAGTAAAAGAAAAACATGACCTTCTGCAATGCCAAAATACAGGTATCGACAGATTGTAGAAGTTAAAGAACCATGAAGGTGCATATGTATAACAATAGTATTTAGTTTGATTTTAATTTACTGATAACAAACTGATTAAAGTCCATATCAAAAACAAATTGAAAGCGCCATTGACAGATGTTGTGGGTTTTTTTTTCTGTGTAGTTCTTTTTTTGTAGATTGTCAATAGACCTTGGTGTATAAGATGGAGGTTAATTTCATAGCAACAAAATTAGAAATTGGACTTATATAATATATTAATTTGCCATTTGATCTATTTGTAGATATGACTAATGGTATTCCTGTAAAATAATAGATGCTCATCACCATAGCAACAACATTAATTATAATGACCCAGCAACCAAATAAATAGGGATGACTTAGCAACAACAAAACTGTGATATTTATGTCCAATATTATGTGATATTTGAATTTATTTAACCAAGAAAATAAGGATGGATAGCTCTCTTGTATTATATATATGACAATGTTTTATTTAGCCAGAGGATTATCACGTCTTTTATACTAATACATAGTACAGATGAAACATAAACTTGGATTTTCATAAATGAAATTGAATACACATTTATTTATTAAAAAGTAAAAACAGTATGTAGATTTACAATTTAGAAGTAGAAATGAAACACATAGTTACAATAGTGATTTAATTGTATTAAGAAACACAGAAAATTTGTGCCAAATTATCATTTCTATTATACATATTAAAGTAAAAAGTTGTGTAAAATAATTAATTTACATCAAGAATGAAATTTTGTTATTCCTTCTAATTTCATTTATTTGAAATGTATAGATTTTTTATGATTATGCATTATTACAAACACTGAATTAATTATTTTAAAATTTAGATAAATATCTTACATTAAGATTCGAACAATACCTTTTCAATAATTAATTGGTTTTATATTCTGTTATCTTTATGACTTCAGTTTCGTTTTTTGAAGGTATAGGTTATTTTGATTTAATTTTATCATACCAAACAAAAGAAATTTATAGATAAGCACAAATCAGACAATTTTAATTGATTTTCTTTAGATATTTATTTAGTTTTTAGGTCTGTCTCTTAAAAATAGATGTGTTTGCTACATTGTAACATAATATCACACATACTATTTTATATTATTTCACATTTTTCTATGATTATATTTTTATATATCATACTTTTATTTTTATATATATTTAATTTATTATCAATATCCGTCCATATTTTTGCCATATTGAAAGGTATTTTTATGTCATAATAGTAATTTCAGTATTTCATTATTCGTTGGTCTCTTCATTTCAATTCTTGTGTTTTACAAGATGGTTTTTAATTATTCAAACACTTCTGCAAGTTTATTCTGATTATTTTGTTTTTTTGTCTTTGTATATTAATGTTAAGACTGTATGTGTGTCTAATATTGTTGTCTTGGGTTTATTAATATTTTTACAATTGTTGTTATAACAAAGACTTAATTATCATTGCCAGAGATAGCTGATATGTCAGATTAAGGTTTTGATAACATTGAATGTTGAAGATACTTTTTTTGTTTAAAGTTTAAAGTATATGGAGTGATAAATATCTGACAGATTTATGGAAGATTAAAGTCAATATTTCTATATTTAAAAGTAAGATGCAAATTTACATACATAATTTGGAAACAAGAATAATTCTGGTTTGAAATTTCACATCAAAGGATATAATAAATTTTCAGATTAATAGTTATAGTATGACAAAATTTTGTTAATTCTTTTTTAAAATTCTTTTTCTGTTTATTGGATCAAAAACTTGCAACTCATATTCTACTTGGTATATTAATAAAACTTGCCAATTGTAATTTGAATACATTTTATGTTGATGTCACTGTGACCTACTTTAATGTTTGAACTTTTTGGGTCTGGGTATAAGTGTTTCTATAGTGCTAGATATATGTTGTAGCCTCAGTGCTACACCTCTTATTTATTTGTATAAGATAGAATTATGAAGAAATAAAATGTTTTCATATCTTTTAAATCTTGTTTCTGACTTCTCACATGATTGACTTTGTTGGAAGTACATCCCTTGGCTATAAAAAAATCAAGAAAGATGAAGTTGACCACATTTTGTTTTAATAAATAACCCAATTTTTTATGAACATGCCATGCTGTTTCAGATTGAGGTTTGTTCTTGATAGCAAAAAGTGCTGTTTCTTTTTTATATTGTTGGTTCAGTAAATATTTTGTGTTGTCTCAAATATCTCATACTTATTTATTTGATAGTTAATAGAGAATTTCATGCTGATCATAACTAACTGAATCCTCTCTGTAACTGAAGGTGTCACGCCACAAATTCAAAATCTCTATATATTCATCCAAATTTTACAATTTTCACAGCTCTCCAAATATTTTACCAACGTTTAGCTTCAAGAGAACTATGCATATCCTGAATTGTACAATTAGCACCTTTCTACATGCCAATTTTGACCAATTTATAAAGTATTGTAGTGATGCATGATGTTCCAGAGTCACTTACTACTAAAAAAAGCACTTTGGTTTTCTTAAAATCTCAATAAGCATGCACCACATCTACACTTAAATTGAAATTGCAAATTCATGTGCAGGTAAACTTGGGGTTAAAATATATTTCTTATTCAGCACAAGTTTCATTCAGGTAAATTCATTTGCCATTTTAAGTAAATAACATAAAAAGCACTATTTTTGTCAGAGTAGTTTTGCCAAAGCTCTAAATATATGGTAAGTAGGTGAATTGGTGGTGTGGGACATGAAGCAGGGAAATATTGGGTGAAATTATTATATATAAAATACCCATGCTTCCGTAATGACACACAGAACAATGAAATAAAATGTCAGTGAAACATATCATTTTTTACAGTTTAAATAATGTTGCAGGTAACTTTAGGATAGCTAGATACCCTCTTTACCATGTAATGACACAACTTACCTCCCCGTGCTTAATAAGGTTAGCGCTCTTATAATACACAAGATAATGGAGTGTTTGTCCGAGCGAGAACTTCTCTATGTTCATTACTTTAGGAATAATTATCTGACACATTCCCCGTTTCCATTCTCAATTTTATTACTTAATTCTTCCATTGGAGAACCTGAAAAAACTTCAACAAGTCTGTCCAAAGTAGGAGGTGCACATGTTGAACCTGTTTGCAGTCTTTGTGAAGATTTTAGATAATGATGAAATAAGTCTATTATAATAGACCTGATATCGGTTCTGATGGCCTAGTTATAATATTTAACTGTACCTATTGTTATGCACTAGGTGCGCATTTCGACATTTAATCCTCAGTGATGCTCCAGCCAAGTCGAGGTCAAGTTTTAGGAAAAGAAAACCAAATGCAACAGCAGTCGAGCTGATATAACCGAACAAAATCAATTAGTACAGCTAATAACACTAACGGTACCAATTTTATTGCACCAGATGCGCATTTAGACCATTAATGTCTCTTCAGTGATGATGGAGAACAAAATATTTTAAAAATTCAAATCCCTAAACAATCGTTGAAGAGCTAATAAAACCAAAAAAGGACATAAAGTAAAGCCAAATCCGAACAAGGAATTATAGCTTTTGCTTAATTTAAAATGATTTTAAAAATTTTATAACAGCAAGTTAAATTCAAATACTATCCGTATTTTCATGCCAGTACCGAAATATTGGCTACTGGGCTTACGTGATACCCTCGGGGACTGACAGTCAATTAGCAGAAGTATCGACCAGTGGTAGTATTACCATTGACGGTACCTGGACAACGAATCAAAATATCAGTTCTAATTTTGTAAACAGAAATGTGAAATATGTCAGTGCAACCAGAGCCGTATAATATAGTATTTCTATGGTGAAACATATATATTCAGTTATTACGTTTTATATGGGCGTGATGAAAAAATGTTCATTATATGGGCGTGATGAAAAAATATTCAGTACACAAATCTTCAGGGGCCAATGGAATACGAAAAAAACAATTAAACCCCTGATTCAACTGGACCCAGGGACCTTCAATTAACCACAGAAGTCGAATTGTTTTCAAAGTATGAACAAACTCGAAAGAGGTTCTCTCACTTAAAGCTAGACGTATGATATTGTTATCGTTGTCTTTTGTGAGATGTCTATTTGCTTTTATAATGTTACTTGTGATAATAGTAATAAATCCGAGACATATACTACACTCATAATTGGGTATAACATGTCTCTGACGGAATTAACGATTCCATAATTTTTCGGGTGGCCTTGCATTAATGTTAAACTAAAATGTACAGTTGTTTAAAAGAAGAAAACAGTGCAATTAAAAGTATTTTGATATTACAGAGAAATTATATTTTTTAGCTGCTACTGAGTGGTGTATTTTGTTTTTCTATTAGATAGCCTTGGTTGATATTCCAAGTTAAATTGAAGAAACGAAAAGACTCCTGAATTTAAACGTTTTTCAGACGAGGGTTTTGCCTCACCCTTTCTCAGAGTCATTGTGAAATACTTCCACGTCTATATGACACATACATTCTTTTGTTCTGGATACACAGCAAACATTTTCTATATATGGTAAAGTTAATTTATTTTATATACATAAAATCTTTTCTGTATAATACTGTTTCTATTTATTATTATGACTATGCGAATACTGGTCGTTAAACCCTTTAAAATGTAAGTGTTTATCAGAATGGATATATTTTTACTCAATGTGCACCATCATTAAGTTTCCTTGTTGTTTATTACAAAAATGGTTAGTGATTACTTTCTTATCATTTTATTTTTGTGACTAGATAGTTATTATAAAAATATAGTTAACATAAGATACCTATTGGGCTTCGTAGTTTGAAGGAAGAACTGGCATGATATGATTGTCCCTTCAAATATATTAATCCGAACTTACTTTAAATAATTAATATGTACGAAGTTATTTTATTATTCAAGATATGTCATATATTATTTCTTTATTTTATTGACAAAATTGTTCACTAGAAACTGAATCCTTACACCATAGACAATATGAATGAAAATCAATAAATATAGGGTACTGTATATTTGTGTTACAATGACAATGCGAATCAAAATTAATTGTCTGAAACTTCCTTCGAATCTAAATAAATCGTGTAGCTTTTAATAAAAGTAACAGCGTATATTTTGACGAATCTTTAAATAAATTATGTTTATCTATAAAATTTGTCTGATCTAGAAGTTTCTAGGCAGGTGTTGCGAGAATGATGCGATACTTTAACAGGTTACAAAGTCAAATAGTACTTCTTGCATGGGCTCACATTATTACTCCACTATTTCTGGTATTTAAACTATCGAGGTCTTAAGGGGAAAAGCAGTTGACACACAAATGGTATTTATTAAAATCTAAAGTATACACGTGTGTGTTGAAGCCAAACATGTACTGTGTAAACATTTGTTGTTTGTAAATTTTTTATGATCATATTATGCAATAAACCCAGCTTGCAAATGTACTTGAAGGTAGGTCAATACGCGTGAGAAGGAAAGGAACAGTTATCAAAAAGGCGTTAAAACCGCTTCTGCGTATTTTTTGTATATATATTTATTATAAATCTTATTGATATCAGCGATATAATTTTGATTTTGGAATTTGATAATAAAATTTTTAAAACAAAATGATAATATGATAACATCTTAGATTCAAATTAACTCGAACGTTTTATTGTTGGCATGATCTGTTTACCCGATCAGGAATTACAGACATGGGTTCTACGTTAGTTTCTATACTATTTTTGTTCTTTGAGTAATAACATTAAACTGTGTCCTCGGCAATCAGTTTTCCATGATTTTTCACGCTAGGAACTATTTCAAATCTTGTTCTGTATTTCGTAAAATTCACAGTATAACATTATTTGGGGTTTGCTTCAGGTTTCAACAAGTTCAAAATAATACTAGTGTCAAGCTATCCAGCAATTCTCATTCTGCAATTCTCTTTATAAACATCTATCCTGCAATTCGTCATCCTGTAATTGCGTTTGGAAAACTACTTAATTGAGCGACAATTTTATTTTTCTTTAAAACCATAGTTTTTGACTTTTTCGTTCGAAAATAAGATTTATATAGAAAATCAAAGACTTTTATATCCCATTAACAAAATTCTAAATTTAGTTTGCAAATTTCTAACTCATATTTACGGTTTTGTAATTAGCATTTACAATACTATCATGATGACGATTCAAACAAAGTATTATCCGTTAATAAGTCCAGGATGTGATTCGTATAAACCCATGTTAAACCCAAATTTGCGATTTTCGAAACTCATATTAACGACTAAAAATACAGAATTTTGATGTAAAATGATTTTTTTCATGGTATACCTACAACACAACTTCTATTTAAAACTGGGTCACCCACTTGTTCAAAACCATTGCCCCGGCAGTTCTGTATGGCTAGGGGTTATAGATTCTGCTCTAATAAATAGCTTTTGGGTAGTACTACAACGAGGGGCCAAAGAATTTCTGGGGTAAGCATTCCTAGAGGACGAAAATTGCGTCCGAAACATGGAAATAAAGCCCAATTCGATAAAATACGCATTGGGGGCACCCACTTTCCGACCCATTGTCTCGGTAGTTCTTTATGGCTAGGCATTATAGACGCTGCCCTAATGAATAGCTATTGGATAGTACTACAACGTGAGGGTAAAGAATTTCTGGGGTAAGCATTCTTAAAGGCCGAAAATTTCGTCCGTAACACGGAAAAAAAGTCATATTTGATAAAATATGCACTGGATTCAACTAGAACGGGATAGTGCGTCATAAGTCAAATTATTTTTTTTTCTTTGCATGCCATACATTGATTAAAAAAAATAAACCCACCATCTAATTAAATTCAAGCGCAAGCCACTTGCACGAAAAATGCGTAATACACTTTTTCTGCTTTGTTTTACAAGACATTTGCTATAATACAGATAATATCAGTTACTCATTCAACATAGACATATTGTTATTTTTTCGGAACTACTTTACAGGATGCCGAGAGTATGGAAGGCCATTTCACAGTATGACTGCCAAAATGAATATAGTGAAAAAGTTATTAGATAACACGACATTAAGATATAATCGGATTTTTTGGCGTATACATTCCTTAGATGCGAACATTCGAATTTTTGAAATATTGTATGTGTTTGATGAAGATCTAGCACATTAAATGACATTAAAGTGGTCTAAGAGATATGGGACGCACGATCGGTCTTATTCGTTTACTGTCAACGAAACAATGAACAGTGCCGAATGTTGGTACTGTATGATGTATGTTCTTCTTTAATAAATAAATCACTTATTTACTGATTCACATATGAAGTTGACACACTATAGTAATGACTACCCAGATAATTGGTTGGAAATTGGGTGACCCTAGAGCGTATTTTATCGAATTTTGCTTATTTCCATGTTTCGGACGACATTTTGGCCTGTAAGAATGCTTACCCCAGAAATTCTTTACTCTCCCGTTGTAGTAATATCAAATAGCTATTCATTAGAGCAGAGTCTCTAATCCCTAGCCATAAAGAACTACAGAATTAATGGGTCGGAAAGTGCGTACCCCAATGCGTATTTTATAGAATTTGGCTTTTTTCCATGTTTCGAACGAAATTTTGGGCTTTTAAGAATGCTTACCCCAGAGATTCTCTACTATCCCAATGTAGTACTATATAATAGCTGTTCATTGAAGCAGAGTTTTTAATCCCTAGCCATAAAGAACTACCCAGACAATTGGTTGGAAAGTGGGTGACCCTAGAGCGTATTTTATCGAATTTGGCTTTATTTCCGTGTTTCGAACGAAATGTTGGGCCTTTAAGAAAGCGTACCCCATAAATTCTTTACCCTCCCGTTGTAGTACTATCCAATAGCTATTTATTAGAGCAGAGTCTATAATCCCTAGCCATAAAGAACTACCAAATTAATGGGTCGGAAAGTGGGTACCTCAACGCGTATTTCATCGAATTTGGCTTTTTTTCCGTGTTTCGAACGAAATTTTCTGCCTTTAAGAATGCTTACCCCAGAAACTCTCTACTATCCCAATGTAGTACTATATAATACCGGTAGCTATTCATTGAAGCAGAGTTTATAATCCCTAGCCATTAAGAACTAGCCAGATGATTGGTTGGAAAGTGTGTGATCCTAGAGCGTATTTTATCGAATTTGGCTTTATTTCCATATTTCGGACGAAATTTTCGGCCTTAAAAAATGCTTACCCAAAAAATTCTTTACCGTCCCGATGTAGTACTATATAATAGCTATTCATCGAAGCAGAGTTTCTAATGCCTAGCCAGTAAGAACTACAGAAACAATGGGCCGGAAAGTGGGTACCCCAATGCGTATTTTATAAAATTTGGCTTTTTTCCGTGTTTGGAACGAAATTTTTGGCCTTTAAAATAGCTTACCCCAAAAATTCTCTACTATACCGATGTAGTACTATATAATAGCTATTCATTGAAGCAGAGTCTCTAATCCCTAGCCATTAAGAACTACCCAGACAATTTGTTGAAAAGTAGGTGACCATTGAGCGTATTTTATCGAATTTGGCTTTATTTCCGTGTTTCGAACGATATTTTGGCCCTTTAATAAAGCTAACCCCAGAAATTCTTTACCTTCCTGTTGTAGTACTACTCAATAGCTATTCATTGAAGAAGAGTTTATAATCCCTACTCATTAAGAACTACCAAGATAATTGGTTGGAAAGTGGGTGACCCTAGAGCGTATTTTATCGAATTTGGCTTTTTTCCGTGTTTCGAACGAAATTTTGGGCCTTTAAGAATGTTTACCCCAGAAATTCTCTACTATCCCAAAGTAGTACTATATAATAGCTATCCATTGAAGCAGAGTCTATAATCCCTAGCCATTAAGAACTACCCAGATAATCGGTTGGAAAGTGGGTGACCCTAGAGCGTATTTTATCGAATTTTGCTTATTTCCATGTTTCGGACGACATTTTCGGCCTTTAAGAATGCTAACCCCAGAAATTCATTACCCTCCCGTTGTAGTAATATTCAATAGCTATTCATTAGAGCTGAGTCTCTAATCCCTAGCCATAAAAAACTACCAAAACAATGGGTCGGAAAGTGGGTACCGAAATGCGTATTATATCGTATATTTGGCTTTACTTGCATATTTCGGACGAAATTTTCGGCCTTTAAGAAAGCTTACCCCAAAAATTCGTTACCTTCCCGTTGTAGTACTATATAATAGCTGTTCATTTAAGCAGAGTCTTTAATCCCTAGCCACAAGGAACTACCCAGACAATTGGTTGGAAAGTGGGTGACCATAGAGCGTATTTTATCGAATTTGGCTTTATTTCCGTGTTTCGAACGAAATTTTGGGCCTTTAAGAATGCTTACCCAAGAAATTCTTAAACATGCATAAAAACGAAACCATATCCGGTACTTCACAGATATATATCTCTTTGTGAATCGTCATGATTTTTCTAATTGTAAATTCTAGTTATAGACCGTAAAGATGAGTTAGAAATTTGTAAACTAAAGCTAGAAATTTGTGAATGGGATATAAAAAACTTTATATTTATCTTTTTTTTCAAACAAAACAAGTCAAAAACCATGATTTTGAAAAAAATAAAATTGTCACTCAAGTTGTTTTTCGAACGCAATTGCAGGATGACTAATTGCAGGATAGCTTTATCGCAAGAGAATTGCAGGATGAGAATTGCTGGATAGCTTGACACTAGTTCAAATAATACTAAGTTTTAAAACATGTTACTTAATAATGTTATGACAAGAGCAAATGCTTTTAAAAGTGATAGGCAACAAAATTTAATAATTTGCTTCTTTTTCAGAAAATGAAATATGTGACGTTGATATGTATTGTATTTGCAACCGGTGTATTTGCATCCATAGTTGGAGTTAAAGCTAAAATCCAAGATGACAATCATGATGTCCCTCTTCGTTTCAACGCCTACCGAAAAAACCACAAATCGCCATGCCAGGAAAATGATTGTATGAGAGATAACTTTGCATGTCTCCCTAATTCTGTAGGTACATTAATTGGTGTCTGTGATGATGAAGTTGTGAATAGAAGTGTGAATTTAGTTTATTACCTTCAAGATGGTAATGGTGTGCAACCTTTCCATCGACAACTTGTTCTAAAAATATCTTCTCCAATATATTCAATTATTTCTGCAATAATGGTTCAGTTTCATCAAAATCTTGAAGAAGAAGGCATATTGAAGGGCATTAAACAAGATGCTTGTAAAGCTGAACTCGCAATAATCAATTTATGTAAGAAAGACGTTGATTTGAATTTAACATGTCTTCCTGATAAGACGACATGTGCCATTATGAAATATAGCTGTATCAAATCAAAAGATGCAGGGGTTTTAATCAATACATACAATGAAAACACAAAGAAAATAAATGAACAATACATAAATATATATACGAGCTGGAAGTATTATTCCTTTTTTGCCAAACTTCTTTGCGAATATGAAAACTTTGAGATCATTCCAAGATACAGTCTAACTCGCCAATACAGAATATATCTATCATCCAATGAAAGCAATAATGTACCTTCAACTATGGATAAATCCGATCAAGTATCACAACGCATAACAGATGGTATCATAGGATTTTGTATCTGTCTTGGTGTCATCCTGATTGTACTATGCGGTTATTTGTTTTGTCGAAGAAGACGGAGGAAGAAAAATCAACAACAACCCATACACAACGAGAACAGTTCAAATTACAGTGAAATGACACGTATACCATATAGTGCAAACACTGACGATTCATCAAAAGATTACACAATTCAAGATCACCAAGACTTATACTTCCATATAGGATCTACATCGGCATAGTTCTAAGGCTATATTATGATCCAACGAGTATATCTTCTTCGAAAATGTGTTTTGACATTCAATTTCAAGAACGCTTTATCTTATTAGTTTGTGGTTTGTTTATTAATAGCTGTATATACAATCTTGTAATCAAATAAAACATTTTGAAAATCTACAAATAAGTCAACATGACCTGAATTGGAAATCGAATTTTTATAGGTGTTACTATCCTTCAATCAGAATTTCTATCCATTTTTGCGTTGTTAATTTTTCTTGGTAATTGTAAAAGCTAGAGAGCAACTAAAATATTCAACAAAAATAAGATCTCCAAATAAGTCAACTGGACTGAAATCGTCAATTGGCTACTAGTATTTGTTGGAGCTTTTGCCCTTAATTTTGTATACATTTTGCATTATTTATATTCTCTTGAAAACGGTAAAATAAAGAGAGAAAAATAATGCAATCAATAAAAATGATCATCAAAATAAGATCTCCGAATAAATTTAGAAATAACAGAGTCGGAAGATATCAAAGGGATATTTAAAGTCAAAAGTCTATGACAAACTGACAACGCAATGGCAATAAAACGATAAACGAAAATAAATAACAACAAACAACTGAATACAAAACACAACATAGAAGATTAAAGACTGAGCAACACGAGCCTCGCTAAAAACCTGGGTGATGTGAAATGTTTCGGAAGGATAATAAGCACATCCTGCTCTACATGTGGCTTCCGTCCTGTTGCTCATGTAATTGAACTGAGATTCCATAACGGTCAACCAACTCGTGATGGTGTCTGTAAAATTTTCAAAGTGATGACCTCAACTTCACCACTTTTTGAACATTTGGTTATAGCTTCCTTGTAAACAGCAATCCTTTATCAAGAAAATTTTGATTGGTAATGCAATCCATATGCAGGTGCTGCTGGAATTTTGTCATATATGTGGAAGTTCACAATTGGGAAGTTGAAATTCTTTGTTGTAAATTACTGTTCTTAACCGACCCTTATTGTCAATTTTTTGATGTAAATCAAGATATGAGGCAGACTTAACTATATCTGTTCTTAACATTTTTACCTATTATGTCTGTTTGTTTTGTTCACACATTGTTGTCCACCATTTTCTACATAAGAAAATGCCTGTACCAAGTCAGGAATATGACAGTTGTTATCCATTCTTTTTATGTGTTTGAGCTTTTGATTTTGCCATTGTTAAGGGACTTTCCGTTTTGAATTTTCCTTGGAGTTCGGTATTTTTGTTGCTTTACTTTGTATTCTAAATTTGCAGTTCGATGGTCTAAATGCGTTCAACTTAGTCACCAAACTTTGAATTATTTAGCAAGTGGACATCTTCTAAAAAGCGGAACGTGAAGTCAAAGGACAATGCTAGCTTCTTTTCATTTTTTCTTTCTAAGGAGAACAGTCCCTTTAACTTCAGTTTTCGATTGCCCCTTTGGTGTCTTCACTCTCTAGTTTGAAGTTAAAGATTCAAGTTTGAAGTCGTCAGTCTGTGTCAATATCAAAGACAATCAACTAAAAGAGAGTCGAAAGATACCAAGGCGACATTCCAATTCATAAGTCGAAAACAAACTGACAACGCAGTGGCAACACAAAAATACCTAAAAAAAACGTTACAATTATTCAATAAGATCGTCAGGTTTTATATGACTTTTACCTACGGGGTAATTTGCAATACTAGTAGTACGAAGTTGAAAAGTTAGAAGTGATTGTTGAGAATGATATAATTACAAAACGTCAGTTATCTACAAAATGCAAAATACATCGAGTTTGTTTTTCAAAATACAAAGGATTTCAAACCCCAGGAATAAATTACCCAAGCTATATTTGGCAAAACCTTTTGGAATTTTAAGTCTTGAACGCTATTAAACCTCGTACTTTAGTTTGCCCCTTTTGAACGTTTTTGATTCGAGCGTCGCTGAAGAGTCTTTTGTAAACGAAACGCGCGTCTGGTGTACTAAAAATTAATCCTGGTATCTATGATTTGTTTATTTATAACAACTGATTTGATATTACATGGTTAGCAGGTGGTGAGTACTATTTCTTATTTTCTAAATTCGGTTTAAATACACGTATACTTTAAACACATACTCTCAGGTAGTGTTCCATATACTAATTCAGGAAAATGAAGAACAGCTGAACTGAAGAGTGTTTCAAACAAGCGCTTGCCTTTCTCGTGTCAAATCTGTTCAAGTGATACTAGAATATCTTCCATATAATATTTCTATGGCATATGCTTTTGTTACGAATTTTGACCGTTAAGACATAGATATACGAAGATGTGGTATGAGTGCCAATGAGACAACTCTCCATCCAAGTTACAATTTATAAAAGTAAACCATTATAGGTCAAGGTACGGCCTTCAACACGGAGCATTGGCTCACACCGAACAGCAAGCTATAAAGGGCCCCAAAAAATTACTAGTGTAAAACCATTCAAACGGAAAAACGAACGGTCTAATCTATATAAAAACGAGAAACGAGAAACACGTATGAACTACATAAACAGACGACAACTACTGTAATTAGATTCCTGACTAAGGACAGGTGCAAACATTTGCAGCGGGATTAAACGTTCTAATGGTACCAAACTTTCTCCCTTTTCTGAAACAATAGTATAACATCACAACATAGAAAAACACACTATAAAATATCAATTGGAAGGCTTAACTCAATCAAAAAACGTAAATTAACACACAATGAACGAATAAATTTGACCTGTGACACCTGAATGCAAATACACAGTTAATAAAAAATTACAAGGGATAAATAATAAAAGTCAAAAGTAAATAAACAGGTTTAAACAAAGTTAAAGTATGTTATCACTGTGAAATTTCAAACAATTTATAGAAAATCATCACTTTTGAAGAAACCTGCGTCATATTATACACAGGTAAATGAAAATAATTTTGTTGTTATGTATACTTCTTCTTCAATTTTGTGTGTATAAAATCTTCCGTTTAGGAATACCAAGAAATTTCTTTAATATCAATAAAACTAATCTAACACTTGGTACATATGGGGTGAATATCAACAATAAAAATATACAATTAGTGCTAGATAAAACTTCCTGTACAGGTCCTATCTGTTTCACAGATGTCGACGGATATGTTCCAATTGTCGTTACCAGAATCCCGTCCTCTTTTCCTCGAATGTGACGTACCGAATTAGACTTATCACCGGGTTTGTACGTACACAAACAATACGACGGGTTCCACAGGTGGAGCAGGATCTGACTACCATTCCGAAGCACCTAAGATCCATCCGATTTTTTGGAGGGCTTCCCGTTGCTTAGTCTTTGGTTTTTCTATGTTGTAGTTTGTGTACTGTTTTTATTTTCGTCGTTTTTCATTTTTTGCCATGGCATTGTCAGTTTGTTTTCAATTTATGAGTTTGAATATCCCTTTGGTATCTTTTGTCTCTCTTTTAAGGAAACTATATTGTATTTAGGGCGAGGAATGTTTAACTTTAAATACATAAGCTCTTCACATAAGGATAGTCTATGTATTTATTATAATGACTATGTAAATACTGGTCGTCTGAAACCTCCTTCTATCATGCATGGAAAAAAAGAAAATAGTTAGAATGACTTTCCAAAAAGTTTTCTGTTCCATCTGATTTATGTCAATGATACGATATGAAAATAGATTTATAACAAATATGCTAAGGATATAATGAAATGTTTAGTTTTCAATGGTTTTTAACTTCCTGATTTATTAGGCCTTAGAACTGTTTTAATACGAGTGCCACTGGTAAATATTGTGTCAACGAAATTCACAACTGGCTTATCCTGTCGACGCGTCAGGTCTCGCTCCTTTTGGCGTTCATGCAAATCCTTTATTTTTTTTATATTACCTTGATTTGTCTCTTCCTAATCGATTTGCGAGATTTTTTTAACATTGGTAAACTACTGATGCCTTCATTTACAAAATTATGAGCCTGATATCACTGTCTGATGAGTATTTATACGCAGTTCTGAACGGAATGTTGTTCTGCTTGCCATACTAAAGATGTGACAAACTTCTTTATTATTGACCATGCGGGTCCAGACTAAGTGATGTACCCAATCTTGTACTAATGGTTGTGGAATGTCAAATATATGCAAAATGATATGTGAGGATAAAGTAGAGATGATGTCGTTAGGTCAGTCTAGGTTACAATAATTGTTCTTCCAAAGTTTCGATTGATGATTATGCATTTCCAATCAACTAATGTTCTTATTCTGAATATAAAATCAATACTCAATAAATGTAGTGTGTCCGAAGCATTTTTCTGGATTTACATTCATGAGGAACGCTCCCCCCCCCCCCCCCCCCCACACACACACACATAATAAAGCCAAACTTTGCCACTATCATCCTTAGGGTTTCTAGATTTCAAACTGTGTTCGGTGATCCAGCCTGCCAACCAGTATGGCCAACAAATGGAACAACATAAGTGTAAAATGCAAGTATAACATACTTTCCTATAAACCGTTAAAGATCGAGAAAATCTGAAAGTGCAAAATGTTGAAAATGATGAGATCTACCTACCGTCTATTTAGACCAAAACTGTCAAGCGACTTCTTTTAATAGTTACTGTCCTTAAATGAAGTGACCAGTGTTGAAGATGCACATTGATATAGGTGAGCGACATATGCTCTTTAGAGCCTATATTTGTACATATATTTATAAAATTCATGATATTGTTAAGAAAATGCATATGTTCATCAAGTCGCTTTCATAAGACACTATTCTGTTAAAAAACAACATGGAAACTTGTCAAACACTGTTTATGAAACGTTATTCACTTATGACTATAATCGTGACATCTTTATCAATATCAATGAAAATTAATATATATGTTATTAATTTATTGATAAATAAGATAGTTTGAAAAATTGGTAAAGGGAACAAAAGTGGATAAAAATAAATACAATGGTGGAATATATTTTTATTAGTTCATTCTTTATGTTAACTGTGGTCAGCAGGGACATTGGTTCTCTTGTAAAAGGAGGTTAAAGTGATTCAAGCTTTCACGCAGACCATACAAATTATATCTTACATTAGGATACGGTATAGGTTTTTTTATATCTGAAACTCAACAAATCTTAATGCACTATGGAGATTTTTATCAATGTTATAAGGTGTATTTTGAATATTTGAAATATCTGTGTATTAGGGTATAACAGACGTAATTTTCATTGTCACGATACTTTACAAAAATAGACATGAATGAAATATGTTTAGCAACAGAACTGAATACACAATGGTCCATGACTATAACTACTTATATCAATAGCATACATCTTGATTGAGTAAAAGTAATATTCTTTCAGCTATACAATAGTGTCAACCTCAAAATATTTTCATAAGATGGAGTCCAATTTTCCATGATTTTATCACTAATTTAAAATAAGGAGATATGGTATGATTGCCACTAATACTGGTATCCAAAATATGATGTCAATATCCTGGACAATCAACTAAAAGATAGTTGAACAATACAAAAGCGTCATGAAAACTCATATATGATGTTAATAATTATGTTTTGTGAATGTCTAGTTACAGTTAAAGCTCAAACCCTGTTATACTAAATTTTTAAGGAAAATTGTATATTGAAGGATTTTGAACCATATGGATGTAACATGAAACGGATGTGTTGGCTGACTTGAAGATATGGTACCTTTGCAAGATCGCACATGTGCTCATTGAGACATTTATGGAATTGCTGCTTAGTCTCGACAACATTGATGGCCACAGATGGAATTTTCTAGAATGTAAATGAATGTAGTGTTATCTATCAAGATGACATATGATAGGTCTTTTCCTTCATTTTATGAAATGATATCACTTCATAGTTTTTTCTATAATGGTCAACCTATGAAAAAATCTTACCTTACATATGTAAGGCATTTAAAGAGATCATATAAATAAGAAGATGTGGTATGAGTGCCATTGAGACAACTATCCATCCAAGTCACAATGTGTAATAAAATGCTCCGCAGGGCGCAGCTTGATACGACCGCAGAGGTCGAACCCTGAATAGTTGGGGCAAGTATGGACACAACATTCAAGCTTGATACAGCTTTGCATTTGGATTGTGATTAAATATTTGACACAGCATAGGTTTCTGACACAGAATGAATGTGGTCTAAGAACTTAAAAATTTTAAATTGGACATTCACCTATTATGGTCCAATATCCAAAATCCAGGCAATTACCCCCAAAATCAATCCCAGCATTCCTTTTGTGATATGGAACCTTGTGGTACAATGTCAGAGAGATCCATACACTAACACACAAGTTATGTCTGGAAATTACAAAAATGCTTATTTTTGGCCCCTTTTTGGCCCCTAATTCCTTTACTGTTGGTACCATAACCCCCAAAATCAACCCCAACCTTCCTTTTGTGGTATTGAACCTTGTGGTAAAATTTCATAGAGATCCATTCACTTAAACTAAAGTTAGAGTGCGAAAACCAATGTGTCTTCGGACGACGCCGGACGACGCCAGACGACGACGACGACGACGACGCCAACGTCATACCAATATACGACCACAAAAATTTTTTTGCGGTCGTATAAAAAGTAAACAATTATAGGTCAAAGTACGGCCTTCAACACGGATCCTTGGCTCACACCAAACAGCAAGCTATAAAGGGCCCCAAAAAGACTAGTGTAAAACAATTCAAACAGGAAAACCAACGGTCTAATCTATATAAAAAACGAGAAACACTTATGAACCACATCAACAAACGACAACCAATGAACAACAGGCTCTTGAATTAGGACAGGTGCATAAAAATGCAGCGGGTTTAAACGTTTAAACTGGCGCCAACCTTCACCCTCCTGAAACAGTGGTATAACATTACAACATAAAAAGACACACAATAAAATATCAATTGAAATGGCTTAACTCGATCAAAAAGACAATACACAAAAACAAGTAAATATACACCGAACGAATATAAGTTTGATCTACGACACAATATAAATAAAACAGATATTTCAATGTCAAAAAGACAACTTTAACCTAGGACATAATAAACTGTTATCACAGAGATATGTCTCGCCTTTTTGTAATTTTGATAATGCAAATGTTGAAATTATAAAATTGCAACACTTTAACATGTAAGTTATGTAAATATTCAAAGTCGATGAACCATGACTGAAGGTACATAGCTAAACAATCTCCATGGAATGAGATGTGCCAATGCTAATACAACTGCATACCAAATACCATTGACTTATTATAAGTCGTTCCCTTTAAACAAACCTAAACACAAACATTAACTTGTAAACTATGTAAAAGTTTCAAAGTCAATGAACCATGATCAGGGATGGCCAAATAATCTCCATGGTAATGAGATATGCCAATGCTTATACAACTGAACACCAATTAACATTGACCTACTACTAATGGTTCCCCATAAATTGACCTAATCACAAACTAATACATGTAAACTATGAAAAGTTTCAAAATCAATAGACCTTGACTGAGGGGGCGGGGCCAAATAATCTCCATGGTAATGAGATATGCCAATGCTTATACAACTGCATACCAAATATCATTGACCTACCACTAGTGGTTCCCCATAAATTGACCAAATCACAAACTAATACATGTAAACTATGAAAAGTTTCAAAGTCAATAGACCTTGACTGAGGGGGCAGGGCCAAATAATCTCCAATAATCTCCATGGTAATGAGATATGACAATGCTTATACAACTGCATACCAAATATCATTGACCTACCACTAGTGGTTCACCATGAACTAGACCTAATCACAAACTAATACATTGTTGACGCCGCTGCCGCGCCGTCGTCGGAAACAGCATACCTATGTCTCGCTTTTTGACTCCGTCAAGTCGAGACAAAAATGGTGTTAAATAAAGTAACGTACACAGGTAAATTTAAATATAATAATTTTGTTGTTTGGAGTACAGAAACATTTTTTACAAAATAAATTTGTTATTCATAGTACGAGTAAGGTGGTACGTATTAAAAATAGTAAGACGAGATATAACACAAAATAAGTAAACATTAAATAACAGATATGCATTACAAATTGTGTCAACAGGTCAAATTAACACGAAAGTACGATTTGAGAGTACTCGCAATTACTGAAAGCCAGTTAAAATATAGTTAATATATATATTACCAACTATTCCGAAACATCCTTGTTGACCTTTGTATTTATCAAAACTGCACAGACAATTTTAAGAAATTTTCATCTACTTTTAATGTTTAACACATTTATTGTAAGATTTTATGGCATAATCATAACTTGATAATAAGGTTTTGGGTATCTATTCAGTTAGGAATATGTCCATGTTATTTAATCTAAATTAACTTTAGCACCAAAATAACCAAAAACACATCAATAAAAACAACATATGATATATATCATAAGAAAATAATTTTATTTCAATGAAAGACAGTTTGGTATGATCAACAATAATGGAATGAATGCAAGTTATTATCACAGTGTACAACAACCATAAAAACTCCTACATATAATGTCAAACACATCTAAAACAAATTACACATACACTTAAAACTGTCTCAACCAAAAAATAATTCTAGAAACCTCAAACATGTCTGGACCAATAAGAATATCTAAAACAGTGACCTTCATTTAATGATACACCATATTTAAAGGGTCCATTGTTTCTGTAACACTACTGTAACATATATTTCAGTTTTAAAGTAAAGATTGGTTAGGGGTATGTTGGAAGTAAAGAGGCCTTAAGCAGTTGTATGTTTACACAATTTGGCTGCTGGATCCCAATTATTGTCACATGAACTTATTATGTTGTTTTGATTGCCAACCCAATTTTGTCAATATGACAAAACTATATTTGACTGTCATACAATTGGGAGGTACAGTTAGCTATAAAACCATATCTAACCCACCAGAAACCAAGTCAGGAATATGAAAGTTATTTTCCATCTATTGAGAGTCAAGCCTTTGGTTTTGTCAGGTTTTAAGGCCTTCCCTGTTTTACAGTTACCTTGGAGTTCAGTTTTTTTGTTAATAGTTTTTTTTCATTTTTATATTTACCAAAGTCTATTTATAAAAATACACATGGAATATTTGCTCCTCACCATTGAATTTCATAACAAGTTATAATTCCTAGAAGGGATATAACTCTTATATCATTGTATCATATTTCGATTTCAGGCAACCTGAATTGAAGGGGTAGTAATGCAACAGTAAACCAAATATCAATGTCAAAAATTCCTAAATCACTAGAGCATGAATAAAGGGGTACTGATACTACAACACTATCCATGAATATTATCCATGAAATGGACTTAAAAAAGAAAAACATGAGGGTTCTAGATTCAGCAAGGTTTTTGGGGATACAAAAAAAACGATAAAAACATTCAGTAATAAAAATATAAAATGTGAGCAACAAACACAAACTTTACTATTTTTCTAAAATGGAAGAGATACAGACAGACAAATTTTGAAAATATTCAAATATACGAATATAAAACTGTTCAATGTTTAAACATATTATCAAATGACTAGATTTCAATGACTAACATGCTATAAGACTGGAAATTAGTGTGTGACCTATTGTGTGAATGATCTAAATTTGACTTAAAACTAAAAATTTTTAAATAAAAGCAACCCTGTAATCTCTTTTTGGAACATTGATTGATACAGAATGATGTTTTCAAACCTTAAATAGATAAAACCTACATATAAATGAGACAATTTTATTCAGAAGTAAGTTGCACTATGAATAATATTACCACAAATGAGGAAATGGTTATTTGTAACAGACAGTAGGTATACTTTTTTCTTTCTCTTTTCAAGTTAATTCCTGATTTATTTTTGATGTTTGTAAATTTCTCAAAACATACTAGAAAAAAAGATGTTCTCCAATTCTTTGTTTGTTCTTACATTGGTGCACTCTCCTTCAACTACACAATGTTTTTCTATAATTAAATCTTTGGTTTGTTTTCTATCTTTGCATCATTAAATAAATTATCTGTAAAAGCTTATAAAAATTCACATTCAAGTTTGAAGTTGAAAATAAAACTATTAAACAAAAGATTAATTACAAAAAGTGTGAAAAATACTCCGTTTTTATAATAAAACCCAAAACTGTATTCATAAAAAAAACTTATTAAAATACAGAAATTAAAAATGTTACCCTAAGTTCATTTCAAACTTACATGTATAAAAAAGTCAACAATGTAATTATTAAAATTTAAAAAAATGTAAATATATAATATAAAAAATTATGCTGCATGATTAGGTTAAGAAACCAATCCCTTGGTGTTAATTAAAATAAATCATTGTCATGGTTAATGGCACATTTCACATCAATATTATTATAAAGAAGTCATGGTTCAATATTAATTAGAAGTCATGACTCAATATTATCAAGAAGTCATGACTCAATATTATCAAGAAGTCATGACCCAATATTATCAAGAAATCAAAACCTATGACCTAGGATATAAAACATACTGATATAGATTTTTACTTTCTCCATTGACAAATGTCCATGTCATATTTGTGGTGAGAGCCTCCACATAGGCAAATCCTCCGTGTTGGGATTCTTCTGCCCAGAAAAATTTCGATGATTTGTCAGGAACCTTGTTTTTATGCTTGTTACTTTTATCTGCAAAATTAGCTCCACCACTCACAAAGAAATTCATCTTCAATCCAGGCCGTGTAACCAACAGATGCTGTAATAGACACATACTGTAATAACACATGGATTTATATAGCATGATTTTTCCAAGTAAACTTTTACATTGAAATCTGATATATAGATCAATATAAAAAAAAGAAGATGTGGTATGATTGCCTATGAGACAACTCTCCACCAGAGACCGAATGATGTAGAGGTTAACAACTATATGTCACTGTACAGCCTTCAACTAATGGGCAATATCAAGCTGGCTTAATGTTCAGTGGCAATTATTTCATGCATAATTCAATACTACACGAATATTAAATCAATCATTGTAATTATAAGGGTTAGTTTGGACTCATAAGACTCCTACCAATAACATGCCAAAAGATCATGCCACCAACCATTGTTATACATGACAGCAGATTACTACAGATTAGTCCCATGTAACAATTTACTTGAAAGGAAAATAATGATAACATAATTTGTTGTTGTTATTCTTTGACTTTTGGAATTTTATGCGACTGTCATACAAGTGAGAGGTTTGGCTAGCTATAAAACCAAGTTTAATCTATCATTTTCTACATAAGGAAATGCCTGTACCAAGTCAGGAATATGACAGTTGTTTTCCATTCGTTTGATGTGTTTGAGCCTTTGATTTAGCCATTTGATAAGGGACTTTCCGTTTTGAATTTTCCTTGGAGTTCGGTATTTTTGTTATTTTACTTTTTGATAAATCAAGATGAGTTAATTGAGAATTAGTTAGTAGATATAAGAAGATGTGGTATGAGTGCCAATGAGACAACTCTCAACATAGGTATGTCTTGGTAAATTTGACAAAAGCTCTGATATTGCTCTCATCTTTCCTGTATCTTCCACTCAATCTTTCTTTGATCTTCCTCCTAATCTTTCCTGTATCTTCCTTTTAATCTAAATGCTTGCATTTATATTCACCAGTAACTGATGGAATATGACCATGACATGTAATGTTGACCAATAAATCATTATAATAAACACTCGGGTAAGATAAAGTAACTCTTTTCACAAAACATTCTTCTAACTTAAAAAAATTTATTATATGTTATACTTAAATGTTTATGAGTATTTTACTCTTAAGACAGTTTGTGAAATTGATCGCTGACTATTAAATAGTGGTTATGTCTACTGAGCAAGTAATACTTACTTGTGGTTTAATTGAGATTTATATATTTACTCATGAGGAGGTGATTACCTGTAAATTATGGTCATGTCCACTGAGATATGCAGTGATTTTATATTTCTGTAAAGTTGGTAGTAGCTTATCTATAAGACAATCAGTTGGACCATGCTCTGCTATGGAATACACTGGGTAGTGTCCAGCAACTAGGAGGTAAGAGGCACTGAAAGGATATATAGTTTTTACTGAAGAGGAATAAAAGCTGTTTGCTATATGTCAGCAAAACAACAACAAAAAAGTATCTAAAAGACATCTAAAGGTCAACATATGGTCTTCAACAATACAATAGACAGGTGTCTATCCTCTAAAGGTCAACATATGATCTTCAATAATACAATAGACAAGTGTCTATCCTCTTAGTGAAGAAGTAAATGGCCCAGAGTTTAAAAAAATTGCATAGGTACTTGGGGACAGGACAATTTGTTTTAGTCCTCCCCTTTTTTCCCCAAATCCAATATTTTTGTTTTTTATTTAATTCCCATTATTTCCACGTTTTTCTGTGCTATATAATCATAAATATAGTAGAAATAACAAATATTTACTATTTACTATCAATTCCTAGTTTACTATCCACAGCAGTCACTGGTAATATATTAAGAGCTTTGATAAATTATGAATAAATTTTACAGACTTCAAGTGTGGACACAGATCAGTGTGGATAGTATGTTTGGATGTTTGACAGTTTTTTCTGATAAAAAAGTTTTCTATGGTTTTTTTCCATAGTGTTCTATGTTAAACTGTGTTCCACAGTGACAGCCATCCTGAATATCAGGCCAGTGCAAAACACTAAAATTACCAGTGTCGTTTATTCAATATTTGGTTTTTATGTTCAAGACTGTCATGCAGGAGACACTTTTTGTACATGTTGTATGGATTACCAAATGATTCTGTTAATATATGTTACACTACTTTGCTTCTGGATTAAAGCAAAAACTCAAAATTAGAAGGGATCACATTAGGATTTCTGCATGATATGATTTTAATATGCAAGATGGTTTATGAGAGCCTGTATGTATGTTTTTTTAGTATGGTTCTATTTTGTCCCTTGTACAGAGACTATCAAAGATCTACTATAGCTTGCAGTGTTGTAATAACCTGTCTATTATTGTTTGATTGATTGATTGATTGTTGGTTGCTTAACATCCAGTGGCTGTCTATTGTTGAAGATGGTTTGTGGACCTCAAGATTTCTAATTTTTTTTTGTATCATTAGATTACTGTTTCATAGGCATGGTCCCAAAAATCTCTGGTATTTATAAGTAATGGAAGAAAACATGTGGTATAACGTCATTATAATAAAACTATTGATAAAAAATTTAGTTTCCATTGGACATGCAAAAAAATGCAAGTTATTATGACCTTATCTTCGACAATGCTTACCATAAAATGTAGATATTGCAGTAAAATATCATTAGTAAATGTAACAAGAATTAGTATAATATGGATTACAATAACCAAAGATTAATGAAATTATTTTTTACTGGTCATTCATTATACATGAGATTAATTTAAATGAAATATCACAAACTCTGACAGAATTAGATGACCCATTGAAATAATGATGTTCTCTATTGTAAAATCATGATCTATACAATATTGTAGCAGTTAAATTTGGTTGCTATATCAACAAGCATAAACTGACTTAATTGCAAACTTTAACCAATTTGGTTGAAATATATATCCTGTGTCTTATCTTTGCTTTTGAAGACCTTTCTGAATCTGCTGGTTTTGTCCAAATGATATAACCTTTCAAAAATTAGGAGTCAGAAATTTCAAAGGCTGATGTTATAATTACAGAAAGTAGAACAGAGTGACATCAGATCCTTGTAAGCCAAGCATGGACACATGATCTGTTTATATTTTAATCAGATTGAAACTTAACCAATTTCATTTTAGTCTTAACTGTTTCAGATTTCAAGATGAAGTTAACCTCATCACTGTTATTAATGAATCAGTATTTCATGTAAAAGTAATACCAGTATACAAAAAAGTTACTTGAATCTTGAAGCTTTGAAGAAGAAAAGAATCATATGTAATATTAAAATATCAGTTTTTACTTCAAATTTTGATGCTAGTCTCAGCCTAACTAGGAGTTAAATCTTACTTGCTCGTCTGTATTTGTTTTTCTATCCAAGTCAGCTGATCATCAGCAACCTTCTGATTGGCTGGTCCTTTGGGTTGTTTTCCAAGAAAATCGTGATCGCTATTACCACAGAGTAGAATAGTGTCTATCATGATAATATCTACTGACATCTGGCTGCCAGGGATTGGGAAATTTAACTTGTAATAATAATCGGGAAAATTCCTGAAAAACAGAAATGACATAGCTATTGTAATATGCAAGCATAAGCAGTAAACATTGCGTCAAGTTCAGAGTTAAGACAATATCCAATAGATGTATATGTAAAAGTACAGGTCCCCCCAAGGGTGACTGGGGAATAGAAGTATGGTCACCATTGGTCTTCCTCCGACCGGCAGTAAAACCCGTGCTAAAGTGGGGCGTCCGTTTGGCTGTGCGGGATGTACAAATTTGCAGCCACGTCCGGTCAGAATGGGGACGTTAAATCCGATGCCTCGTGTAAAGAGAGTGCCACGCTCTTTGCACGTTAAGAACCCTTGCAACAACTCTTTGAGGGGTCCGTAGGTGACCTGTTGGAAGGCTAAATTTCTGTCCCTATCCAATATACCCTCATTTCCCGTGGCAGTCTAAATTTCTCCGACCTTAACCCCTTAATCTATTACAGAACCTACCTATTGTATTTATTGTGAACTTGTTCTCGTCCTGAATATGCATGAAATATTTGCCACTGGACGTTAAGCAATCAATCAATCAATCAATAAAAGTACAGGCATTAAAATATTGAGCAAGAATATCTAACATTGAAAGAAGACTTTTTTGTTAAATAAACTGAATGTGACTTTTTTCCTTTGTAATACTGGTTATTTCAAGCATTCCTGTCAAGTTTTGTCATAATCAGTTCAATAGTTTGAGAAAAATCTAGTATAATGTAAGACGACATCTACAGCGATTTCGAGCAAAATTTCTTTGAAAAATTCAAACCAAGCTGCATCATGATAGAATATAGTGTGGACCAATAAATGATCAAATATTTATCTCATCTGCCTACAAACAGTTGAATATGATACAAAAGATGACTTTAGGATGATAAATACTACTAATGGACCTTTTTGTCTTCCTTATAAGATCTCTTTTGGTCCATTTATACCTCTCATTTCCTCAAAATTTCTACTTTTTAGGCCAATAAATAAAAATTTGGGGGTAACTTTCACTCATTTATGATAGAAATTTTTATTATAAATGATTAATTGAAGTATTCCAGCTGAATGAACTATCCGTATAAAAGTTTACTGTCTCCAAGGAGGTTTCAATAAGTCCTTACGTAAAACTGAAATTTACGCCGCGTTCCAGAGAGGGACATAAAAAACTTCTCTTTTGGTGAATAATTTGTTGTTACTGCTTTAAAAATAATTTCATTTACTTAAAACTATATATTTATTAAAGTATTTCTTAGGAAAAATTTTCTACTATAGCAGATATAAGAAATAAGGAGAAAAAGCTCCTCAAGACTCTAAGTATGGCTTGTTCTGTCAACTAATATTCATGGTAAAGTCCTATTTCAAGGAAATTTTCTCATAAAATGTATTTTGGAGACTCAATCCACTCAGAATATTTCATTATTTGTAATATTTCACTTAAATAGCAAGAAATTTTAACACATGAGAGTACTCACAAGGTCAAAGGTGCATGTACAGCTTCCCATATTAGGTGTAATACCACCATTGATTTTCACCTATTAGTCTTTGTTAAATTTGCACTTTTCAAAAAATTGTGCAGAATTTATCTTTGTTTCAAATAAAGAAATACTTGGCATGAGTAAAGTTTTATCCTGTCCAGTACTATAGAAAAAATTTCACATAACATTTCATTGCATATAAGAAAATAACCAATCAAATTTTCCCCCTTTTTTAACCTGTGTAACCATGTAACCTCAAGTTTCCAAAATATTCTATAGAAACCCCAAATAAAGAAATAATGGTGCTTTGAAATACCCAAGATATATGTTTATGACTCAGAAATGTTTTACTGCAATGAAATGTAGGATCAATTACCTACAACTGTCAAATTCAAGGGAATATTTTTGACCTATTTTTGTATGCAACCGGATGTGACGTACTATGATTTGGTGGTATTACACCGGATGTGACGTACTATGATTTGGTGGTATTACACCTGATGTGACGTACTATGATTTGGTGGTATTACACCGGATGTGACGTACTATGATTTGGTGGTATTACACCGGATGTGACGTACTATGATTTGGTGGTATTACACCGGATGTGACGTACTATGATTTGGTGGTATTACACCGGATGTGACGTACTATGATTTGGTGGTATTACACCTGAAGCAACTTTAGTTCCTAAGAATTCATTGCATCATAACTGCAAGTCCTTGTTCTATAATATTATTTTGGATAAACTTAACTTTTATTATTTTGCTGTCTGAAAGAGTGAAAATTAAGGGAAAATGTGAAATGGTCTATTAAATCATCATTCTTAAAAATTAAGAATCTCAAGGAGTACTCTAGTATTGCTCGGTAATACCGAGTTCAAATAACAAATAAAAGGCATTAGACTTCTTACCATCTGTCTTCTACTTTAGAATAAGCTATTTGTGCTGAAACATTGCCGTTATGATCATGGTTACCAGCCACAAGGTAAAATGGTGTCTTCTGCAATGACGGGTCTGTAAATACTTTGTCAAATGTTTCCTACAAAATACAATTAAAGAATAGAACCATTTGTAATGATGGGTCTGTAAATACTTTGTCAAATGTTTCATTCAAATTTTAATTCAATTTAAAAACACCCTATTTCTTTTCATTACCTTACATGAAACTTCCCTTATTCACAGATGATTCTTTACCAGAAAAAAATTCTTAAGTTTCTGAAGGAAATCTATTCAATGAAGCATTTAATGATATGTTATAATGTTATCTACCAGTTGGTACAGATATCTGCACTAAAATGTATATCAGGTTTTGAGAAGAGAGGTTTGCATCTTGACAACAGACAATTGTAGAAATATTATAAATGTGTTAATGTCTACATTAAATTTTAAAAGTGACCACAACTTTAAGGTAAACTATCTTACCCAAAAACTTTCACCTGATACGTTTTTTTCTCTTTTCCATGTTCAGTGAACCACAAAATATGGGTCAAAACCCTAATATGGCATCTATTCTAACAAGTTCACATCATAATGAAGGACATTCAAATATTTAAACATTGATAAAGTTATGAATTATTCATCTGTTTAAATTTGATATCATACAAGTTAATTACATTGTACCTTGAATCTTGCATCACTGACTGTTTTCACTCCATCGAAGTAGAAATTGTCACCTAGTGCTAAATTAAACTGTGTTCCATATGTAGAGGTTAGGGCACCCATTGCCTTAGCAGTACCTGTCTCAATAGAAGTTGTGTATGGGACGGTTGGTAATCCTCCCCAATCTCCCATCACTAGGAATCTTAGACTGTCTACAGCCTGACATGACGCTAAAAGAGATAACATACAAAATTTACCATCACTATGAACCTTAGACTGTCCACATCCTGACATGACGCTAAAAGAGATAACATACACAGTCTCCCATCACTAGGAATCTTAGACTGTCTACAGATTGACATGATGCTAAAAGAGATAACATACACAATTTACCATCACTATGAACCTTAGACTGTCCACAGCCTGACATGACGCTAAAAGAGATAACATACACAATCTCCCATCACTAGGAACCTTAGCCTGTCCACAGCCTGACATGACGCTAAAAGAGATAACATTCACAATCTCCCATCACTAGGAACCTTAGCCTGTCCACAGCCTGACATGACGCTAAAAGAGATAACATACACAATTTACCATCACTATGAACCTTAGACTGTCCACAGCCTGACATGACGCTAAAAGAGATAACATACACAATTTACCATCACTATGAACCTTAGACTGTCCACAGCCTGACATGACGCTAAAAGAGATAACATACACAATTTACCATCACTATGAACCTTAGACTGTCCACAGCCTGACATGACGCTAAAAGAGATAACATACACAATTTACCATCACTAGGAATCTTAGACTGTCCACAGCCTGACATGACGCTAAAAGAGATAACATACACAATTTACCAGGAACCTGATGTAAAAGTTCTGGCACTCAGACAGCTGTTGTACTGACAAAGGGTACAATGGTGTAAAACAGGGTATAGTTGTTAACTTCCACGTCATTTGATCTCTGGTAGAGAGTTGTCTCATTGTTGAAGGCTGTATGGTGACCTATAGTTGTTAACTTCCACGTCATTTGATCTCTGGTAGAGAGTTGTCTCATTGTTGAAGGCTGTATGGTGACCTATAGTTGTTAACTTCCACGTCATTTGATCTCTGGTAGAGAGTTGTCTCATTGTTGAAGGCTGTATGGTGACCTATAGTTGTTAACTTCCACGTCATTTGATCTCTGGTAGAGAGTTGTCTCATTGTTGAAGGCTGTATGGTGACCTATAGTTGTTAACTTCCACGTCATTTGATCTCTGGTAGAGAGTTGTCTCATTGGCAATCATACCACATTTTATGTTTTTATGTCTATCCAACAAAGACTAAAAGATCAGGATGTGAATTTGTCAGTGGTAGTCTTTTAGATTGTTATTTAGGGAATTTTATGTGGCAGATGATCTTTGATAGTCTCTGATAGAAATGTTTTACTTGGGCTTGACATATTACTAAAGTTGACATCTGTTTATTGTTTATGACAGTAACAGATCATTGACATCTAGATATCTTATGGTTATTTTTGTTGTTAGGTTGCTGTCTTACTGATGTTTATCACACATCCCCTTCTTTTCATATTCAAAGGATATATTTTTATCAAATTTTGCAAAAGTATTAATGAGGATCTGGATGGGGGTACCTCATTTCCTTATTCGTTAATTTTTTGGATAATTTTTTCTCTATATTGCCCATTATTCTCTATTCTTTATATTTTAGTACCCCATTATTCTCTATTCTTTATATTTTAGTACCCCATTATTCTCTATTCTTTATATTTTAGTACCCCATTATTCTCAATTCTTTATTTTTTTGCCAATAGTTCTGTTTTTTTTTCATTTTTTTTTGCCCTTTATTCTGCACTTTTTGCCTATTATATATTCTAATCTGTTAAACCCATCCAGACCCAGTCACCTTCATTTATGGATCTTTAACTAAAGGAATTGTACACCTCTGAGGAGCCAAAAATTTCTAGAATTAAACTTTTTTTCTTAACCTGATTTTTGGGTTTATATGACTGTAAGAAAGTAACTGATGAAGAAAAAATCATATGGTGGTGCACTTTTTTTTTTGCTACGGCCATTTGAAAGTACCCATTTTTTATGATTTTCCCATTTTTCATCGATTTTTACCCATTATTTGGGCTATTATAATGAAAAAAAATCACAATTTCACGATTAAACTTTTTTTCACACTTTCACTAAAGATGAAGTGGACCAATCTGAATAAAATAACTAAAAAAAAACTATAGGTTTGTGTTAATATTAGAAAGTTTTATAAAATTTTGTTGCTTTTTCGTGTCAAATTGACCATGCTGTCAATTTTGTAAATATGGGATTTTTCTCTTTTTCAAAAATCCACTTGCGTTTGTCTATTTTAAAATGTGAGTGAAACAATAAGGCTTTTCTTATAATTGTATGTTGGATTTTTATTTCATGCAGGTATACTTTCATTTGAAAAAAATATGAATTAATTAATATCATGGGTTATCAATTGGGGTCAAGGTGTTGAAGTTTCACTAATCAATCAAAAATTAATTGAGTGATAGGTATTTAATCACCTGTGCATTTTGGCAAGACTTCAATTAGAACCCCCCTTATTCCGTCAGCCAGGGTGGTTCAGGAAGACTCAATGAACAGGTTCTGTTAAAACTTTATTAAGACATATCTTTAATTTTAAACAACTTAAAACTTTTCAAAATAAATAAAAAATAAAAAATGGGGGTAATATACATGTAAAAGCGAATGAATATGATTTACATATTTCTATACAGGGCCGAATCGACAAATTTACGGGGCGAATCAACATAGAGCGAACAAGTGATAGGGGGGAAACGACCCGTTACCATTGCTCAGTAACTCACAGCAGTCTGAATAAAAGGTCTGTTTTTTCTGTTGTTGTCTTTAATTAACATATAGATTTTAGTGGCAAACTTCATATGTCAATCTAAATAAATAACTTACCGAAATGCAAGACAATTATTGCAACTTTAATTTTAAATCTGTCAAACATTTTGTCTGCCATTTACTGGATCATGTGAGTACTTTGATACCGTCACATGACAACAATGTGACAAATTAAACCACGACGCATTACAACAAAGTTTTCAACTACAAAAATTTTAATCCCATGTTACATATTGATTAATGTATATTCTTTTTTTTTTTCAAGAAATTTCCAACTTTTATGCAATTATGTTATATTATGGTATTTTTTCATAGGTGTTTTATAGAATAATCATGCATATTTCTCGTATCAAACATAAGCTAAAAGAACTCGCTAAGGAATTTGTTTTTGTCCCGGCTGATAAGGCTGCCAATAATATCATTATTGTTTGATGTAAATTTTACATTGAGGTTCTGCAAAAGGAAATCACGAATTCACCAACATTCCAACTGACTCCATTTTCGGAAAATTACATCGATCTGTAACAAACATAAACTTTTACTACGGCTACCTCTTTACAAGCAGAACCAAATACAATGAAAGTTCCAACTATGTACTAGCTTCCGAAGATGCACAAAACACCTTACCAATATAGATTTATTTCGTCTTCAAGCCATTGTTCCACTACTAAACTGTCTATTCTACTTACTAGTACACTTGGTACAATAAAAAACCTGGTAATAAATTGTTCAAATAAGGCCTTTCTCAATAGAAGTTGTGTACGGGATTTTACTTTTGGAGTGTCAAAAATTCGTTGGAAGTACTTGATAAATTGCATGCTTATATTGGTGATTTCGAATCTGTTCAAAGTTTTGATTTTTCTACCCTATATACCACTTTGCCTCATAATCTCATTAAGAAAAAATTCACACACCTAATTAAATGGGCATTTAAAAAGTCAGAATGCGAACTTATATGTTCAAACTCTTTTAGGTCATTTTTTAGTAACAACAAACAAAAGAACTAAGTCAATTGGACCTGCTTTGATACGATAACTGAACTTGAATTTTTACTAGATAACATTTTTGTTCGCTATGGAGATTCAGTATATCGTCAAGTTATCGGAATTCCAATGGGGACTAACTGTGCACCGCTTATTGCGGACCTGTTTCTGTATTGTTATGAGTTACAATTTGTGACAAAAATCAGCAAAGACCGATCGAAACAACATCTGATACAAAAATTTAATAACACTTTTAGATATTTGGATGATATATTGGCTTTCAATAATGACGACTTCAGTATGTACACTAAAAAAATTTATCCTGCTGAACTGACTTTAAATAAAGCTAATACTAACAATGAACACTGCCCTTTCCTGGATCTTGATATCTATATCTTTAACGGGATGCTTAATACCAAAATTTACGATAAAAGAGATGATTTATCATTTCCTATTGTTAATTATCCATTTTTAGATGGTGACGTTCCCTTGTCACCATCTTATGGTGTTTATATATCTCAACTTGTTCGATTTGCTCGTGTATGTAACAACGTATTTGATTTTAACGAAAGAAATCTCTGTATTACTGAAAAAATTTTACACCAGGGTTTTCGATATCACAAACTAGTCAAAACATTTACTAAATTTCATCATCGGTACAAGGACATCATTCGAGTCGTAATATAAATCAACTTGCAGACATCTTATACGTTCGGGTATTTCACATCCAATCTTTTATGGTAATATTCTACACAAAGCACAAAAATGTCGTTATTCACCTCAAAAGCTAACCAAACCTTTAAACAGACTTATTCTGAAGGGATATAGTTACGATACTGTTGTCAGGTCATTGAAGATGGCATATTTTGGAATTAATATTGAGTCCCGGTTTTGGTTACTAATTCAGATTTCCCTCAGAGCAGTTTGAATTCATGGGACTTTACTCTATTTTTACTGAATTTATGATATTCTTTTAGAACAATTATAATTGAGAAAAGCATGTAGCAACTATATATATTTGGAGGGAAAGTTTAGACCCAAATTTTGATTTGAAGGATTGAAGTTGAAAAGGAAGTGATTTAAATTTGTTTAAATTCCAGAAAGTTTCTCAGACCCACAATTTTTTAGGAAAGGTACACAGGAACGATCTAAAGAAACATGTTGACCCAAGCTTTTATAAGGAACTATTGGATTTCAAAGGTCGATTAAAATTTTGATACCTTTTCTGTAAATCTGTATGAACATTAATGCACTCCTACTAAAATTTTTTGAGGAAACTTATGACCCACAATTTTTACAAGAAACGATTAGATTTTAAGAGGACGTAACTTAAATTTTTTCGATTTCTCAAAAGTCACAAAGTAGATATAAGAAGATGTGGCATGAGTGCCAATGAGACAACTCTCCATCCAAGTGTCACAGTGGAAAAATGGACAAAAGTTGATTTTGAGACTTTTCGGACATTTTGTAAAAGATTTTGTAGAATCACTGTTTTTGAAATATTGCCAATACAAGACTTATTTATGGAATTAAAGTCTTGGCTTGTCATATACGAATAATAGACCAATTGAAGTAAAATGTTGCTAATTGAAAATCAAATTAAAACATGAAATTAGATTATCTTAATCTTCTAAACTTGTCTTTAAACCTTTCACAATAAAATTAACAAAATCCCTTTTTGAAATATTGCCAATACAACAAAAACAGTGATTCTACAAAATCTTTTACAAAATGTCCGAAAAGTCTCAAAATCAACTTTTGTCCATTTTTCCACTGTGACAACATGCCTCTTCTCCCACTGAAGCACGACCTCGTGCTTCGAATAGATTCAACGAAAATACCTAAATTGTGGTAGAAAAGTTCTGGGTTGGTTCTGGTATACGGTCCTTTGATTTAGCGTGGATCGCAATTGTTCTTTTTCACTATCGGATTCTTTTAATTTAATATTCAATTCTCCAATTTGCTTGTAATACTCGTCCACTTTGAAATGTAAAATGGAGTTTTCATTAAAAAACTGTCTCTTTTCTGTAGCTATTTCTTCGTATTGTTGTTGGATGTCGAAAATAAAATCAATTTTTCTCTGTAGGTATAATTCCAAATCATTTATGCGTTTTACGTGATTTTGACAGTTGTCTATATTAACGGATTGTCTTTTCTGGTTGTCTTGTAAGCTTAGAACATTTTCACGTAACTTTTCATTTTCAGTTGAAACACTTTGTAAATGAAGTAACTGTTCGCGTAAATTCTGGATTTCGGCTGTCAGACTTTCACCCTTTTTATGTTCTGTTGAAAGTTTCTCTTTGACACACGTTAATTCACATTTGATAATACTAGAGGAGTCCAAACAACTTCGGAATGCTGAATCACGAAGATTAGCAAATGGCAAACTACGGGTTAATGATTTAGAATCCAAATATTCCTGTATCCGTCTCGAATCTCTATCCCTTTGCGATTTTGATTTGGTTTTTATCTGCGGCACATCTTTGCACTTTTTAATTTCCTGATGAGGACGAGAGACACACATTCGGGCGTAGTGTCCTACGTGATGACACTTAAAACATTGCTTACTTTCTGCATAACAAAATGTTTGTCTATGCTGATTTCCACATCTGGCGCACGCTGGAATCTGACGCATCTGGAAAAACCATGGTCTCCATTGTGGCCTGAAGTTGTATTCCATCGCTGCAACTCTGCTACATGTATATATGTACGTCTCTGCTGGGGAACTGGTAACTCGCTTGCTGCTCTGAGGTATCAGGAAAGCGTGTTGAGCTAAAGAGTCAACACGACCCAGACCAGGCACCAAATGTCACAAATAAAAACTGGGTGTATCTTGTGACTGGGTAATGTGTTGGCCTGGAACCACACACACACAATAAACAGTAAGACAAGTCTGCACGGACTCCGACTCTGGGACTAGCTCTTGTAACAAAAGACGACTCTGGTTAGCGCGATGTATAATTTAATAAGTTCAGCATGGAATACAATTGTACAGAGTTGGAACTGCTCAGTGTAATACTAAATCCAATCTGCTACATCAAAATAACAAGATAGTTTATATAACAAACCAAAAATTACTTGAATAGACTTGACAAATATTTCTCTAAATGAGTGAGAAAGTTCAATTAAGGGATTACAGAAAAATTAGCACACAGATAATAATTAACAATAGAACATACAGACTTATTTATGGAATTAAAGTCTTGGCTTGTCATATACGAATAATAGACCAATTGAAGTAAAATGTTGCTAATTGAAAATCAAATTAAAACATGAAATTAGATTATCTTAATCTTCTAAACTTGTCTTTAAACCTTTCACAATAAAATTAACAAAATCCCTTTTTGAAATATTGCCAATACAACAAAAACAGTGATTCTACAAAATCTTTTACAAAATGTCCGAAAAGTCTCAAAATCAACTTTTGTCCAATTTTCCACTGTGACACAAGTCACAATTTGTAAAAGTAAACCAAGCAAACAAAGGCCCACACATTTTTTTTTGGGGAAAAGTACAAAGCAATCTTCTTTTTTTTGAAACATGGATCCAAATTCAAACATGGAACAATTTCTTGCGTTTCCAATTTTGCGTAATTTCCTGAAAGACTCTAAGACGCACACCATTTAAATAGTGGTACATAGCAACCGTTTATTTTCAGAAACAAATTTAATAAAAAAAAATGTATATGAAACTCTAAGATATAATGGGATGTAATTCCAATCTTAGTATACCATTAAATAGTTCTTTGTTCATGTTGTGATAGTTGCATTTGTTTAATTCGTAGGAATACCCTTTTCTAGTTTTTTGTTGTCTTGTCTTGTCTTTCGCCTTTTGTCGTTTGTCTTCTTGTCGTGTCTTGTCTTGTCTTGCCTTGATCAATTATGTCAATCAATTGTAACTGATTCTTATGCCCTTTATGGGCCCTGTAATTTGAGAAATAAAAATATTCTATTCAATAGTCTTGTATTGTATTGTTGCCAATACAAAAGCGCTTATTAATTTGTGGTACCTTCCGGGACAGACAGTTCAATAGCAGCTTTACTGACGAAATGTAATTATTAAACAAATTATTTATGTAGAGACAATACGTGTTTTTGGAATACCTTTCATCCAGTACAATCGTGATCAAAAGTGTGGATGTTT